CCAAAACAAAATTGAAGAAAAAATGTACCCGAAAAAAAAACCAAACACGTACACAAGAATAAATGTTATATATGATAATGAATGGAACAAAAGAATCAATCAGATGAAAAAAAAAAAAAAATTTTAATTTTAAATTTGCAAAACAAACACAGACACAGATCACATTAATCATCATATATATATTGATTGATTGATTGAAAACACACACACAAATATTTATTGAATTTCAATGTATGCGTTTAATTGTGTGTGTGTGTGTGTGTTGCGTGTGTTTGTATATATACATGAGCAAATTGTTGATCATGTATCAAGAAAACATACAAAACGAATTTTTTTTTTTTTCGTTCAAATTGGATATAAAATTGTTATCATCATCATTCATTCATTCATTCAATGTCGTACCACTTCTTTTTTTTAAAAAAAAATCATCAAGGAATCTTAAACATATAAGATGAATAGTGGCAATGATTATGATGATGATGGTGATGAAGGAAAATGAATCAACAAATTGATGATGCTATGTTTGTTGTTATGAGTGTGTGCTATGTATCTCACCTTTTTTTTTTTTTTGTTTGATGATTGTGTTTGTGTGTGTGTGTGAAATTTTTTTTTTTCGTTTTCGTTTCTTCATTCATTCATTCATACCACCATCATCATCATCATCATCATCATAGTGGTTGATTTCATTTTTCAAATTGAATTTTCAAATAAAAAAGAAAAAAAAACAAGACAAAACTTGTTCACGTGTACTGAATGAACAAGAAAATGAATCCAATGATTATGGATCAATGATGGTGATAGTGATGGTGATTGTACTGAAATGTGCTGTGAATGCGTTGGTATGAAGGCGCCAATTTAATCAAACACAACACAATGGTGTTGTGAAAAAAAAAAATCATTAGCCAATCATCATCATTTTATATAAATGGATGGCTAACTTCCTCACACACACACACAGAGAGAAATTTACACAATAAATTCGTGGATGATATTTATTTCAATTAAATTAAATTGAATTGAATTGAATTAAAAATTGTTTGAGTTGTTAAATGAAAAAAATGTTGTTGTCTGTTGATGTTGATGATGATGATGATGGAAAACAAGATAAATTTTTTTTTGTCTTCCTTTTTTTCTATCTACACGTTTTTTGTTTCGTTTATTCTCCTCCAAACACACACACACACATGCATGCATTGACAGAAAATGCAAAAGGAAATGTTTGAAAACGATTGAGAGAGAGAGAGAGAAACGATATCAAACACTTTACAGGACTAATACTACAACTTATACTAAATAATAATATACTAAACTTTTTGACTGAGATGATGATGATGATGATGAGGATATTAAACACATTGGATTGGATTTTTTTTTTTTTTTTTTTTGGAGGTGGGTGGAAATAAACAAGAAAAATGCTGTATGTTCATGTATGTGTTGTGGTTATGAAGCAATGAAGACGACAACAATCGATTATCATCATTCTCAAAAGTCTAGTGGCGCGAGATTTGTATTTCATTTTTTTTTTCTTCTCATTCTTCTTTCATTTGTTCGTTTCTCCTCTTTTTCTCTTTCTCTTTCTCTCTCGCTTCTTTCTTGTTGTTGTTGTCGTTTTTTTTTCACAATTCATACAAATTTTTTTTCTAATTTTTTTTTTCTTTCTTTTTTCACTATGGTTATCTTCATTTATTTTTTTTTTTTTTTTGAAATTTTCAAAACTAGTGGTATATATATGATTTATTGTGAATAAAGAGAGAAAGAGTGTGAGAGAATGCACAGAACAGAGCAGAAGCTAGAATATATATATACATATATATATATTAATATAATCAATCGAAATGGCGTATTTATATATATATATATATATATGAAAACATGACTCCTACAAATGCTATAATATTTGTGGCCACTACATTCTTCACATTTTTTTTTGACCACTACCACCATAGTACATCTTTCTCTTTCGGATAAAAACAGAAAATAAAATTCATTCATCATCATGGACACATTATCAATCAGAAGATCTATTGATATTGTGTGTGTGTGTGTGTTTGATTTGAGCGAACAAGTGTGTATATGAATGTGGAATATAAAATTTAAAAAAAAAAAAAATTTTTCGATGATGATGATGATGATGTGGATGTGTAAATAATTGGTGTTTGTTTGGCCACTGTTGGTCATTGTATGATATTGATGAAAAAAAAATTTTTATGTTAAAAATTCAATACACACACACACACACACATATTTTGTAGTTCCAGTCAATTGAATAAAACATTTTTTTTCTCTCTAATTCTCCATCATCATCATCATATAATATATTTTTGTACTCATTTTCCTCTATACTGATTCCTTTTTTTTGTTGTTGCATGTAAATGTCATTTCATTTGAATTCATATTTGATGTCATATGATGTGTGTTTTTGTCATTCATGTCCAGTATAACTGATTGACTGACTGACTGAATGACCATAATAATAATAATAAAAATGGATAAATAATAACTTTATATGATTTTGATGATGGATTCATCATCATTTCATATAAAATGACTGTATAATAAAAATTGAAATATACAAGATTCATCGATCATCATTTGTACAGAAAAAAAAACAAAAACATTTAGTACAACTTTTATGCAATATATGCAATATAATAATATTATTATTAATCATCATCAGAAATCAAATGATATAAGAAAATGAAACAAAACAGAAAAATGTCCATTTTTCTGTTTTGTAATTTTTCTATTTCTATTTCTATAAAAAAAATAGACGTTTGGCCACACCATTATGTCGATCCATCAACAACACTATTTTGGTTGTTTGTCACTGGTCATTTTCAAATTGGTTGTTTCTTGGTTGATTCCAACAAATGTATGTGACAGTTGAAAAAAAAAATAAAAGTGACGAAAAAAAAACCAGAATGAATGAATGATGAATACTCACCATGGATACCAAACAAACGACGAACGACAACAACAACAAATGAAAAACAAAAATTTGAGTGCAAAAATAAACGAAAAAAAAAATTTTTTTTTCGTTTTTGCATTTCATTATTATCAATCGTTATCGTCGTCGATATAATTCAATTAATTAATTCAACCAATTGCAATTGAAACGTTAATTTGTTTCATTCGCTAAAAATGATTGGTTCTAATAGATCGAGAGGAACAATGAACAAAAAAAAAAAAATTAAAATTAGCCATAAACCAGAATCCATTACTGGTAATAATAATTTTTCTTTCGTTTTATCGTTTTCAAAAAAAAAAAAAAAAAATTCTTTCCGGAAGTTAATGGTTTTCTATGAAATTCTACAAATAGATAACACACACACACACGCACACACAAATATTCGAATAAATAATAAACGATGATAATCTTCAGAATCGCTTCTACTACACAGAATTACATAGAATTAGAATTTCAAATCTAAATCTGAGACATTAGCACATTAATATAGTAGCTATATATATATATATATATTTCTGTTTGATTCATCGTTTATTTATTATGCATGTGTATATATAGAGTGTGAATTGAATTTTTTTTTTCAATTTCATTCGATTTTTGGTTGTATAACATCTGCTGCTGCTGTTGCTGCTGCTGTCTGAATTCATGGAATTTTTTTTTGTTCTCTAGTTTCTTATGATGGAATAATGATGATGATGATGATATTTACAATGAATAATAATGGTTATGATGAAGAAAAAATGAAATGAAATCATTACCGACTGTATTGCAAATGTTTTTAGCCAACTTGATTCATTAAAGTTTATAAAAATGAAAAATTTTTTTATTCATAGAAAAAACTAAATGTAAAGAATAATTTGTTGCATATAAGTAAAAAGAGCCAGAAAAATCGTATGTTAAATTCAACAATTTTCTCTACCTTTGATATTGCCTCTGGCTTTCATCATATTCCTATTGAGGAAAGTGACAAGTACAAAACTGCATTTTCTACCATGACTGAACATTTTGAATGGAATGTTATGCCATTTGGTTTAAAGAATGCACCGGCAATTTTTCAAAGAATAGTATACAATATCCTGAAACATAACAGGTTGACGAATTTTTCGCATAATTATATTGATGATATAATCGTGTTTTCAGAAAATTATAATCAACATATGGAACATTTAAAAAGGTTATTTGCAGTCCTAAAGGATAATAATATCATTTTAAAATTTTCTAAATGTAAATTTGGTTTACCAGAAGTTTGTTATTTAGGACATCAAATATCGTTCAATACAATAAGACCTCTTAAAAGTAATAAACAAGCAATTGTCGATTTTCCTCCACCTAAAGATCTTAAATCTCTTAGAAGGTTTCTTGGTAAAATTGGGTTCTATCAACGATTCTTCTGTTTGATTCATCGTTTATTTATTGCATCATAAACACATTTAAAATATTCTGCTGCATCAATGTAATCAGCATTATATTTTCCCCCCGTCCTCATAAAGTCACAGTGCTGAATTCACCAGTATTCCCGTTAATTTGGAGAGAAGGTCAAAACATCGAGTTGCTACTGACTATGTAAATGCACAAATTAACATTCATCTCAAACCACCATGTGAGGTGATTAAATCGTCGTTGCTGAATCCAAATAACATCACCAGCGGTTTCAACTATAAATTTGAAAAGGATACGTGTGAAAAGTTATATAACAAGTTGGTCAAAGAAACGATGTATAAAAAGTGTGCACCTTTTCAAAGCTCATCTAAATCTCGACGTGATATTGTGTCATTTGTGTCCGGTGTAGTGTTTACATCGATCATCGTCATAGCAGCTGTAATGTTTGGCTCATACATCAAAAGTCAGAATGGGATCTCTGATCAGTCATTGACAGAGATAGAAATCAAGAAATTAGATCAACAGATTCATGAGAAGGTTGTTCATGAATTGATTAATATTCAACATCAAATAGATCAAATAAAACATGTCTCCGAGAATCGATTTTTGACATCCATACTTAGTGCCAGATTTCTTCAGGCTGAACAGATCATCAATGAAGCATTTGTGGTAGATTCTCCAATGCCGTTATCATTTCAACAGTTGTTTCCCAACATCTCCATTTGTGAACATTGTCCTTTTGATTTATGGCATTTTGAGAAGTGTTATTTTAGGTCCATGGAATCGCCGTTAGAAAGTCGTTTACAACTGAATGTTAATACGGTGAAAATAGATCCAAAATATGATATTATACGGGCTGATCCATTCCATATCATGGCTCCGGATCAGACGAATAAAGAAAATTGGTGCTTCACAAAATATTCTGGTCCCAAGTATGCGGTCATCAATAGAGAATCCAAATGCATTAGAGACATTACGTTTGATCCAATAAATGATTACCAATCTCCAATAATATTCCATTCGATAGACTGTAAAGAGAATATTAATTATGTGAAGGCTACATGGAAACCTTACCGTTGTATGAAGAAAAATCTTATTACACCAGAAGAAATTGTACAAATCAAGAATGATGATAGTTTTGTGTATTTCTACTGTTATATGCAAAATTTAACGGTACATGGGTCAACGTTTCCATGTAAGAATCAAGTTTATCGTATTAAGCGTGGGAAAAACTTAACTATTAATGGACAAACGGTAACATTTCCAACGTTCAGAATCAATTCTTGGCAAAATCTTCATGATGAATTAAATGAAATCTTAGTCATCAAAATGTTTAATTCATTCAACTCAACAATGAATCTTCATGATTTAACCACATTAGTCGAGAGGGAAAAACACCTGGTAGAACAACTTGCAAATAATTTCTTTCATTCAACTTTATTTCATATTATTATCATAACAATTGTAATAATAACAGTTCTGTTATTTATTTTATGTTGCATACAATATATTACACATAAGAATTATCGACGTGCAGCAATGGAGCATTATCAACTCGCAGTACGAAGATAATAATCAAATTTATTAATGTAATCATTTAATAATTGTTTTTTTTTTTTTTTTTTTGTTTTGTTGTTTTGTTTTTTTTTTTTTGAAAAGCGAATACGATGCATGTTTTTTGTTGAAAAATGTTATTTCAATAATGATCATGAATTGCTTCTTCAAATAACAAAACGTGTGGAAAATTTACCAATATCATTTATTATCCAAATTTTAAATCTGTAACCATGAAACATGTGATATATAGAGTGTGAATTGAATTTTTTTTTATGATTCAAATGCTTGGAACTATTATTACTGGAATAATTGTTTCAATACAATTATTTTATATAATCATCAAATTGAATTTCATTCGATTTTGGTTGTATAACATCTGCTGCTGCTGTTGCTGCTGCTGTCTGAATTCATGGAATTTTTTTTTGTTCTCTAGTTTCTTATGATGGAATAATGATGATGATGATGATATTTACAATGAATAATAATGGTTATGATGAAGAAAAAATGAAATGAAATCATTACCGACTGTATTGCAAATGTTTTTAGCCAACTTGATTCATTAAAGTTTATAAAAATGAAAAATTTTTTTATTCATAGAAAAAACTAAATGTAAAGAATAATTTGTTGCATATAAGTAAAAAAAAGAGCCAGAAAAATTGAATCAATCAAATACAAACCGGAGAATCGAAATACGATTAATGTCGTCGTCTACGACGATGATCATATTGATGATTATCGTCGTCGTCGTTTTTCAACATCATTTCACTATGGCTACGGCCAATACCACTACCACTACCAAAACGAAAATATCTTTCATTCAATTTACTATTTGGTGATAATTGATAATATTCATCATGATCATCGATTTCATCATTATTATCAATTGTTGTTATTACAGAATCCGTATAATCCGTATCATCATTATCATCATCGGTAGTAAGAAAATTTCCATGATCACCATGAATACGAAAATAACGTTCATCATATTCAAAATTCATTATTCGTGGCTGTTGTCCATTATTATTGAATGAATATTTTTGCTGTGATTTAAAATTCTTTGGCAATGTAAATGTAACAACTGGCTGCCGTAATAATGATGATGATGTCGATGTTGTTGTCGATAATGATGTATTCGATGAACCATCATTTATTGGCGATGATTTTTTCATTTTTAATTTTTTTTGTTGTTGTTGATTTTGTCGACATCTACTATCCAGTAATCGCATACGTGAAACACCCAATTGTGATGAACATGATATATTCGATAATGATGATGTTGATAAATTTATTTGACTACCAAATCTTGTTGATTCACCATTATTACCATCAATATGACGACGATGATGATGATTGTATGATTTATTCTTCTTTCTATTATTGGTAACATTTATCTGTCTATGTTTTAATGAATATGAATCCAAATCTTCATGTTGTCGTTGTTGTTGTTGTTGATTGTAGTCATCATTATTATAATCACCATGATTATAATGATGATAATAATAATCACCATTCATATAGCCATCATCATCATCATTCTCAACAATAATCGAAATGTTATCATTTTGTTGATTTAATGATTCATTTAATCGAATAATTGAACGAAAATTTCTTTCACTTGATGAACGTTTTATCATTGGCATCCGATATTGCTGATGGTGACGATTATTGTAATAATCTTTTTGTTGTTGTTGATTTTTCATTTTTTCTGAATCATTTTTCAATGATGATCGTTGTAATAGAATCGATTCAATACCAAATGGATATGGTTCCGATATATCCGATATATTTGTTGATGATGATGAAAATTTCTTATTTTTATGTTTAATATTTTGCAATTTTAAACTTTCATCAATTATTTTATTCTTGTTTTTCTTGTCTTTTGATAATTTTTTTCGCCTCATTTGTTCATCATCCATATCTTTAGTGGTTGATGATAATGAAAATAATCGACGCAATGTTCCAGTTTTACTATTTTTATTTTGATCATTCGATTGGTTCATAATCATTCCGGTTTGATTATTAGTTGATGATTTAATTTCTATTGTCGATGTATTGGCTAATGTGACCATTGTTTTGGCATTAATCGATGATGATGGTTTAGTAGTTGTCGTTGTCGTTGTGGTTGTGGTTGTAAGTTCTTGATCTTCAATCAATGTTGATAATGATAATGTACTTTGTTTCAATTGAAATTTCTCCTGTTCTTTACGTAGTCTTTCCATACGAGATTTATTTCGTTTCTTTTCCAATTGATAACGTAATGAATGTATGAAACCAAATTTTGATTGATGTGAATTTGAATTCAATCTTAGTATGGTACGATGTTGTGGTTTGTCCATCATTTCATCATTATCATTTGCCGTTGTTACTGTTGGCTGATGTTCAACATTGACTAAATTAACATTAACACCAGCCACAACCGGTTCTTCATTAGTAGAATTTTTTTCACGTTCTTCTGCAATAGTAGTTGTTCTGGAATTGCAGATTGTTGAATTAATTGAATCAAAATCAAATTGATTTGATTCTTGATTACAACCATTATCGGTCAATACATTTATAATTTGTGGTGCTGTTTGATTCATGGTTTCTACATCCAATGATGATTGATTATTATTTGTATCCAAAGAATTGGAACATTTCATGTTGAAATTGTATTGATTAATACTATTGTTCAATACAATTTTGTTAACAAAACGATTTGAATTTTCACATTTTACTGTTGAATTTTGTTCAATTTTTGTTTCTTTTGTTTTCGATTTTTCATCATTTGATTCCGATTCTAAGTTGAATGATAAATCATTTTGTTTTTCTTCTTTTTCCAATTTTTCTATCCTTTCAAATTGTTTGAATTTATTCATTTCAATCAATTGATCATCATTTTCTTTATCATTATCATTATCGTCGTTATTATTATTGATTCTATCTTCCAACAGTTTCTGTAATTGAATAAGAATTTTCGTAAAATCAACATCATCATTGCTTTTCTTTTGTTGTTGTTGTTGTTGTTGTATATTCTGAATTGTTTGCAATAATTTCAATTCATTCAGTTGCTGCTGTTGACATTGTTGTTGTTGATATTGTAACATTAATAACATGAGCAATAAATTGTCATTGTTTTTCTCATTTTTATTATTATTATTGTTGTTGTTGTTGTTGTTGTTGTCATCTTTGGACATCATCATTTTCTGCTGTTCAATAACAATTCTACGAATCATATTCTCAATATATAAATATGAACTAGAATTGTCATTATTGTTGTCGATTAATGATGCCAATGAATTCATGTCAGATGAATTCATTAATGATTTAAACATTGAATATGTTTGTGTCAATGTTTTATCATCATCATCATTCATAATGTTTTCGTTTTGTATATTTGATTCTATTAATTTTTCTTGCTGATTCTTTGATTCATGATCAATTAAATGATCATTTGATAATTTTTCATGAGCTTTATTCTCGTTGAATTTTTCTATTAAAAATTCAATGGAATCAGGCTGCCGTTCTTGTGTTAGCTGCAATGGATTGTCATCCGATTTATCAACTAATACGATTGATTTGGATACACCAATATTTTCATTGTTTACGGTTTGAATTTCATCAATACATTCTTTTGGTTTAATTTTCTTTTCCACAGAATTTGCAATTAAATTTGTATTTTTTGGCTTATTATCCGCTAATGATGTTGATGTTTTCTTATGAAATTTTCCCAGTATTTTGAATCGTTTCTGATTATTTTCATCGTTCTTTTTATCTACTTTTGTTTGTTTTTTATTCACATTGATCTTAGTAGTAGTGGTAGTAGTTTTTGATGGCGAAATTTTTTCAACATTTTTATCATGAACTTTTTTAATAGTTTCTTCAAGTTTTCTACCAATATCTTTAACATTTTTTGTTTGATTCATCAATTTTTTATTATTCATAACATTTACATTGTTACTTTTCGTAACAATAGGTGGCGGTGGTGCTCTTGGTTTTATTCGTCGTTTTTCTATCGAAAATTTATTCGATTTTTGTTGTGAAATATTGGATTTCGTTGATAATGATGATGAATGTGAATGTTTGCAATTTTGATGATATTTAGATTCACCAGGTCTTTTCATTGTAATCGATTCTTCTATACGCCGGACATTTTTCGGTTTATTGTTGTTGATCAATTTCTTTTCTTCGTGAACCTGTTGATTTGTATCCAATTTTGTCCGTACATTATCTATTGTTGGCTGTTGTATTGATTTATTTGATTCAGTCGATTCAATCGATAATTTTTCATTATTCAATTCTTAATATATTGGCAAAAACAAAAATATTTTAAAAATTAAATTTCATTGTAATTGATAATCTTACCTTTTTTCAATGTTGAATCTATTAGTTTTGGTTTTGGTGGAATAGGTGGTGGTGATGATGAAGATTTACATCCATCATCATTAGTGGAAGGAGTAGTAGCATCATTGATAATGGAATCGGATACATTTGATTCAATATTGGCAGTAGCAGCCATTGTTTTTTCTTCTGATGATGATGGTAATATTGATATTTCACCATTATTCGAAATAATACTTTTACTTAATGCCATATCGATTAAACTTGTATCAATATTCACATCATCATCATTAGCATTTATTATTGATTCATTCAATGATAATGGTTCTGATATTTCGGAACACATTTCCCAATCAGAATCTTCTAAATAGATTGTACCATCATTTATTTGAAAATGTGATCGTACACATAGAATTTTAGAATTTCGTTGCTGTTGTTGTTGTTTAATTGAATCTTGTTGTTGCTGTTGCTGTTGTTGATGATGATTATCATTGAGACTCATTTGACCAAAATATGAATCTAAACTTTTCACTGAAATTGTGTCCAAATCATTCGATAAATTTTTCACTTGTTGCTGATTATTGCTTGTACGTAAATTTTTATTCTCAACAAATGCAATTCTATATGAATCGGTTGTATTTTTTGTTATCCAACGTCGTTGTTCCATCATTGGCAACGTTTTCTGTTTATTCATTAATATTGATGATGATTGTTTGTTGTTGTTGTTGGTGGTAGTATTAGCATATTGTTTTGTTTGTTCACCAACATTTATGCTTGACATTGCACGTTTTAATCTTGGTGGACATTTTGGTGGCTGATTTGTTGTTGTTGTTGTTGTTGAAAGCATATATTGACTATTAAACAATTGATTACGTTTTTTCATATCTTCTTCATGAAAACTATTCAAAAGATTTTTATTAGCTTCTTCGATAAGATTTAATAATGATGTTAATGATGATGAACGTGAAATTGTTGCCTGAACATTATTATTATCAGAATTTCCATTGATAAACATTGGATCTTGTTTAGCCATTTTTGCCATCTTAATTATTTTCTTTACATTTTGTATTCGATTAAATGATTTACCAATAAGATTATTACCATTAAAAAGTTTTCTTGCTCTACGTTTAAAACGTCGTAATTTACGTCGTAAACGAAATTCTGTTAATGTTGGCCATGGTAAAAATTTTCCATATTCTTGTTGAAGTTGTGCTGATGTACCATATGTTAGATAACGATGATCTTCATTTGGACTCACAGATGATGATGATGATGATGATGATGATGATCCACAAGTAGATCCAATTGTGGCTGTGGAACATCCTAGTGAAAGATTTGAATCAATTGATGGAATTCGTTTTGTTTTCGTCGTCGTTGTCGTTGTTGTTGTTGTTGTTGTTGTTGACATTAGATTATTTGGCAATGTATTTCGATTCATAATCATTTGTGTGTCAGAATTTGTTGGATTCGAATTTTGTACATATCTTTGAGCAAAATAATTTGATCGTTTACCACCATTGAAATTGTTGTTCTTTTTGTATATTCCATTTGGCGTGGTTAATTTCGGCGGATCCATTGATTTGATCATGTTTTTGGATTCTGATGAACATTGTTTATCTTGTGTATTCATGAAAGTTAAATTTGGCACAGATATAGCTGATATTTTATTGTTATGATGATCGATAGACTTTGGATCAATATCATCGTTTTCAAGTGTTGATTCTAAATTATGGTCAAATAATTAAATGATAGTAAAAGATTTAAAAACTTACCTGAATCTGTTTGTTTTTGTTGTTGATCAACATTCAAGCATTGGCCAAAATGTTGAATCGTAGATGATAATGTCAATTCAGAACAATCTGATTGATTATCAATTGAATTCGGTGCCATTGTTAATGATGAAACATCTTCCGATTCACTTTGTGTAATTGAATTTGATTGATCTACAAGAGATGGAACAATTTTCTCTGGTCTTGGAAATGTAATCATAACTGGATTTTGTAATATTGAAGATTTTGTTTTCATCAACTGTTTTCCAGTAAATTTCAATGCCATTGATGATGATGATGATGATGAATAATCAGACAAAGTAACCGATTGATCACTATTGTTACAATTACTTTGATCATCAGTATATTTAAGTGTACCAAGACATTCAGATGATGATGATGATGATGAACAAGAATTATCGGTTGTTGTTGCTGATGATGATGATGGTAATGAATTTGAAATAAACATTAAATCGCTCAACGATTTTGATAACATTTTTTGATCATTATTCGATGTAATTGCCATACGTGATGAAATTGATGAATGCGATGATGATGATGATGATGATGCTGTAGTTGTTGAACCGGATTCCGATTTAAGAAAACGTAATGAAGGTGAAGAAATGGCCGAAGATGATGATGATGATGATGATGAAAATCCATGATCTGATGATGAAGATTGTTTATATTCATCTACATCATTATTATTTGCTAATAATTTTAATCGTTGCAACATTTTATTGATTATTGATTGATTTGATTATATTTATAATTTAAAAAATAAACAATCGATGATTGAGAAGAAACAACAACAACAAAAAATTGAATCATCATGATGATTGATGTTTGTGTGTGTGTATGTGTGAATAAAATAGAAATGTTGAACGTTTGTAAACTTGATTTGTAAATGTTTTCATCATCAATTTTATTATATTATTCGGCGAAAAAAAAAAAAAAAATCCAAATCCAATTCAATTTGTTTGTTTGTTTCTGTTCACGTTCATTCTCTTTTTGTTCTGTATTTTTTTTGTTGCTGATGATAATGAATATTTTTTTTTCATCGTCGACTCTTTTTTTATAGAAAAAAAAAATATGAATTATGAACATGCGATTTTTATAAAGATTGGTATATGACTCATTTGGACATTTAAGTATATTTGGACGGATGAATGAATGTGACAATCACCGAGACCTCATTGGTGTATGATGATGATGATGATGATTACTGATGGCGCTGTTGTAAATGATGAAAATTATAAAAAAAAATGTATAAAAAAGTAAAATGTACACCCACACAAAATGTACAAACACGTTTAAACACACATCAATTTATTTATATATTTATTATATTGGGATAAATACATACACATTTTGGTCCTTGAAATCATGATGATGCTGTTGACATACAAACAAATGATCGTTTCAGATTAACAGGACATTTGAAGCCAGCCATGGTTGTAATGAAATGAAATGAAAATGAAAAAAAAAATTTTTTATGGAAATCCAATAGAACAATATTGGCCGGTTATGGCCAACGATGATGATGATGATGATGATGATGATGAATATGGTTATGATGAACAAATTTTCTATTTTATTTTTGGTCATCATCATCATCATCATCATCATCATCATCAACAACAACAACAACAACAAGGATGCTGATCAAAGAGAGAAATGTGTTTTTTTTTCTTGGGATTGAACGAAAAAAAAAAAATGAAATGAAAATAGCTATGAACAAATATACTGTGTTTGTGTGTGTGTATACCACCCATCAAACGTAAACAGAACAAAATCAAAAAAAAAAAAAAAAAAAAAAAGAAATATCTAGGGTGGCAAATCCGTTTTCAAATCAATCGATTGATTTATTATTTTTCCAATTTTTTTATAATTCAAAAATAATTTTAAATTCCATATATATAAATATATTAATCATCGATCGATTAAAATCATGTCAGATGATTAATTTTCTTTCTTTCTTTCGTTTTCATTTGATCTTAGACATATTCACTTTCAATCATCATCATTTAATCATTGAACAAACAAACAAACGAAAAAAAAATTGCCCACCATTAAAAATGATTGAATGAAATGAAATAAAATCTCCCAATTATGGTATTTCATTTCATTTTTTTTTTGGATAATAATAATGATTATTATAAATTAGATGATCATCATCATGGATCATTATGATATTTCATCATCATCATCATCATCATCGTAATCCATTTGAATTTTTTTTTGCTTTTCATTTAAAATGTAAAAAATTCAAATCATAACATTGGAAACATGCATTTAAATTACTTTTTCATTTTCTTGTTGTTTATATCAATATTATATTAATATAAAAATTGACCACAATGAAATAGAAAAAAAATGCGAGCGCGTACACACACACATACAGCAGTAACTGAATTAGACAATTTTTTTTTGTTTTTGTTTTATTGCCCATTCACGTGTGTGTGTGTGGGTGTTCTAGATTTTTTTTTTTTTTTTTTTGAATGAATGAATTATGGCTACATGACACATTACCATTTATGATTTATATTTCACATTTTCATTTTGCATTAGATTGAAATCAAATATTAATCTTGATAGAAATGTTTGATCATTGGTATGTTTGATTGAATGAACAATACAAAAATGAATCACTCATTTGTCATTCAATGTAATCATTTTCTGTTGTCACATACACACACACACACACACACACCTACATCAGGGTTATATTGTTTTTCATCGTCATCGTCATCATCATCATCACCTGTTTGGCCATGAATTGACGATTGTTTATCATCTTCATTGATGATTGGTGGGTGGATGGACAACATGATCTATTTAATTTGGTTTTCAAGGAAACTACAAATAAAAATTTTTTTTTTTTTGGACAGTATTCTGATTCAATTTGAAATTTATTTTTCCAATGTCATGTATTTTCCAAATTCAAATCAATTCTATTGATGATGGTCTGATGGTGTGCATGTGTTTTGTAGTGTAGGTGTGTAGATGTTAATTGCAAAGAAAACAAAAAAAACGGAAGAAAAAATTCCATAATCATCATCGACATCGGTCATTTACATTTGAAAAATTTTAATTAATTCAATATATTAAAATGGACATATATTAAAAAAAGAAGGATGTAAAAGTCATGCAAAAAAGATTTCCAGTCAAAATAATTTATATAAAAAAAAATAAATATAAAATCTGTCATTTGTCATTGATTTTCAATCCTGTAAATGGAAAAAACAAAAATGATTATTAAAAACTAGTTTGTTAAAAAAAAATTCAATGATTCATCATCCACATACCCATTCACTAGGATCAACACCTTCAGAAGAATGATCATCATCATCATTATTATTTTCCAAAGGTTCATCAACATGAGCAAAATATTGACAAAAATCTGTCGGAAGTCCACGATGTGATTCATTTGCCATTCGTATCGATGGATTATTTTGTTGTCGTTTTTGTTGCTGTTCTTCCTGGAATTTTGCTCGCATTTTTGAAAATGCAATCATATCATCCGGTTTCAGATCAATTAATGGATATTTAGCCAACGATAATCGATCAGTATTATCAAGTTGATCAAACCATTGTTTACTTTCTGTGAATAATGGTTTCGAATAATCAGCTGTTGGTGGATAGATTTCATCATGAAAATATTCCGGCTAAATCAATTTAAATTGAATTCGAATTATTATCGTTTGTAATTAATGAAAATAACATGAAACTTACATGATTTCTTGGAACTCTATAACGAAATTTTTCAAATCCATTGACAAACATTCGTATACCGGTTGCTATTTCACAATTACGAACACAGCATTGTGTTCTAGGCCAAAAATCGATGGCTAAATGATTTGTTGGAAAACGATAAGATTCCAGTGGTTTAATTATTAAACGTTCTTCTAGTGATGAGGATTCTTGGTTCAATTCAAGACAAATAAAATGTACAGTGTTTTCACCACGGCCAGCTAGATATAAAATTCTTGTATCTTCATCAAAATGTGGCACCAAAAATGATGGTAATGAAGACATATCATGAATGAATAGATATTGTAATTTGTTTCCAGTAAATAAATAGAATAAAATTTTACGATTTGAGGTTCTATGATAATCAAATAAGCATTTGGATATTAATGAAAATGAACCATATAACTATGTATTACTCACTCTTTAGCAGTGACTAGCAATATATTATCGTTGAGAGCCCAACACAAACGATTTGGATTTATTCGTTTTGAAAATTCAACCATCATATCATTGTTGTCGGTTGTTGTTTGGTGGTTGGTCACATTTTTAACCATTAAACATTTATCGGCAAGCGCAGCAATATAAACACAACCATTTATGAAACGATTCCATTGAATTGTTCTTATAAAAACATTACAATCAATAATTTGTCGCCGTGATCGTTGTTGAATATCCCAAATGACTATAAATTGATCGATTGATGATGCTAATACATTTTTGGCCATTGGATGATATTTTATGGATGTTATCGATGTTTGACGAAATGATAAATCATTCGAAATTGCATTGAACTCGAAATCCGGCTGTTCCAACATCAGCATATCGATTGTATTTGAATTAATTAAATCATCATAAAAAGAAGATGGTAATGTAAAATGTTGAATGATACCATCATTCAAACCGATAGCCAAACAATCGGAATCAAATGGATCCAAATCAAAACAATTGATTTCACTTGGACAATTAATATAGCCAAGGCCATTGTGTTCATCATATCCTTTGGAATCAATAATTTTGATTGAAATCTGATTCAAACGATCACTACGAACAAATATTCCATATTTATTATTGATGTGAAAAAAATCAAAATTCAATGTACGTGATTGGCTTATACATGGCATAGCAGGTACAAGTTTACGATCATAAACCGATCCATCAATGTATTTCAGATGATTTGAATCAATTAATCTTGAAACATTATCATCGATATTGTTATCTGATAATTCTATTTCATTGTTTTCGATACATTCATTGTTGTTATCATTGGGATCAGCGATTAGTTCACCGAAAAATTTTGCAAATAATTTCTGTTCATTAACGCTCCAATATTGATCAAAATCCAAGGCAAAATTTTCACCAAATCTATAAATTTCGGAAAAATTTCGTTTGTTTGGATTTAAAGTGATCCAGTTGATTCGATTCAATAACGATATTTTGGATGTAAACATTTTTTGATCAATTTTCGTGTGTGGTGAAAATGTGGCAGGAAATTGTTTGTATGAAAAATTATCATTGAATGATGATGAGGATTTTTTCGGTGCCTGATAACTGTAAGGTAACAATGTTCCATCGGCAGTCAAAATGATTAGACAGTCAATTTGTTTTTCATTCACATTAACCGAACGTTTAGACATTAATGCAGAATCTACAATTTGTTTATGATCTTCAGGTAGTGTAATATAAGATTTTGTATTATCAAATGTATTGAAACGATTTGTATCAAGATACATTTCATCCACTATAGAATGTACAATAGATTTTCCATTACGAAGTGTTAGATAAACAATACCGGCATCTGGATCAAAACGAGGTAAATAAATGGTGGATGGATTTTGTCGATATGAACCACATTCAGCGTGTGTGAATATTGGTTGATTGAAATTACGAATATCATAGATGCTCAGATTACTATTCTTACGACGATCCAATAAACTAACCAAAACATATGGCCGGCTTTTCGGTCCATCCAATGAAACTATACGTGAATGTGTTTCATTCCAACATTGCAGTGGTTGCGATTTGATAGTATCATTAGGACTAATTGAACGTAAATCCATCATCGATACAATTGATTCGGATCGTTGTGCATTGATTTGATTGGCAAAAATTGTTTGTCCAACATAATTGAAATCAAACGAAGCATGAATTTCATATTCCAATGATGACCATGTTGCTATTGGATCATTTTGAATATCATTTATGTCATAAAGCGATATCGATTGATTTGTCAATGAATTCAGCACAATTTGTTCTTCCAATGTCGGATGAAAACGAAAACCATCAATAGAACCGTTTGTAAAGGTCAATTCTTTGGCCAACAATTTTGGTCTATTATCCAGTTGGATTGTCTCAAAATCATCAAATGGAATGACCGGCAATCGAAGTAATTGCAATGAATCACCACTTGATACAGCCAATATATCATCATGCAATGGATGGAATGATAAATCCGTAATATCAAAATTCGGTTGTACTGAATAATATTTTTAAAAAATAGATAAGTTTCAATCATTATCATTGTTTTAAATTATTTACGAATAATTTGCAAAAGATAATTGTCCATTTTCTGGATGTAGCCATTTTCTTTCTGAAAATTTCGAAAATTCCATGATGAACCGACAACAATTTGATCTGAAAATTGGAAAAAAAAATTTATTTTAGAAAATAAAAACAACAACATAAAAGTAGAATATATATATATAATAGAAATTGTTACTTGATGATAATCGATGTGAATGTAGAAAACCACCAGTTGCAATTGAATTATGGCTAATTTTTGCCTGTCTACATGATAATGGTTGAAAATATTTATCTAAATATTTGAAACATTTTTTCGGTATTCGACATTCAACATTTTTCCATGGATTCACTGAAGAAAACATTCCGATAACAATAATTAAATGTAAATGAAAAAAAAAATGGGCGTTGGCGGTTTAGTTTTTATTTCATTAACAATTTTTTTTATTATGTGCCGGATGAATAGGTTTTGTTTTTTTTGTTTGGTTTTGACAAGAAAAAAAAACTGACAACAATTTGAATAATGAATTGGTGCGTTTCTGTTATACACACACACGCACACACACAACAAATTCTATATAGCAGCAGAATTCATTAAATTACGAGAATAATACTCAGAGAAAAGTTTACGGAAAAATAAATACAAATGATTGGAAAATTTTATTTTTTATTAATCACAAGGCACAAATGTTGTCGAATTGAAAAAAAAATCAAAATAAATTCAACAAAAAGAGATTAAATAATGAAATAATGAAATTGACAATAAAAACAACAAGAGAAAAAATAAATTAATATTCATATAGATATTTTTAACATCCATTCCAGTCTAGATTTTTTGTTTCGAACCAGTTGTTTTGGTTTTACTTGTACCGGCAATCAATTCATCGATATCGATATCAAGATCATTATTGGGTGTTTTAACTTTGGAAAGCTATAAGAACGGAAAAAAATGAATTATATTGATTGAATGATTTTTATCCAATTACCTTGCCAGAGATTTCAATACCAATTTCATCAAGAATTTTATTGACAACCAAATCCTGTTCTTGTTCATCATCCGAATCACCAAGTATATCATTCAATGATTCTTCCACTAAATTATTTTGAAGAAAAAAAAATATTTTTCATTCATTCATTCAATCCATTCATTATTGTTATTATTATTATTGATACTCACTCATTTCATCCATCATATCAATTTTTTGATTTTCTTGAGCAAAATCCTTAAGAATACCACCAAGTTTTTCTGGATTCATTTGTTCATTAGACATTTTCATTGCCTAATTAAATATGAATGAATTATTTACAATGATTGCATCTACAAAAAAAACAACAAATCTTACATCGGTACTACTAGCCAAAGCCTGTGCTAATACATCATTAGCACCCATCATTTTTGTTTGCGAACCAATGGCACCGATTTTTGTATTGGCCATCATATTACGGGTTTTTTGCTGTCTTATCTGCACCAATTGTTTGGCCAACATTTTACATGCTTGTGTTTGACCTTGTTTAGCCAGTTGTTTAATTTGTATCTCTAATTTTTTTTCTTCACGTTCTAGATCGGCATTACTACGTTGGACTTGGCGTTGAGCTCGTGATATTTCACGTTGATTACGTCGTGCAGCTTCAGCTATTTGTTTTTGTGAATCAAAATTATCGATAAACAAAAATGGAATTGTTATAATTATGAATAAATACCTGCCGATTCTTTTTTACCACCACCGCCGAACCAGCTCATTTTCCAAATTTGCTTATTTATTCGCCAATTTTGGCAATCGAATATTTTTAGTTGAAAAAACAGTCTTGATTGGAAATGTCACAAAAACAAAACAATGATCATAAATGGCGTATATTTGGTATCTTTTTTTTGCTTGGTTGAACAGAAAAAAAAATAAATTAATTAAATGACGAAATTAAATAGAACTCGATCGATCGATGTCAATGTGAAATAATATATCTACTATTTCGACCAAACATAAACAAATAGTATACAACTATTTCAACTTGTTCGGCCAGTATTTCATAAATGAAATACTGTGGTAGTGGTATATATGTTGACAGTGGACAAAAAAAATCAACAGACGTTGCAAAATATATACAGAAACAATTCGATTTTGTTGCATTGTTTCTGTGTATATTTCCACACAATTCAATTATATATATATATATTGATGAATTAACACATGATTATCATCATCAGTTTTTTTTTAAATTTATATTGTCTGTATGTCCATTGTGTATTGATAACAACGCCCAATCATTGTCGAATTGAAATCATCACGATTTACAATTCGAAAAAACAAAATAATCATCATTTTTTATTATTATCCCTTATTCTGGGATTTTGATTTTGTGAATATATTATATTAGAATTTAGAATTTTTTATTTACTACATTTTTTTATTCAAAGTTTTTCCTTTAGAATTTTTTTTTCATATTGTTTAGTTGTTTATATATTATATATATTTATAGAACAATATAATTCTACAAATTCTGCCATTTAATAAATTCAAATACATGTAAGTAATACATTCATTTATTTATTTATATATTATACGCCTGTTCTGTTTTGATTACACACAGCCACACCCCAATAAACAAATTTAACCCAAACAATTTTTGTATACTATGTAATGATTCTGTTTTCAACTTGAATTCATTTGATTGTTTGTTTGTTTGTTTATTTTTTTTCATTTTTGTAGAAAATTTCAAATCATTGAATCATGGATTTAGGTCTAATCAAACCGAATAATGAATTGGATGGTCATTTGAAACAGGCACGAGAATCCGGTAATAAATATCGTTGGCTATTAATCATGATTGATCGACAAAAATGTCAGATGACATTGGAGAATAAATTTATCAAACAAAAAGATTGGAAAAATGATTATCAACGTTTCTACAATCAAATTAATCGTGATGATAATCGGCCATTCTTTTTGCTTATTCATCTTGATGCTGATGGTGAGATATTGATGAAAATTGAATGAAAAATTATCAATTATTCATGTTAGAATTTGATTATTATCATTATTATTAGATATTAATTGGCTATTGATACATATGTCACCACCGAAATCTGATGTTAAACAAAAAATGGTGGCCGCATCAACCAAAGCAACATTGAAGAATTCATTTGGTTCACCATTAATAACAATGGATTTGTTTATCGAAGATTTTGATGATCTTAGTGTTGAAAAAATTTATGATCAAATTCAAACACGACAACATGATAAACGACAAGTGCAAACATTACAAGAACTTGAACATCAAAAACAACAAGAATTGGAAGTAATGCACAAGATTGAACATTGGTAAATTGTTTTTGTTTTCTCGAATTTTCAAATATATGGATAATAAATTCTCTTCAATCTGATAGCAATCTAGGTCGTTCCGGTGGAGCATTGCATTTTAATTGTCTATTGGATCAAACGGCTGAAATGGAATTGAAAAATTTTCAACAAGGCCATCATTGTTGTATTCGTTTCATAATGTCAAATGATTTTTCTAAAGTTGTTTATGATGGTAAATTAACATTGGACTATTATCCATTATTATCGAAACGTTGGGATTATAAACGATCAGATGAACATGGCCAAATGCTTTTGCCTGAACATTTTCAACCAGGTTATATAATATTTCGTTTTCGTCATTTTAATCCATTAGATGATTATGGTGAATCAGAAGAACGTTTCGTTATGATTAGCTATGTACCAAGCGATAATACATTGCCGGCTAAATTAAGATTTTCCTATTCAGTTAATCTAAATTCAATGGTTGAAAAAATGAATGATAAACTAGATAATCATGTAAAATATTTTGAAGCTGGCTCATTGGACGAAGTGACTGTTTTACGAATATTCTATCTATTATATCCATCATTGGATACGGATATGCATGAACAAAAACAACAAAATGAAATGGCACCACCGTTAAAATTTGATAAACCATCGTCACGTGGTCGTGGTCCACGTCGTATTATTCGATAAACAAAAAAATATATATAGAGAAACAATAACCAAAAAAATCGATCAAATTCAATAATCAAACAAACAAACAAACAACAACAACAATAACACAAATTATGATGATTGTCCAAATTATTAAAAGTAAAAATAATTTTCTCCAATTTCATTTTTCGAAAATTTTTATGAATAATTTTCAAATTTATAGAATTAAAAATTTTAAAATTTATTTATTATTTTCCTTTTCTTCTTTCCTTTCCTTTAATTTCAACTATATTTTTGTTTCCTCTTTGTCACCATTTTTTTTTCTTGTAATATTTAAATATATGGCATATGGAATAAGAATTGAGACATTGGAATGGAGAAAAAAATGATGATGATGATGATGATGATGAGGAAAGTGAATAATTAAGAGCAACAACATACATATGATGTATACATTTTGGAACATGGACATATAGAGATTGTTCAATAATAATGTTGGGTTTTTTTGTAGGAATTTTCAAAAAAAAATTGAACAAAAGAGCGGCTGAAGGGAGCGAAATAAAATTCCAAATACTTAGGGTTATATTTCGTTAAAGAATCGAAAATTGATTCAACAAATTGATGGAAGAAAATGAAAAATATCGATTGATTCCGATGGAAGAAAATGGGCGAGTGGGAAAACAAAACAACATGACATCTATGATGATGATGATGATGATGAACGAAATAATTAATCAATCAATCGATTATTGATCAATTCTGAATCAATTTATCAACAATCAACAATTTGTTTACAAACAATAACAATTCAATGTGTGTGTGTGTGTTTATGTGAATGTAACATTAAAACAGAAATACAGAAAAAGAATGAGAATCAATAACAACATAATTCCGTAATTATATGATCAAAAAAATTTGATTGTAAATAATAATAAAATTCAACATTCAATCGATCAGAATCCATTGATTGATCGATCAATAAATATATTTAAAGATTGGCATAGGATTTTTTTTTATCGGTGAAATCGATTTTTTCATAAATCATAGAATTTGTGGTCATCATTGTAAATGTAAAAATAAAAATAATTGATGATGATTATGATTGCGGAATTTTTCTCTTATATTCCAATCAATTGATTAATTTTCAATAATAATGACTGATTTGAATAAGGAAATATGATTGGAAAGGGAAAAAATTAAGATTAGAAAGAAATTTCTCATCAACTGAGATATTAAAGAGAATGGAATTTGGAATTTTTTTTTTCATTTCTTTTTTTTTATTAAGATTATTATGATGATGATGTTGATGTTGATAATGTTGCTGATGAATCATTCTGTGTGGTTGTTACCGTTGTTGCCGTATTTGATGTTGATTGTATTGCTATGACTGATGCAGTGACGTTAGCTGTAGCTGTAGCTGTATTTTGTTCATAATTCATATTGATTATAACAGCACAAATTTTATTTGGATCAGTTTCATTTGGCATTTTTATCATCGCTTTATAGACAATTTCCGATGGAAATAATGATGATAGATGATAATAGATTTTCGAACGTATTACATTGAATTGTTGTTGTTGTTGTTGTTGTTGAATTGTAACATTACGATCGGTTTGTTGTAATAATGGATCAATCAATGTTTGGCCCACTAATTGATTATGATAATGATGATTTTGTTGATTAATAAGATGATTATGATCAATGTTTGATGTTGATGATAATCCAGCTGACATATCTACATCCGTTTTTTGTTGTCGTTGTGTTGATTGCCAATTTGATTGCTGTGTATGTTGTTGTTGTTGATGTTTATGATGATGATAATGATTAAGATGATGAGAATTATGATAAGATTCTTGTGTTGATATTAAATTAATTAGATGTTGTTGTGGTTGTTGTTGTTGTTGTTGCGGATGATAATGATGAACAATTTGATCATCAATTAATGCGGCTGCAATAGGATTCGAACGATTTGTTGTATTGTTGATATTTAATGTTGTAATATTGGAATATTTCTGATGATAAGGTGATTGTGATGATTGTTTATGTGGATGATGATGTTGTTGTTGTTGTGAAATATAATGTGATGATGATAATGTATGCGGATCAATTGTTGCGGATGTGGCAGTGCCTAAATCTAAAAAAAACGATCAAAAAAAAATGTTATTTCATAAAAGAAAAAAAAATATTCATTTCATACCTATGGGAATAATATCATTCGATGATGATAATGAATGTGATTTAATCATCAATGGTTTACCATGTATATTAACCGTTTGTTGCTGTTGATGATTTTGATGATGATGATGATGAAGATGATGATGATGATGTTGATTAGAATTATGATGATTAAATTGAATTGGTGATTGATTGGTTGTTGTTGTTGTATTCGTTCGACATGATTGTGTATTCAATGGATTTCGAATGGAATTTGTTGAAGATTGTTGATTATTATATGGCTGTTGTTGGCTATCGCCACCACCATAAGATGAAAATGATAATGTTGCCATTGAATTAGATAATGTTTGTACTAATAAACCGTTTTGATTGTTTGTTCCTTGGTTATGATGGCCACCACCGATTACCATATTCCAGCTTTTTGCCTGTGATAATTTTTCTTTATTTGTTGATACTGGAAACAGATTTGGTAATCGTGGATCAGCATCAGAATATAATGTTAATTGTCTTTCTAATTTTCGATGTGATTGTTGTTGATTAATTGTTGATTTATTCTTTGATTGTTGGCTATTATTTGTTCCATTATCATTGTTATTGATAATACGATTCCGTTGTTGTTGTGATTGTTGTTGTTGCTGTTTTTCTTGAAGCTCTATTGACACACTGGATTTGGTACGAAACAATGTTTTCTTCTGCATCGTATTCATCGACATACCAGATGTACCAGGTATAAGTATACCGCTACTATTATCAGCGCTAGACCAAATATTAGCCAAATTATTATTTGAACTTGATGATTGAGAATTTTTTGAATGATGATTTAATGGTAAACTTTTTAACATTCTAAGTTGTTTGCTATTGTTTGTCTGTTGACCATTATTTTTATTTGTTATTAATGATGAATCGGATGAATGAAAATCATTGGATTTTGATTGCATTACAATCAAATTATTATTATTATTATTATTATTTGCTATTGTTGTAGAACATTGTGAAGATGATGTTGATATTGATGACGTGGATGATGACGATGTTGAATTTGTTGTCGATGTTGATGGTAATTTTTGTCGTTCTGGATGATAATATTTGCATTTATTACCATATGTACATTTTTTATCATATGGACAAATCTTATTGAATTTGGCAATATTACGAACATTTTCTGATGACAATGGTTTTGATAGAAATTTATCCAATGATGGTCCATGTGGACCAAGTGGATCATCTGGTGGCATAAATTCATCTTCAACAAATAGATACATTAATAAACGTTCATCAACAAGTTTTTTATATTCTAAATTATCGGCAACTAGATCACGATAGAGATCATTCGATACGATTATAGCATCATTTTTTAATGCATGATTCAATATATAACGATCATCATATGATGCCAATATACGACCAGATACATTACGTGATGGTGTAAAATATAATAGACCATCTTGTTCAAGTTTAAGAAGAATTTCACGATCTTAGGTGGGAGGATAGAAGAAAACAGAAAATTTTTTTTTTTGTAGAAATTATACATTTGAAAACAATTGAATTTTATACCTTTAACAGGAAGATCAAAATCGGCATTTGGTGATTTTCTCCATGATGGCACAAATATAGCAATATTTTGATGGCCACGTGATTTAAACCAATCCACACAAAGTTCAATACCACGACATGAAAAATATTTCTGTTTACCATGACTGTGAAAGAAAAAAATTATTGAATATATTTCTCAATAGTCAATGTTAACACTTACTTTACAGCAACATTACTGCCATCAATTACGATTGGACGTAATTCAATACCACCACTAATGCTAGCTCGATTATTTGTTGAAATATTTGTTGCTGTGGTCAAATTATTTCCATTATTGACATTTAAATTGGAATTATTATTAGATGTAGATGATGAAGATGATGATGATCCAATTACTGGACTAGATAAAGTTTTACCAACAGTTGATTTAGCAGCATCACCACCACCACCACTACCACCAACATTGGATGAATTATAATTGAGCAATATCGATGATGATATTGAACATCCAAGAGGTTGATGTTGATGATGATGATGTTGTTGTGGATGATGATATATTGTTGATTGTTGTGGCTGTTGTTGTTGTTGTTGTTGTTGAAAATGTTGTTGATGATTATTATTATTATTAAGATTCAATTGTAATTGATTATTTCTTTTCATCATATTCACATTCATATTTGATGATATATTGATCAATTGTGCAAGTAATTCATTTTGTTGACAATTAATACCCAATAAATCTATTGCTTGTCGAACCTGTAATTCAGTATAGCCAAGTTTCTTAGCAAATTTTACTTTAGCTTCAAATTCCGATGATTTTTGATCATTATTAATAAATAATGATGATGATGTATTATTAATATTAACATTAAAATCATTCGAATTGGTAAACATTTGTCTTGTAACATATTCAGAATATTCTTCTGATAATGTTTCCGATGATGTACGATCAATTTCAGCATGATGTGTTGAAATGTTAAATTGTTGTTCAGTTTGTTGTTGTTGCCAATGTTGTTGTTGTTGTTGCTGCTGTTGCTGTTGCTGTTGTTGTTGTTGATTTTTCTTAGTTTTACGTTTCTTTTTATGACGATTATTTGTATTTCGATTATTCGATTGTTTTGTTTGTGTTTGTTGAGAATTTCCAATCGCTGATTGTAAATCATTTGTTTGAATTTTTATTAAAGGTGCTGTTGTCGTTGTTGTTGTTGTCATCGTTGATTCCGGTACTTGTGTAACATTGTACAATGATGATAATGGATCAATATTATCGAATTGATTAGATTCTGCAAACGATAATAACTGTTGCTGTGATTGTTGCTGGTGTTGTTGTAGATCATTTGTTTGTGGTCGAAATCCTAGATCAACATCTGTATCTTGATCTGGTGTTGTTGAATTACCAGAATCAATAAGATCAGTGACTAATTTTCTTAATTCACTATTTTGTGATGATTCTGGATCAGAATCATAGCTTGAATCAACACCATTACCAGCACCACCACCACCGGTAGCCATTGTATTTGTTGATGTTTTCTTTAACATTTGTTGTTGTGATTGATTAAAATTATTTTGATCATTATTTAATGATGGTAGAATACAGGTTGCTGATGTATGATCACCATCGTTTTCTGTTGACCAAATTGAATTGGTTAATTGATGATGATGATCATACATTATATTTGAAATCGGTTTTATCAGCTTATTATTGGTATTATTCACAGAATTATTTTGAAACAATTGATGATGATGATGATGATGATGATGACCACTACAATCAATTGTAACCGGTGTTGAAGTCAACATTGTTGTTGTCACAGTATTATTATTGTGTAAAATTGGACAATTCTGTTCCTCCTGCTGTTGCTGCTGCTGCTGTTGTTGTTTCGGTTGTTGATCATTGACAGCCGATGAAATAATAATATCATCATCATCGTCATTACCTTTACAAAGATGCATATGGTTATTATAATCATTTATTATTTTATCGTTACCTAGTGATAATCGTTCATTGATAATTTTATCGATACAATTATGTTTTTTTACATCATCCGGATGTCTATTTTCCTCATTATTATCATCATCTTCATCCTCCTCCTCATCCTCTTCTTCTTCTTCTTCATCATCATCATCATCTTCTTCTTCATCCATTGATGAATCTTCACCTTCATCATCATCATCATCATCATCACTATCATCATCATCATCATCTGAATGTTTTGGACGTAATCTTGTTGTAGTCATTGTTGTTGCTGTTGTCGATCTTTTCGTTATCATTGCCATGGTCTTTGTCATTGTCGTTGCCGTCGTTATTGCTGTTGCTGTTGCTGTTGTTGTTGTTGTTGTTGTTGTTGTTGTTGTTGTTGTGGTATTTGTTAACACTTTTGATTGCGGTAACTGATGATAATCCACATGTTCAACAATATTGTTTACTAAATCATCATAATTCTCTATTGATTGTTGTTGCGGATGTTGATTGGATATCGATAATGAATCCATTATTTTTGATTGATTGATTGATTGATTTTTAATCAATTTTTATGATTTTGATTAAAAAAAATATTCAAGAGAAAAACAAAAAAAAACATTCATTCATTCATTCAATTAAAAATGATGATGATCATCATGTTCTGTTTATCGGACATCTGTACATTGTCGATTGGCAGTACATATCTGCTGTCCATAATAATCTGTTTAATCGGTTCAATATTAGTGAGGGAAAGAGAGTGAGAAAAAAAAATTAGAATCAATTAAAGTGAGAGGGGGGAAAAATAAATCCTCATGTTGGCGTGATTTTTGTTTGTCTGATTCTAATCTAATGATTAAAATAAAAAAAAATGGAAAAAAATTGGAATTTATTCCAAAATGAATTTAAAATCATTCTCTATGGTAAAATGATTGTACAGAACTAGTACATAAGTGTTATTACACGGATCTATTTTTGTGTTTCACTCTGTATGTGTATGTGCATGTGATTTATCATCAAAAAGAAAAAAAAGAAAGAAAGAAAGAATGCAATAATAAATCAACTTGATCATCTATTTAAGAAAAACCATGGCTACTGTGTTTGTGTGTGTGTGTGTGGATTTTATTAGTCTCATAATAATTTCGATTCATAACATGAAATCAAGCAACAACAACAACAACAACAACAACAATAATAATAACAGAGGAATAAACTGTATGACGCTAATCATTCACAAAATTGCCCCATAAATATCCTAGAACAATTTATATACAAAAGATCAAAGATCCGGTTTTGATGTGGAATGTGTGTATAATGTGTCTGTCTGTGTGTGTGTGTGTGTATGTGTAATGGAGTAGAGGATGAAATGAAATGAATCCAAGGAAACCGAAAGACATCAATTTTATTATAGCAACAACAACAACAACAACAACCGTACCATCAAATAGGGAAAAAAAAAAAACAACATCAAAATCAACAAGTTCAAAACACTTATCAAAAAAAAAAAAAAAAAAAAAAATTAGAAATTAGAAAAACACACAGAGAAACATATAAATAATCGGACAAGTCTGATTATTTGAGTGCATTGATATCCAAAAATACATGTCATATATAGATATATATAATATAATAGTTGTTGTGTATGAATTCCGTTCCCGGTACAATATGAAATTTTTTTTTCTTCTTCTCATGGATTGGATCCTGGTTTAATGAGTGGATATATATGTTTGACTACTACTAATGTAGTATCAATGGATCCGAATATATTTTTTTTTTTCGTTTTTCTGTTTTCTGTTTTTATTTTTAGAGATTCATACATTATAATGATGATGATGATGATAATAATAAATATGATGACAAAACCGGATCTTTGTCGATCATCATCATTTTTTTTTATTTGTGATAATTATAAATGAGAAAATAGTGATGATGATAATAGATAAAATTATTATCATCAGATTATAATCATTATATTAGACAGAAAAAAAAAGATTTGATAATTAAAAAACTGAAAAAATTTTTAAGCAACAAAAAAAACTTAGAAAAAAATGAAATGAAAATTACCAAAAAAAAATGTTTCAAACAGGAATCGACAAACACCTTTAAGGTTCATGGTTTCCGGTGGAAGTTCTACTGTGTGTGTGTATGCGTGTACGTACAATGATCAATAATAACGAAATATTAATTGATCGACGAATTTTTTCGATTATTTGGTGCATATTTTATTTTTGTAATATAACTTGATAATAATAAAAAAAAAGAAAATTAAAACAAAAAAAAAAACAAAACAAACTAAAACAGGATATTGATCAATCATTGATAATCATTTCTCTCTCTCTCTCTCTCTTGATAATTGCAATGTACTCGCACACACACACACACACACACACACACACACACATGCAAGCACACATATAATCAATCACAAATCAATCAATCAATCAAATGATTTTAATTTGATTAGAAGAACCGGTAATAATAACATATAACATTGTGACATAATTCATTCAGTTGTTAAGGAAATTTTTTTCCCCTCTGCATTATTTTTAATGAATAAACTGTATGGAAATTCTATGGAAGAAAAAAAAATTGAAACACTTACATTTTTGTAAACATTTTGAATGATAAATCACGAATAATGTTGATGTTATCAAGAACAAAAAAAAATTTGAACAAAAGAAAAGATGAAAATTTGATAAACAACAACAACAACAACAATAACAATGGAAAAAAATTCAAATAGAAAAATTCACGGACGGGCTAATCTGTCACACACACACACACATCTGATTTTTCGTAAAAAGCTCCATGATGATGATGATGATGATTATTTTCATTTTTTGTTTTTGTTTTTTATTAATTTTCATTCTAGAAAAATTTTTTTTTTAATAATCATGAAAAAAATGAAATATCAGGTTACTGAAAATATGAAATTGAAAAACTACTACTAATAGATTGCAAAACAGGATAAAGATGAACAAACAAACAAAAAAAAAATAATTAAGAATTCAATGATGAGGTGGAATATTTATTGGATATCAGTGCATCTGTGCATCTTTGCGTCTGTGTGTGTGTGTGCATTTGATTAAATCAAAATAAATCGAAATCGAAAAAGAATTTTTTTTCTGGATCTTTACTGGAACACACACAGAGAATAAATGGATGGTATTTTTCAAATTATTCTCATCATCATTGCCGTTTTGTCGCCTCTCTAATTTCTTTATACTATAGTTTTTGTTGAAATGCAAACACACACACACACACGCATACAAACAGCAGCTAAATATTCTTATTTATACAAATAAGAAAATATTCTGGATCAAGACTGATGTAGATATATATATAATATAATGATAATAATGATAATATACATGTGTGCAGAATAATGAAGACAAAAAAAAAACGAAGAATAATATGAACTTCTTTGGTTTTCATCATCATCATCATCATCATCATAAAAATAAAATAAAAAAAAAGATGAACCCAATGACGTCAATGATGCCGTATATATGTGTATTGATGTGAATGTGTGTCACAATGATGATGATGATGATGATGATGATGACGAGAATGATATTGAATTGAATTTTTGGCCTGTATATTCTATGTATGTGTGTGTTGTTGCTAGAATTCTTTGTAAATTCACATACAAACAAATACAAACACATGCATTTTTCTTTCGTGATTGGCCCACACACACACACATATATATATAAACTAGTTTCAACTCGATCCAAAAGAAAAGAAAAGGAAAAAAAAATTCTAAACGGGGTTGTTGGCGCCATCAAAACAAGAAACAGAATATTTGGATAGAAAATCGGTTTTTTTTCTCTGGTACAAACCTACACACACACACACACACACACACGTTTACACAAACTATATATGAATAGATTCTTTCTGGTTTCAAATGTATGTGTGTGTTTGCGATGTGTTTTCTGTATCACTTTTCTTTTTGTTTCCATTCATATATATATATACGGCCTAGGTTTAGAGGTTGACACACATACATACAATATCAAACAACAACAACAACAAAAGTATGTAGAATAAACATGGTGTGTATGTATGGTGGTTGTGGTGATGGTGAAAAAGGGGATGGAAAATCAAAATTCCATTCTTTGCGTCGATCAAAAAAAAATCTATTCATTCATACACGATAAATGATCCAGAATTAGAACTACCGGAATACTTCGATAATTTTATTCATTCATTCATCCATTCATCAACATGATGATGGAATCCATGTGTTATGAATGTATTAATGTACGGTTTTCAATGGAATTGAAAAATTTTTTTTTTCATATATTCAAATATGATTAATAAAAAAATAATGATGATGATAATTGAATGATTCCAGGTAAAATAAAAAAAAATAAATATTAGGAAAATCATTTTCTTCAAGAAAATGAAAAGAAAAAACATTTTATTTTTTAATCCATTAATCTGAAGATTATGAAATGATAAAAAAATTTAAATTTTCAGTTTTGTTTGACGTCAATGCATGTTAATAATGGTAAATGTAATAATGGAGTGGTAAAAAAAAATAATTGGAAACTTACCTTCATTTTGTTTGATTGATAAATTTATTTTCTCTTCTAATTAAGCGTTAATCGATGTTATATTGATTGATTGGTGGATATATATATATTTGAGTTGATGGTCAAATATTTATAAAAATGATGATGATGATTTTTTTGCTTCTTGTAAACAACAAACAAACAATTTGATCATCAATAGTCATTCAATGAATTGATTATTATATTCATCATCATCATGTGTATATTATTGAGCACCTCGCGCAGCCAATTTGATCATCATCGACAACAACAACAACAAGAAAGTAACAACAATAAAAAGCATGCATGCACTACCATCAACAACAATGAAAATATATAAAAAAAAACATCAACATAAACAACAACGACAACAACAGTCAATGAACACAGACGACAAACGAATGAACTAAATAATGAAATTGACCATTCTGAATATTAGAATTTTAAGCAAAAAAAAAAAAAAAAAAAAAATGGTCATCATCATGATGGACACACACACACACACACACACGCACGCACTAAAAGACATGCGCTAGTGGTCCAGATTTTTTTTTTCTTCTTCTTCTTCTTCAGCAATCAAACTCAATAATATTCACATCGAAGACCAAGCACAAACATACACACACACACATGCACACTTCTCATATACAGGATTCTACAGTCAAAACACGATTCCTTTGATTTTTTTTGTCGTTATTTTCATTTTCTACTATAATGCAAATAAACACAAAAAAAATCAAGAATTTCGAAGTTTTACAGTAAAATTCTAAATGTGTTCAATCATCATCATCATCATCAATATTTCCACTAGCAGAAATTTCTTGGTTGGCCTAATGTCTTTAATTTTGAAATTTGATGCTTCTGTTTTGATTTTTTTTTCGAATTAAAAAAAACAAAAGAAAGACAATCCTGTTTTCATTTTCATTTTCAAGGTAAACAACCCATCTGATTCGGTCATCATCATCATTATTGAAAATTAAAAAAGAAAACCGGTAGCCGTCTGGTTGGAAAACACACAACAGAAAAATGTTTTATCTCGAACCCATGTTATAATTGATTGATTTTTATCAAGATTTTCGATGATGATGATGGTAATGGGCGCTTCTATTAAAAATCAAGAATATTATGAGTGAGAAAAAAAAATGAAGGTGAAACCAATTCATATGATGATCAACAAAATATATAACAAAGGTCAGAATCGTGACCAATACGACCGATCAATTGGGGAAAGAAAATATCTTCGTTTTTCTTTATCTATTTCATTCAATTTTAAAAAAAGTCACGATTTCATTTTGCTAAATGTGTGAATGATATATGATGATATTGGGCTACCTGTATTGATATTTTTTTCTGGCTTAATATTATTAACCAACAAAAAATATAAAAATAGAATCTACCCATTGGTGGTTCCAGGATATCGAAAACATTTTTATTGTGTGTGTGTGTGTGTCGAAATGAATTGAAAAGTTTCAAATGCAAAAAAAAACGAATAGGAAATTCACCTTGAAAAAAATACATATATGACATACATAAAATTCCAAAATTTATTTTATTTTTATTTTTGCAATTCGATTGAAGAAAACCTAAACCTAAACCTAAACTGTTGCCAAACAACATTGAAAATAGATTTTTGCCTTTAAGCTATTTAGTTTGGAGACAGAGAGAGAGAGAACAAAAAAAAATAATGATGATGATGATCAATTGTATGAATATACGTGTGAATAATATAAGTATAGACAGAGACAGACAGAGAGAGAGAGAGAACAGTGAAAAGACCGATTTCGAACCATACATCCTGTTTCGATGATGATGATGATGATGAAGAGAGGTGAAGTAAAGATTTTCTTTCTTACCTGTCCAATCAATTCTGATCTGGTTTCGATTTTGATCATCATCATCATCATTATATTGTCTGCCCAAGTGAATAAAGTCGATGGCCGCTTTGTTTGTGATTTTCATATGGTTTTATTCTATGATCATCTTTTGTGTGTATGTGTGTGTGTTTGTCTAGCCATATATAACAATTGAATTGAACTTTAAAAAACGATGAATGATGTATATATATTCACTTTATATTCAAGCTTACAATTTGATCGATTTGGATCAATATGAACAACAATATTCAATAGCTGACACGAGCCATATTGTAAATCATTTCACAAGTTCAAAGGTCGATTCAACATGCTACTACTGCAATTATTATCATCATACCGGATAAATATTTTATCCATATTGACCCTGGTGAAACGCCTTCATGGAATCAAAGTAAAAAAAAAACATAGAAAATGAAAAAACCCCGACAATATGCCACACCTACAGAGCTAGAATAATAATCATCTTTGAAATGAATGAATGAATGACTGGCTCATTTTTATTCAATGGACAAAAAAACTCAATTGGTCCTAGCCATTTGATGGACCAAGCCCATAAATTATGTTTTTTTTTGGTCATCCGTATGGATCAATTTCAACTTTTGTTTGATTTTTAATAATTCAATATGTACAATAGAAAAGAAAATTGAAATGGGAAAAAATTCAATTTATTCAAAGTAAAGCCATCTAGTGGCCAGAATTGTTGACATAAGTTTTTTAAATGAAAAAAAAAATTTTTTTTTTAGTTTAGTTTAGTTTTTTCGAATCAAATCATTCTGTTTCATAAACAAGAAAAAATGTTTGAAATAAATCAAATGTCAACATTATGAATGCCATAACGAATGCATTGATTATTATGGTTGTTTTTAAAATATAAATAATGAATATGGTCCACGAATTCCATGGATTATACATCTCTTGGACATGAATATTTCGTATCATTGGTGCAAAAAAATCTTCATTTGGATCAATATCGATGAAATCTCTATTTTTATTATTAAAATGGGATATGAAAATGCAATAATTAATTTGATGATTGTAAACAAAATACAAACAAACATACGGATTAATGTGTATAGTGTTGAGATAAAGTCCAACGGATAGAAGATAATGTTCCAATTTTGTAATCATCAAACCGGTTGTCTGTTCACAATGAATATGGTACCAAAAAAAAAAAAAAATTATCGTTTATAAATAATTGAAAAAACAAGACAAAACAAAACAAATACCGTATCAAATTCAACATCTGTTGGTTGATCTTCAAATGTAGAATCAGAAATTAATTGCCATTGTTTGAATAATTTTTCCATTGAAAATGGATATGAACAATCGGAACAAATACCTGTTTCTAATAATGGCTGTGAACGTACACGTGTACCACCAAAACAATTGGCCAAATCAACACAACGATAATCATGGCAACTAGATCCATCATATTCATATAATGATGATTGTTGTTTAAATCTTGGACAATAATTATCGACATTTAACATGACTGTTTGAACCATTGATATTTTTGATCTTGGTTGTCGAAATTTACAAATATAACTATTTGCCTGACTATTATGGCTAATATCGTATAACAATGTTGTTGTACCACATAATTGTGGTATGAAATTATTCAATTCAAATAATAATTGTTCATTATTGGATCCAAGCAATAATTCATCGCACCATTTTTGTGGATGATCAATATTTCTATTTAAAAAATTGAATTTTTTACTTGATTTAGTAAAATTGAGTAAAATGGGATACTTTACCTTCGACCATTCCATTCGATTACGGCCGGATATACGTTTCTTTTTTCCATACTAATCAACCAATGTTGTGGACGTTGAAAACTATTCAAAAATCCAATCGATGTACGAAGGAATTTTGAATTAACATCTGGAATTTGATCTAAACGATTATCATAGGCACTATTAATTAGATTTAAAAATTCATTAATCTGAACAAAATGTTGAAATTGATCATCAAATTGTTGTAAAATATATGAAATCTGTAATGTTGCTTCATCGGATACATTAACGGGGAGATTATCTTTTCGTTTTACAAGAAAATCATCCACCAATCGTAAACCAATTAATCGTTCTAAACGTTGTAAATGAATATAATCAAATTCTACCGGTTCATTCCAATCGGGACCATATAAAATTCGTTTAACTGATCGTTCTACCAATATGTTTGAATAAAATATATCCAATATTGTTTTGGATAATGCACGTTGTTGAAATGATAATCCTTGTTGACGATCATGTGGTGCAAGTTGTTGAAACAATTTAGATAAATATGGACCAATTACCTGTTAATTATTGATTTGGGAATTTAATTTGAAAATTATATAAATAACAAACATACGGCCAATTCGTTATTGATAACCCAATATTTTTGTTCCAACGATCCGATCGATGCTGATTCATTGAATTGATATGATGTTTGTTGGTCATATTTGATTGTTTTTTCATTGAATAAAAATTCGATTCGTTTTTTCGTCTCTCGGGTGCTATTTTTATGGTTTATGGAATTTTTTGTTTGGTTTTTTGATCAAGCAAAAAAAAAAAAAAAACAAAGAATCAACTTACTTGAATGTGTATGGACCAATTTCATTAATGGAAATACGTTGATTTGGACGGCTATGTGTACGTATACTTTCAATACGATCTTTAAATGCTGGTATATCGCTTATATTGTATATATAGAATCGATGTACACCAATCAAATCGGATGTGCCAACATAATTATTTGTCCATTTTTGTAATACCAATGTTGACCAATCGATAGAGAATTCATTACAATTTTCCGATGAACAACGTGTAACATCATCATATGATTGATCCAATAATTGATAAAGATAATTTCCGGTTAGAAATAATATCAATGTAACGCAAAAAATACGGAATAGAATCCATTTTTTTGTTACACGATTACGATGAATATGATCATCAGCATGATGATTAAAATCAAACACATCACGTACAACATGACCATTCATCAATGGTCGAACTTCTTGACGACGTCGTCGATTAGGCATCATTATTGAATGTTTATCGAATTCAATCAACTATACTGGCCAACACAAAAACGTAAAATGATGGAAATGATAAAGATCAAAACAAAACAAAACAAAAAATTGTCGTTATCAACAAGTTAATTCAATGTCAGAATGACAAATGAAGCCAAAATGTCTCCCATTACCCGTTGTTATATATTTATTGTGATGGAAAAAAATCGTACATACACAAATATACTATGATGAATTCACAATATACACAAAAAAAGGGCGCGCATACCTACACACACACATACAAATGAATGAGACTGGGACTCCTCCCAAACAATGATGATGATTTGATTTGTGATAACGAAAATCAATTTTAACATCAACAAGTTAGCTATGAATACAACTTGTTGCATAATCATCATCAAATATATATATAATATAATAATGTTCAATATTTTTTTTTGTCTCTCTAAATTTGTTTTTTATTTTTCGTAGTAGTATTATTTTATGTTGAACAAATGTTTCATTTTCTATTTTAAATAAAGCCATCTTTGCTTCTATCAGCATTATCTTATGTTTGTTTGTTTGTTTGTTTTTTTTCTGGTCATTGCAAGGTAAATGTAGAAAAATTGATCGGTTATCGTCGCCATTTTTTTTCGTTGTTGTTATTGTTGTTGTTGTTGTTCTACAGGTATTTTGTTTTCTATTTCCATTACCGATTTATACCTGGATAAGTTTTGTCATTTTTTTTTTGTTGTTGTTGTTGATTTTGTTCTACAATTTTCATCTGTTGATTGAATTTAATAATTAAGTGAAAATTTTAAAATTTAAAAAATTGTGACCAATTCAAAGAAATCTGAAAAATTTGTTCATTCAAAATGAAAACCATCACTGTTATCGTGATTTTATTTCTTTTCATGTTGGCCATTGGATCCGAAATCAGAAAAGTGAATGAAGAAGATTTTGTGTTTGAAGAAACATCAACTGAAGAATCGATGGTAGACGACAGTCCAAAAGAATGGGTGACTGAAGAATTCTTGAAAGATGAAGTGGTCACACAAGACGAATTTGAAACTGAAGAACCAACCACTAAACAACAAATGACTGAAGATCCTAATGATCTTATTGAATGTGTATGTAGAAATAAATCCAAATTGATTATGGAAAAGAATAATGAGAAAATTGAATACAAGAAATGGATTTATGCGCTGTTGATTTTCATAATCATATTTCTTATGATCATTTGTAGTGGTTGAAACTTTGTCATATGACCAAAAATAAAACCATCTCAAATATATATTGATCAAAGAATAATTGTCATTTCACGATAACCTATGACCTAATTTTCCAATGATGATTATTCTAAAATTCAAAAAAAAAATTCTTATCAATTTTCACAAGATTAAATGATTGATAAAATTGAAATAAATTTTTTTCAATAAAAAAAACTTGAAATTTGATCCGCCTCATTTTTGATCTTTGTTTTTTTGTTGTTGTTGTTGACATGCGCAATGAAATACTTTTGTTTTCATTTCGGTTTGATTTCCTGTATGAATAATTTCCACTTTCACTTTTTCTACATACCATTGTGTTGAACACCAGCAAAAAAAAAAAAAAAAAAAAACACCACCACTACATCGGCCAATATTATTCATTAAAACAAAAAAAAAGTAGAGAGAACCAGTTTTTTTTAATATTTTTTTTTTTCATTTTGGGGGTGGACTGACTTTAACATTCTACCCAATCATATGCATTGTAGATGCAATGTAGATGTGTTGATATAATAATACTATTTGGTGTATGGTTTTCAAATATTCGTTCCAGAAAAAAAAGTATATAAATAAACACAAGATAAAAAGGGCACCATATCAATGTTTTCCACATCATTTGAATTTGGAAAGAAAGAAGAAAAAAAATCAAAGAATTGATTTTGTGTGTTTGTTAGACGGAAAAAAATTGTGATTTTTTCTGTTTGTTTTTCAACCCTTTTATCGATTTGAAATCATATTTTTTTTTTAAAAATTCTGACCATTCATTCATTAAGAAGAAGAAGAGAAAAAAATGGCAACAATCGTGAATCAAGAAATGGAACAACCACGACCATCAACTTCGAAAGGTATTATTCGTTTGTATTCTTTTTTCTTACTATCTGCTCATCTTTCATCATGTTGTTCATCATTATTTTTTTTTTGGCTTCTCCATTGTCAAATTTAATCTTTTTTGAATTTAGAATTGAATCATGGTTCTATGGTTGAAATTGATTTGTCCAATGAAAACAAAAACGATGTGGACCAATCGATGGATGGTCAATCAGAACCAGAACCAGAAATTGTTTTCGAACCAATTGCTGAAACAGCCGATGATGATTCAACCGAAAATCGTTATTGTCATTATTTGAATTCAATTTGGATTTCAATCAATCCATTATTCATTTCTCTTGCACGATTTTTCCGTCGTTACATTAATGCAACAATCAATTGGTTTTTGTATCGTTTTGGTCAAAATGGTGACGATGATCGTGAGAAAATTATTCCCGATAAGGCCAATGTGGTTTTGTCTATTTATGATACCCATTTTTATAAGATTCCAAAGGCAATCTTAAAACAACCGAAACAATCATCAAATGATCATTGTGAACCGAATAAAATTGCTTCATCTTCTTCTACTTCGTCATCTTCAGATTCTTCGGTCTACACAACTGGTGAGTGAAATTTGATTGGGAAAAAAAGAGAAAAAAAATTTTTATTCTTTTTTTCGTTAAATTTTCACTGCAGTAATTGGTGATGTAAAAAATGAAATTGAAATTCATCATGCTGAAGATTCTTCTACTGATCAAGGATCACTTGGCGCCAAAGCCATATCCATATTGCAGGATGCATTACGTGAAATTCGTGATTATGATATCAATGACAATAACGATCAAGCTGTTGTTGTCAACGATACTAAAAAGATGATGATGATGATGATGATGATGGTGATGGCAATAAAATAGACGGTAATGATAACAATTTGGTTATCATTCAAATTCCAGAAAAAAATTTGCAATAAAAATCAAATATGGAACTTATTGAATTCCAGTTATTCATTTTATTAATCAAGTAAAGAAAAAGAAAAATTGATTTTATTCCATGAAAAAAAAGACAAATAATTTCTCTATATTTTTTCAAATAATTTTTTTGCCATTCCAATTTCAATAAAAAAAAAATTTTTTTGTTTCATACAGGTGTAGTACCTTTGTTTCAAAAATCCATTTAGATGATAATCAATGATATCGAATGGTAGAGATTTGTCATGTTTTTTCATTGTTGATGATTAATAAAAAAAATCAGTATTTCCGTTCGTTATCAGATGTTGTAATCTGTGGAAAAAAAATTTTTCGATAGTCCAAAAATTTTTTTTGTTTATCATGATCAAATCGATGTTTCCTGGAGATGTGAATATATTGATTATTTAGCAATAAACATGGAGATTCCGGTGTTGTGCAAAATTGAAAGTTTTAAACATCGGACACGTTTTGCATTGTTAATTTTTTTTTGTTTTGTTTCGTTTTGATAACAATCATTTTCTCTTTTTTTTCTCTCTATGATCCTACATCCATATCATACACAAATACATTGTGAGTATAGCACCTGAAACACCTTAATATACCTTAATGCTACTTCTAAAAAAAAATGTGAAAAACCAAAATTTCGTCACCGAATAAAAAAAGGTGCAAAAAAAAAAAAATTCTCTCACTCTCTCTCTCTCTTTAAATCATCCACATAGTATAATAATCAAAAAAAAAAAAAAAAAAAAAAACAGACAAAATTTACATTCATTATCAAACAACAACAGGTGTCATTTGCCCGAACAGACAGCAAAATTATTGATTAATTCATTGACCATCGCCCAAGCTCAACTATCATTTTTTATTTTCGCAACATTGTTTTTTCTCTGAATTTAAATTTTTTTCGGCTTTGTATTCAATGTAAGTGATCCATATGCATTTTCTTTAAATGTTTTTATTGTCACTGAATCCAATTCATTATTCATTCAAGAAAATTATCTCTGATTAAAAATGAGCAATCAAAATTTCCTGATTGAAATTGATGACAATGATGAACAGGTTAATTCATCAACATTTTTGCAAATTTTACTGTATGCAATGTGTTTTTTGATTTTTATTGTCATTTTTGTTACATTTATTCCCAGTGAAATCGAAGGTCAGTATCAAATGATTATTGTTGATTGTTCGTCGAATCGGAAGAAAAAAATCCATCTATTGTTTTTCTTTCCACTTTTAATTAGCTAAAATCCTGATTGATGATCAAAATTTACAGAATATTACGGCTGAAAAAAAATTTTTATTGATCACACCAATAACTAACAATGATAGTGACGTTACAAATGAATTGATGAATTTGAAAAATTGGAAAATTTTATTCTGGAATGATGAAAGTATTATGGATGAATTGGATGAAATTATTTTGCCAACCACTGAAACATCATTATCATTATATTTCAATTATTTCCTATATTACCTGTTGATTGTCATTTCAATAATATTGATTTTTACCGCTATAGAAATGTATCGAATCATCAGATATGGAATGTTTGAACGTAATTATGATAATGATATGAATATTAAATATGAAATTTTAATTATTGAATAAATATATTCCATTTTTTTTTCACAGAAAATGCATTTGGTTTCCATTATTATTTGGATAATCTTGATGAAGATGAGTATATTTTTTTAACCCCTATTAATCCATTACCAACTGTATATCAAAATAATATGCCCAATGATGATGAAAATGCTTCACCGGAATCTGTTGAACAAATGAATGGCGTTATTATCGATCCTGATAATAATAATAATAATAATAACATGAATGAAGGTGATAATGGTGATGATGGTGGTAATGAAAAAAAAATCGATAACAATGATGGCTAATAATAATCAATAATGATAATCGAATCAAATCAAATCAAAACAATTCAATGATGATGGTGAAATGAAAAATTAAATTTTCCAAATTCAATTCTACATATATTTGCAGTGATTAACTTGACTGAACATTTTGTTTTTTTTGAATAAAAATCCATAAATAATTGATTGATAATGAATGATTTGCATATGCACACATTAATTATTTTACATACATATTAACATTAATGATGAATTAATGATGATGATGATGATGATTAATGATCATCATCATTTACAATATATAGGATAATAGGATGATTAAATAAACACAAACATCTTCATCAATGCTTTTTTATGATTGGTTATATTACATTACAATAAATACAACATATATCTAGGCTTGTTTGTCGTTTTGATTATTATCATTATTTTATTATAGAGTCAATTTTGTCGTTGTTGTTGTTGTTGTTGTTGTTGCTGAAAATACTAGCTTGACTAGTAAACGTGAATGCCATGCGTAGTGATGATCATACAACCATAACAACCATGATTGATCATTGAACATTTTGGGCAGGTAAGAAAGAAAAAAAAAATTTTTTTTTTCTCTCACATGTGTAGATTGATTGATATTGGTCGAATTTTTTTCATTGTCCAATCACCTTGACTTTTTTCCTTTTGTAGTGAAAATGAAAGCATGAATTTTATTTTTTTTTTTAACTATTGAATCATCAATTACATCCGTTACGATGTTAATCTATTTACGGCAAAAAAAAATCTATCTCTATAGCAACTACGACAAACAAAACAAAAAAAAATGTCAAAACATTCCATAAATCCAAAATAGCAGACAATTAGCCATTAGTCATTAGTATCACGTGTGTGCCGCGGAAAATATTGTCAGTCGATTTTTTTTTTTTTTTTACTTTTTCTGGTAAATGGTGAATTTTGTTTGTGGAAAAAAAAGGTTGCCGACATCTGTTCAATTGATAATATATATATAAAAAAAATGCGAAAAAAAACTAGAAAAAAAAGTGACAACAAAATACACGTGTTTTTTATTTCCCGTCTCTCTCTCTCTCTCTCTCTCTCTCTCTCTCTCTCTCTCTCTCTCTCTCTCTCTCTCTCTCTCTCTCTCTCTCTCTCTCTCTCTCTCTCTCTCTCTCTCTCTCTGTTTGTGTGCGTGCGGTTAGGATTTTTAAATTCAAGAAAAAAAAATTAAGAGAGGAATAGAGTAAGAAAAGAATCCGAGACAAAGACGAATGTGTGTGTGTGTGGTTAATCTAAACACAGACAAAGATTACACTACGACATCAAAGCATTTGAAATTATATTATAATACATGCGGTTATTGGATAATTGCCAAAAAAAAAAATTTTTTTTTCTTTACATTCACGAATGTTCAGGTTTGATGCTTAACAACAACAGCAACATAAACTGACAGGACCGAGTACACACACACACAATACAATACAAGTTCAATGTTGAATCCATCAAATAATGGCCCAAAAAAAATTACAAAGAAAACCTTGAAATTCATCGCCACCCACTCCTAACCACCACCAATTTACAACAACAGCAACAAAATCTTATGATGATCAAATAAGGAAGGAGAGAGAGAGATTTATTTCCAATTTCGTCATTAATAATTTCATGGCCATTTTGGAAATGAAATTGAAAAATAAAAATAAAAATAAAAATTTCCTTTTTGATTGGTTGAATTTTAATTCTGCATGTAAAAAAAAGCAGAAAAAAAACAGAAAAAAATCATTGGATCATTCAATCATTCAATCATTCTTACGTACATGAATGCCGCTGAAACAGAATCTACAACAGAATCATTCAATTCATCCATTTCAATTTTATATATTGGTTTCTAGTTTTAGTTTTGTTTTTGTCGATTTATTTACATTAGTTTTTTTTAATTCATTCGGCATAAAAAAAATTCTTTTTCCTTCATGCAAAATTGAACACAGACACACACACACAAAACATACGCACAATTTATTTTGCCCGTTTTCTTTCCAATATAGTAAAATGAAGTTGGATGAAGAAGAAAAAAAATAAAATAACAGAATGAACATCACCACACACGCACATTTTTCAGTGAACAACAACAACAGCGACAGCGATAACAATAACAACAACAACAACAAAACGGAAATCGTATGTATTGAACATGAGCACATTTTCTTTTTACCAATGCTTATTCTTTCAATCAAAATAAGAAAATGGAAAATGGAAAATATGAAATGAAATGAAATGAATAAAAAAAAAAAAAAAATAAAATTCACAGGTTTACAAAATGATGATGATGGATATATTATCTTTCTCAATTATTTTTTTTGAAGTTATTATTCGTTTTGTTTTTTTTTTGTTTTTTTCAAAATACATGTTGCCAACAATGATGACGCATCTCTTGTCTGTATATCATCATCATCATCATTGCATTTTTTTTTCTTTTTTTTTTCTTCTTCTTTATTTCGTTTTTGTTTATTTGTTTGTTTGATTCCTTAATCAAATCCTTAGTGGTAGTGGTGGTGGTGGTGGTGTATAATTTTTTTTTTTTGCTATATGATTCTGTATGTGTGTGTGAAATGATTTAAAATTAGAATATTCATTTGATGATGATGATGATGATGACGGTGATGATAAATATTAGTGATTTGAACAAAAAAAAAAAAAAAAAAAACGAAAACAAAATGGAGGAAAAACAGAAAACAGAAACAAAAAAATCAGTATGGTATATAGAATTTTTTTTTGTTTTGTTTTAAGGAAAAAAAAACTAGAAAATTTCGATCAAGAATTGTAATCCCATGTAAAATGTCTGTCTGTAATGATGTGTGTGCATCATCATCATCATCATTTTCATCAATTCAAGTCATCATCATCATCGTTATTTGGTAGCTTTCAATTTTGTTTGATTAACAACAAATTGATTGTTATTTTTTCTGATGAAATTTTTTATTATTGATTTGCATTTATTTCATTTTTTTTTTTTTTTATTTTGTTTTGTATGAGTGAGTTTTTTTTCCATTTTCTTTCACTACTATTGTTAAACATCACACTGAATATTGTTGTTCATTATAATAGATTCATTATAATGATAATGGATTCCAGTGAATCAATTGATATTGTTCAACATTCATCATTAATGATTACTGGCAATTGTTATGATCAAAACAATATGGATATTAAATCTCCAATTCAACAACAACAACAACAAGATTCACAATCATCGGAAAATCGATCATCACCAATATTATTATCAACATCATCGTCATCATCATCATCCACATCATTGATGAATAAACCAAATAAATGGGCACATACATTACGTTTTAAATATAATCCAAATCAAAATACACAATGTAAAAGTAATTCATTTCTACATAAATTTAAATGTAATTGTCCATCGTCATCATCATCAACATCAACAACAACATATAGTGATAATAATAATGATGATTGTAGTAATGAACAAAATGAAAATAATCCAAATATGAAAATCAATAATAATAATAATAATGAAAATCGAATAAATCAATCATCAGATGAAACTAGAACAATTGATGATGGTAAAATTTCCAAGAAAATAAATCGACCAAAATCAATACCATTGATGACAACAAATTCATCGCCATCCGTATTGACATCGATGATGAATCAAAAATATCGTAAATATGAACAACGACAACAACAACAACAGCAACAGGGACAAAAAAATACAAGATCATCATCAATAACAACAGTACCGAATAAATTTAATAGTTTTTCATCATCATCACCATCACCATCACCATCATCATCATCATCATTATTATTGTTGAAGACAAATTATGATGAAAAAATCATCAACAACAATAATCAAAACCAGCAAGCAATTCAAAATAAAAATATAACCACCACCACCAATAATAATAATAATAATAACAACAATGGTAATGATAATGAAAAACAAAATAGACAATCAAAATCATATAATGATCAATTAAATGAACAAAATTCAAATGAATCGTTTATAAATAACAATAATAATGATGATGGTGGTGGTGAACAAAATATTAATCTCAATTCAGATGATGATGAATGTTTGAATATTTCACCCGAATTCAAGGTAAGTCGTCATTTTTTTTTTTTTTTGGTTGTTCAATATTATAGGTTCAAATTGTTCAAATCAAAAATCACACACAAACACGCATTTATTTTTTGTGTGGTTTTTTTTTCTCTATCCTTCTCCTCAACATTCACACACACACACACACACACACACACACTATACACGTGAATACAAATTGTTTAGGATCGCCGTTGGGATGTGGTCAACGAATTATTTGATACTGAAAAACGTTATTGTGAAATATTAAAAATTCTATACAATAAATATATATTACGTTGTATAATGGCAACAAATATGGCTGAAACAAATACAAAATCATCTCGTTATAATAATAACAATCAAATGATTTATGGAACAATGCCAAGAATGAATTCAGCAGCAGCAACAACATTACCACAATCACCAATCGGTAATAATATTTCTAATAATAATAATAATAATCAACAACAAGGTCAACAACAACAACAACAACAACCAAATACAATATGTCCTGAATATCTAAAAACAATAATAGAGTTATGGCCCATTGCAATGGGTATACATACAAAATTTTTAAAAAATTTACGTATAGCTAAATCAAATTGGTCAATGACACCATCACCATTATTGGGTAAAATAATTGAATCATTATTACAGGAAAAATTGCTTGATTTTTATCTTTGTATGGTTGAAAATTATTTTCGTATTGCATTCATATTGAAATTAATGAGTGAACCACGTTGTACCAAGAATCATCATCATCATCATCATCATAAACAGCAACAACAACAACAACAGCAGCAGCAGCACAATTTCAACCAAAACCAAAACCATCATCAACATCATAATCATAATACTCAACAACAACAGCAAGGATATCGTTTGTCACGGTCAAGTTTTGAAAAAAAATTTCAACGTAATAGCGGTGATCAACAAAATTTGGTTGATGATTTAATAGCAACGAATTTGGCAAACAACAACAACAGCATTCAACAACAAAATACAATTATTGGAAAAGAAATGAAAAAGAACAATAATAATGAAAATGAGAAAAATAATATGATGACCTCAATAAAACGAAGCCAAAGTGAAAGGATGACCTTTCAGGATATGATCATATTCACTATACAACGTTTTCCAAAATATAGTATGTTCATTACAAGATTAATTGCCGTGACACCTCAAGATCATAATGATTATGAATCATTACAACAAGCAAAAGGTAAATTTTGTTTTCTGTTCTCGTTTTTTTTTGTGGTACCATATATATATTGTTTATTTGTTCACCCTACCCATAAAAATGATTTATAAATGAATGTCATATGAATTCATTTGTGGTTTTATTTTTATTTTTTTTTTTTACTTTATGCCTCATTCATAATCATCATCATCATCATCATCATTTTGTTTTCAACACATAAAGAAAAATTGCAAATATTTCTAGATAAAATAGGTCGACCAGATCAACCATCAAGTATACCGTGTTGGCAAAAACAGACACCACAACGACCAATCACAATACAGATGAAAGATTTAGCCACATTGATTGATGAAACACAATGGATTTGTAATCAATATCCATCCGATTGTTTAGTGTATATATTTGATAATTTATTAATAAAAAAACAACGTAAACAACAGGAAACTGATGGTGCATTATTTGTATTATCAGATTCTGTTTTACTTGCCGAAAAAATTAATCGAAATAAACGAAGATCATTTAGTCATGAATATCGATTACAACAGATGATACCGATTGAAAATCTTGATCTTAGATGTCAATGTTGGCAACGAAATCTGAATAATAATAATAATAATAATAATGCACATCAGCAACAACAACAGCAGCAACAGCAGCAGCAGCAACAACAACAACAACAACAACAACAGTGTTTATTTTTTGATCAACAACAATCATTTATTAATAATTTATTCATGGAAACGACAATTCAATCAGAATTTATAGGTCCATTATATAATTGTCCTGGCTGTATTGATACATTACATTTAGATGTACAAAAAATATATGAATTACAAAGTTTATCAACTGAAATTGAAACATTACCAATTCGTCGTACAATTGAACGTACATTCACCAATTATCTATTGTTAATTGTTAAACAATTAGCTGAAATGAAAGAAAGTTTATTTCGTTGTTCAAAAGAACGTACAGTAGATTTATTGATTACAACACAATTGGATAGAAATTATTGTTCAGAATTTAGTAATGGATTTAATAATTACATTATAAACAACAACAACAACAACAATAATGACAATAATAATAATGATAATGATGTACAAATTGATGGACAATCTGATAATATTATGACAACACAAGTACGTGCAACACATTATAGATGTGAATTACATCGTAAATTAATCAATAATGATGGTATCAATAACAATAATGGTGGAAATGGTGGTGGTCCAATAAATACATCGATAATCAATAATTCAAATAATATAAATGATGATCTACTATTCAGTATTACATTTGATAATATTGAAAAAAGACGTGATTTTGAATTGTTCATTAGTTGGCTTCGTGAATTGATATTGAAATCTAGATTTCAGCTTAATTATCTTGGTATTATACCATATCCGTAAGTATTGTATATTTTTTTTTGTTTTGTTTCTGTTGCTTGTTTGAAATTGAATTGTTTGTTTTTTTTACTTCTTCTTGAACAGACATGAACGTACAAAAATACCATTTAAATGTGCTGAACCAGTAATTGGTTTAGATCATATTTGGATCTGTAATTCAGATCAATCATATGGTCAGATTAGTGTTCTATCAATGAATCAAAAACCAGGCACAGTTATTTCATCCAATTTTATTTGTAGTAATAAAATTGTTTGCATGAAAGCTGTACCGCCTACATGTCCAACAAAAAATTTTCATCATAATCAATCCAAATCAGAACATTTATCATCACCTGTACAACAACAACAACAACAGCAACACCAACAACAACAACAACAATATTATCATCAACGTGAACGTAATCGACGTTCATTTCTATACAATATTGATGATCCATCATCAATTACAAACAACGATATGAATAATCATCATCATTATTTACTTAAATATCGACAAACTGTACCAGCATTAGAAAGAAAACGTAAATCTAATAATCGTTATAAAAATATGGAATCTATTCCATGTACTCGTTCGGATGAATTATTTGATTCAAGTTATCATTCCTCATTACCATCAGCAACAGCATCAGCAGCAGCAACAGATGAATATATGAATATTTTGTCAAAAATTGATTGTATGGCTAATAATGTTAATGATGATGATGATATTGGCAATGATAAAACAACAACTAAAAATTCATCATCATCATCAATATTAATACGTAATAGACTTTTATCACAAAAACAACGATCATTAGAAACAACAGATTTTGAAAACAATTATCAAACAATTGATACAAATATTGAACCAATATTGGGCACTACTAAACATCATAGACGTAGTATTTCAATATCACCAGATTCACCAACAATGTGGCTAGGCACAATTAATGGTGAATTATTGATTTATTCTGGTTTAAATTCAGTACGAATTGGAAAAAAATCTAAAATTGAATTAAATTCTGCCATTGAAACAATTGAATATTATCGACAAAAAGTTTATGTTTGTTTAGCCAATCAAACGGTGGCTATATTCGGTATAAATAATCAAGGATATTGGCAAATTAAACCAGAACGTTTCGTAAACGATTGCCATTGTCATAGAATCTGTATTGTTGCCGAATTTGAAACATTATGGACAACATCATTGAATATGATTTTTATACGTGATGTTCAACTTAATCGTTTGACGGTATGGTTGAATTGAAATGAATTTATTATTTTTAAAAAAAAAAAAATGTTTCTGACCACCCACATAGGAACCTATCCATGTACATGAAATGGATGAAATTGATTTCATTGTAGAGAATAATCAAACGATATGTGTGGCATCATCAACCAATTCGATTGTCTATCGTTTTCAAGCTAATGAACCATATGAATTATTGCAAACAATTTCTGTGGAATCATCAATGGGAAAAGGTATTTTTTTTTTTTTTGGAAATTTTTCATTTTTATTCGAAAAAAAAGTTTTATTCATAAAATATGTTTTATTCATTTTCTTTTCACAATAATGACTGTCAATAGCATTAAATATACCATCAGAAGCAATAATTGCATCAGATTTTATGACAATAACAGCAATGCATTCAGTACGTGATCGAATATTATTAGGCACTGCTGTTGGTGTTATTGTCATATTGGATAAAGCCAATACATTGGATATAGGTTTGCATGTTATATATTGATTTTATTTTATCTAATAATAACTGATATATAATTCGGATTAATTAATTTCAGTATCAAATGGACATCGTAGTCAGGTAAAATTTCTGACTAGTCTTTTATCCATTGATGGTGATCAATATATTATATCCGGTGGTGAAGGTCATGATCGATTTGTTAGTTTAGATGAAATGACATCCGTTACTCCTGGTACATTAAGTAATCAATTTAAAAATTATATTAAAACAATTGCTGTAAGTAGCTGAACAATTGAATCGAATTTTGATCAATTTGAATGAATCAATAATTTTTTTTTTCTTAAAAACAGCGACATTTTTTACGTGGTCGATCATCAGGCAGTAGTAGTGGTAGTGGTGGTAATATTTCATCACCTTCATCATCTTTTTCATCAATAAATATGAATCTACCATCTCCAATTGGACCAATACAATCATCATCAAGAGATCATCTTTTAACACCATTAGTTGAATCAACTAATACTACACCGGTTAATCAATCACCAGTACCACCAATTAGTGATTATAATAATGGCAATCAACAACGAAAATTATCGGCATGTGAAGCAATGATTTATCTATCACCTAAGACAGGAAACAATATGATTGATAATAATAATCATAATCATCATCGATCTAAATCTGAATCATCAACACCATCAACACCTGAACCTGAACCATCATCATCATCATTATTATCATCACCATCACCATCATTAGCAGCAAATTCAACATCACCAACTTTGCCGCAATCATTAGCAACAGAAGCAGCAGTGCCACCACCACCGCTTCCTCCACCACCTCCACCTCCACCTCCCCCACCGCCACCGCCTCCACCGTCATCTTCATCTTCAGGATCGTTAAAATCAAGAACATCATCGTCATCAACCGTATCAATAACGATGAACGATGAGATTGATACACAAAACTATATACTTAGCTGGCAAATTCAATTTTAATCGAATAAATAGAAAATAGAAAATTATTCACTCATTTGGCTTAATAATACAATATTAATATTAGTTTTTTTTTCACATTTAAAAAAAATGATGAATAAATAAACAGATTCTTTATTAATTGTTTGTTCATTGCGTTTCCATTTTCCATTTATTAAACAAATGAGCAGATTGAATTTTGTTTTTGTTTTTATTACACCGTAATACAAATGCCATCTGTTGATCAAAATTTTAAATTCACTCACATTAATTCGATTTTTCTGTGATGTTTCATTGTTGTTATGAAAATAGTATAATTGATTGTTGTTTGTGAGTGATTTAATAGTTTGGGTTCAACGTAACAACGACGATGGCGACCACGACGAATATTTCGTCATCGGATACGAATATCAACAATCAATTAGCATTCGATACGGCCAATTCGGAAACTCATCAATATTATTTGGATCGTCTTAAATCGATGGTTGAAAATGATAATTCCAGGTTTGTGTGCATGAATATCAATGAATGAATAATAATTAATAATAAACATTAATTTGTATTCGTTAAATAGCCATATGAAAAAATATATCAATGATCAATTATTATCCGATCTGGCTACAAGTCTGTTGGATCAAACAGTTATTAACATATTGATTATGTTACGTCTACAACAAGTGAATAATGAACGTGAATTGATGCAACAACGTGATTCAATGATTGCCAAACTTGATGGTAAAGAATTTCCTAATTAATCATTCATTAATCTCATCCAATGTTTTTTCCCATTGTATTTATTCAAGCTAAACGAAATAGTAAAATCGAACAAGTTGAGAAAAAATTTGCCAATGGTGAGATTACATCATTTAAACGTGATGATCTACTCAAGGTAAATGATTGTTGTTGTTGCTGCTGTTTTGTTTTAATTTTTTTTTTCAAATGTTTTTGTTATCAGGAAATGAAAAAACATTACGAAGAGAAAATCGTATCGATCGATATGCATCTTTTAAATCTTGTGGATAAAAATGTATATAAATGATTTATGGTGAATTCATTATTGATCCATTTATTCTCAAACAGGTACGTGAACAACAGAAAACATTGATGGATGCTGAAATACCTGGTTTCCATATTACGAATAATTCACATGAAATTGAAGCTCAAGTTAAATTGTTGAATTTCATTGAACAAATTATCAATCTAAGTGATGAATCAAAATTGGCAATAAATTGAATTAATTACGGAAAAGAAATCAAAAAAAATTCAATCAAAAATCAAATTCATCTGAAAATAATCGATACGAACAAAATGATAAATGTTTTTTTTTTAAAAGAAAGTGAAATCAAAATTTATCGAATTCACTAACAAATAATGTTAATATTGATCGTTGTCGTGTAAATGTTCCTAATCGATATCCGGTGGACAATAATTCTAATTCAATTTTTTGTGGTCCATACAATGGCCAAATAATTTCAACATTTGCTTCATTTCCACGTTCATTTAAACGTAAATGAAAATGGCTACGTTCAGCTAATTGAAAATCGTTTGAATTAGGATCATATTGTTTCATCAATTCTGGATATTGTATTGGTAGCCCGTAAGCATTATTCAATTGTAATGTAAAATATGCCCGATTCTTTGGTTGTGAATCTAAACGTACTGTATATAAATACATTGAATTTGTACCATTTAAAAATCTTGTTTTTGTACGATAAATTGAATAATAAAGATAATCATTTTGATGATAATCATTCAGCGATTGAAGTTGTTTATATTTATCCATCCATATACATTGAATACTGTTTTTTTTATATAATGATCAAAAAAAAACGAATTACGATCATGTTATATTGAATATCGACCTACCTTTGTTTTGTACGTCTAAATTCATATCCAATTGGACATTCAATATCAGCACATTCATATGATCCAATTAAATTGATACAATGTTTTCTTGATGATGGTATCAATAATGAATATGGACAAATTGTATGATCATCACATTCATTTACATCAGCACAATGATTACCAGTTTCTTGTTGGAAACCTTTTGGACATTCACATCGATATGAACCAATTTGATTACGACAAATACCATGACATTCTGTTTGATAAATTAATTCTGATGATGATGATGATAATAATGATGATTGACTATTGGATACACTGTCAAACGGATGCCAATCCATACATTCATCAATATCTGTACAATTATGTTTATTTGCCATTAATTGATAACCATTAAAACATTCACATCTATAACCACCGATTGTATTCACACATGAATGTTCACAATAATTCCATTCATATCGTAGACATTCATTTACATCTTGACATCGTTTTGTTATTGTATCCCAAACGAAACCAATACCACAACCACATCGATATGATCCAATTGTATTGAAACAGGTCATTGATTGTCGATTACATTCCATAATAATATCAACTTGAAGACATTCATTCGTATCGACACATTGCCTATGTTGATTCAATTCATAACCAGGTTTACAAGGACATTGATAATAGCCATCACTATTTTTACATTGTTGATTAGGTCCACATCGATCTATTTGTTCAAAACATTCATCGATATCTTCACATATCATTTCTATGAAATGAAGTGATTAATTAATAGAAATCATCATTCTTTTATTTTATATAAATTTCACTACCTTTTGGATTAAATCGATATCCAGTTGAACAAATTGATACACATTCAAATTCATCGTTATTATCTGCTTTCAGAATGCATCTTTCCGTTGGTAAACAAGGATCATTAAAACAGGGATTTTGTTTCGGTTGACAAAGGCCAGTTTCATAATCGAATACCATATTTGATTGTTCACAATTTGTTCGACGACAAAATCCATTAACTAATGCTTGACCTTTGGGGCAACGAATACGATCACATTTAAATGAACCTTGTGTATTACGGCAACTATAATCAGGACCACAATGATGAATATTTAATTGACATTCATCAATATCATCACATTCGTATGTATCAGCATTAATTGTATAACCTGTGCCACAATCTTGAACTCTAACACATAAAAATGATCCAATTGTATTATCACATCTTAATGCTTCATGGCAGGTATGTGTTCCAATTTGGCATTCATTTATATCTTTGCATATTTGTTCAATTCGATCCCAACGAAAACCAATTGAACAATTATGATTATCATCACTGGTATTTTCCTTTTGATTATTATCTGAATTTTCAATCACAATTGATTGATCATCATCAATCGTAATGTCTACCATTCCATTTGCATAATCAAATTCACTTAAATCAATATCATCTATTGTTATAATTGTTTCATTGTTACGATTGTATGAATAAATTTGTTGACGACAGCATTCAAAAAATGGTGATGGCAATAATTGATTTTCAACAATACTCCAAACGGATGATAATTGATAATTAATAATTCTATTCATTCGATGACAATGTTGTAATGAACCAAAATAATTGGCAACTGATATGCCAGAAATGCATTCTTTACAGCAACGATATGATTCCTGATCATATGTTGATGAATGTTTACGTAAAAATTGTTCTTCACATGTTGTTATTTGTGTATGATTCATTACCAAAATAGCCATCGAACGGCCAACATTACAACGTTGTTCCCATAATGACTGTTGACAGCATACCTGATAGATTTGTTCACAGAATGTTTGTTCAAATGGTGTGTTTAATTTTTTACGTATTCTTGTTATTCTTTTTGTTTTTGTTGAACAACTTTTTGAATCATGATCTCTGCCTATTGTATGTCCTACTGAACAACATCTTCGTAATGGATCTATTAATAAATTTTTTCGATATTTAAAATCAATTGATGATTCAGATGAATCATCAACAATATTTGTGGTCATTATCGTAGATTGAGCCATTGAATCTGAAGAAAGAAAGAAAAAAATTGAAATTGCAAATTTTATTTTCATTCACTTTTTTATCTACTTACTAATGATCATAGTGATCAATATAATAAACGACAACATTGTCGTTACATTTAACATCATTGTTGAAAATTTTTTTTTTTTTTTGCCAAAAGAACGATTTTTTTTTTAAAAATGAGTGGCCACAAAAAAAAATATTTGTTCATTGTTTGTTTGAATACAGACTTCCAACCAACCAGGAACCAAGCTTCAATAAAATTATCAATTAAAAATTATCAATTATTGTGAATAACTAACATACACACACAGACACACACACATGCCTTACAGCATAATCTAATCTAATCATTGTCTCGATTTGTTTCTCATTTCATATTTCGATAATTTCTTCAATCTGCTTTCATGAATTTTTATCATAATTTTTTTCTGCTGATTTTTCATTAACAATATAGTATTTTCAATTGATTGATTGATCGATGAATCATATTCAAATGTAAAAGAAAAAAAAATTGAAAAATTATAACCGTATGTATTATTTGTACGGTCATCCATATATGAACATTTCATACATACAAACACACACACACACACACATTTGCTATATATTATGCACACAAACACCACATGCAACATGTGTGTTTATAAGATGAACACACACACACACACACACAATGAATTCGTGATAATGGAATTTTTTTTCTGTTTTGTTTTGTTTTGTTTATATATATATATGAATGATTTTTAGATTAATTTTCATTCAATTACATATCAACAGTTAGCTAGATCTGGCCAGAAACGAAATTGACGGCCATTTTTTTTCGATAATAAAGGTAAGTTTTTTTGTATGATTCTAAAGAGAGTCCATTTGTTATTGTTCAACATGTTCGTAATTTTTTTTTCTCTCAATCACCACACATTGATTTATATCGATTTTTTTTCCAATAAGAATAGTTCGTAATTGAACGCTTCACCATATATACCCTTCGAATTTCAGAAACAAACCTAAAAAACAAAACGTTATCAAGTAAAATAACCAAACTTACCAAATAGCTGTGGATTTTTCTCTTGTCAATGAGAAATCCGTAAAACTAGAAATGGAGAGTTAGTGGAATATCATAAAATGAAACATACCCGAAATATTGGTTAACATTTGTGATGGAACAAAGTCAGTACCAAATAATCATCATAACCCGATAAAATTTCATGATCATTTGACCAAAAATTGTCCAAAATCAGCAATCAAAAATGAACAAGAAGAGTGACGAAGCTTGAGAAAAAAAAACGAGCATTTTTGCACAAAGACCAAATGTAAAATATTTTTTCCAACCGTCAAGCAAAATGCTTGCAAGCATGTTTGTTCATTTTGATAACCATCAAAATGCACTGTTAAAGTTAAACAACCATTTTACAAGGCGGAGCATAGCTTACATTTTGAAAGGTGAAAGGGTAAAATGTCTCGAGGCCATAATGACCATTCGATTAGCTTTCAATCTTGACGAATCACCACATATCACATTGATTTATATCGATTTTTTGTCCAATAAGAATAGGTCAAGATTAACTATTTTTTTTATTGATTGATTGAATCATTATTTATGTTTTTTAATTATCTAAAAATTATAAAAAAAGTTTTTGCATTCTTGTAAATCATTTTCATAACCAATTGAACAGTTCCTCACCATTCTGAATATTCTGACAAACGCATGCGTTAAATTTTAATTTTTTTTTACATTAATTCATTTTACAATATATATATTTGTCTGTTTGTGTTTCACTACAAACCCAAAAAAAAAAAAAAAAAAAAAATAACCCGCAACTACACAGAAAGATCCAATACTCGTATATATAATTTAACAACTTTTTTTTCCATTATTATTATCTAAACAACAACGATGAATATTGATTGAAAACAGATATGAAATGAATATATAATGATTATGTTGATAGATGATGTGAAAGATGCATCTAGGTGATGAGTTTGGTGGTGCTGGTGGTGGTGGTGATGGTGATGGTGTTGGTTGGGGGCAAAAAAGCAAGAAAGTTGATTGATAAATAATTTTTTGAGCCAAAAAAAAATATAGGCCAGTGTTGAATTTCTAGCCACCATATATTTATACACATAAACAGTTTTTACCACTACAAACACCATCATCATCATCATCATCATAATAATATGGACCAAACATAGTACTCAATATTGTTGTTTCTATTTTGAGCTTAAATTCTGATTCTGTACATATATATTCATTCTATATATATGGAATATACAATCTGGTGTCCAATCATCATGATCCAGTTTTAGTTTGGTTCCAATTTTTTTTTTATTGCTGGTATCTTTCTCTCGATGCGTATTGTGTGTGTGTGTGTGTGTGTGTATTTATTGTATCTATCGTATACGACAACAACGACGACCCGGCAAAGTCATTTCTTTTTCTGGTTTTGGATTTTCAAAAATTTTTTTTCTGTCTGATGTGTATCTTTGGATAATGATGATTATGATTTTTTTTTCTGTTCCATTAAACATCTATGTTCTAAATTCAAAATGGCGTAAACAAATGTGATCTAAATCATCTGTTTTCATAAATGTATAAATGTTTAAATTGTCAAATTTTATCGTCATTGGTCATTCCTTGATTCATTGAGAATTTTGTTTTTTTTTTGAATTTTATCAATTGTTTACCTTTCCATTTCAACAGAATTCAATTCATTTGAATTTTTGATTTGATTATCTGAATTGTTTTTTTTGTGTTACTTCACAATCCTAAAAATCATTATGAAATCTAATAATCATCAATCGCAACAACCACAACAACAACAACAACAACAATCGACAACAGATGTTGCCATTAGCCATAGTACAACAATATCGACAGCTACTGAAGCAACTAAAGCTGAATTTCAGGTTTGAAATGTTTTTTTTCTGTTTTGTTTTATTTTTTTAAAATTCTACAGCAAATGACAAAAAAAACAAAGAATCAGAAACAATTTTTATTTGTCATCGTTATAATTTTTTTTTTATTTCAAACAAAAAAAAACATTTGCAAATCGTGGTTTTTCTGTTTTCACTTTCAATTCAAACATATTGACTTTTCAATTATTGAAATATATGGATGGGGAAAAAAACAGCAATCCTCTTCATCATTATCTCGTCATTCAACGATTGGAATGGATTTCCATTGTCGTCATTTATTATGTTGATGGTGGTATTGGTGGTGGTGGTGAGAAATGTTTTACCATACGATAAAACGATCAGACTATAGATTCAATCAATCAATCAAAAAAAAAGAAGAAAATTGAATCTAGTTTGACAACATTCTTTACAGTATTTTTTTCAAAAAATATAAAATTTCTGTTAATTTTTTTTCAGATCAGCAACAAAACTAACAAAAAAAAACTTGAATGCCATTACCATTGATGATGATGATGATTTTGTTTTAAATTGTTTTTTAATTTCAATCAATCAATAATCAATCATCCATAGTGATAGTTTTTGCTTTCATTTTGGATGATTCTATTCTTCTGTGTATGTAGTTTGCCATTTTATTTTTTTTCTCTATCTCTATCTTTCTTTATTTATATTTTAGCCATGTTTTCCTGGTTATTATTAATTTTTTTGTTCTTCTTTCAAATATATTAAATAAACAAAACAAATCAATTACGACATATAGGGATGTTTAGTAATTAATTTTACTTTTTTTTTGTTCGCCCATTAATTACTCCCATCTGAGAGAGACACTGAGAGAGAGAGAGAGAGAGAAAATGTCATAAAACATTTGCCATCAATAATCAATTCTACTATCCAAACCGAATTTTGTTTTTTTTTTCATAAAATAAATATATATGAAAAAAATGTACTGGTAATAATTAATTAATTGATTCAATCAATTGATTGATTGATTGATCGATTCGATTCGATTCGATTCGAAACGATTCGTTTGATTTTAATTGCCATGAACACATACAGATACACAAACGATAGAACTTTATGATCTTTTCCAATTGTTTTTTTTTATTTATTTGTTTGTTTGTATTTATCTCTCGTTTTTTTTTATTATCATTGAATTCATTCATTTAATCATTCGTTTATTGGTATCATCATCCAATCGATTCGATCTATTATTATTTGCTATTTTTTTGTTGTTGTCGTCGTTGTTGTTGTCATTTTTTCTCGATGATCATGAATTTATAGAGAAAAAAATTATTTATTTAACCTTGATGATTTTTGAAAATTCATTCGTGTTCATCATTTTTGTGTTTCATTTTTTTTTCTGATGACATTTATTCATGACTTTGATATATAAAAATTTATGTTCACATGATGATAATCGATAGTTTTTGTTTCCGGAATTCATAACGACATACACACACACACACACACAAAACCATTCAGTTATTGAGTGATTGATGTTGTGATCATACCTTGATATTATTTATCGGTTTATTTTAATCTCACTTTCTCTTTAATTTTTTTTCTTATTTCATCTATTTTTTGTTCGTCGATATTTACCTCTACCATTCATCATCTAATAATTGTTGCCGGATATTTTTTTTTTTTCACTGTTTAGTTTCGAAAACCAACCACCGAATTCGATGATCTTAATTTTAAACAACGGCATCGTCGTCGTATGAGTTTACCGATGACAAATCGTCCAACCATGGAACAAGAATCAATTGTTGAGAAAATGGAACGTTTAATGGCCAGTCAGAATGTGACCGATGTACCAAAAACGGCTGGTCTTGTGGCCAAAATTGTTAGCTCATTGGATACGGCTGCAGCAGCCGCTGCAGCTGAATTAGCTAAAACATCAACAGTAAGACAGAAATCAATATCACCAGAATCTGGTAATAGAAATAAACAACAGCAACAATCAACTAATCGTTCACGTCGTGATTCAAATGCTTCACATTCATCAATGGGATCATCATACACAAGTGATGAAGAAGATTCGGATGAAGATGATGATATTGATTCAATTTCACCACGATTTCGACAACCACGACCAATTAATACAAAAAAACAATCTGATTTTTGTGTACGCGATATTCGTGATGCTGAATTTGGCCGTAGAGAGATTGAATATGCTGAACGTGGTATGCCAGGTATTATGGCCTTACGAGAATCGGCCAAAGATGATCAACCATTAAAAGGAGCTCGTGTGATGGGTTGTACACACATCAATGCTCAAACAGCTGTATGTATCGATTGTTTTGTTTTTAATCGATTTTTTTTTTATAATTTTCAATTTTACAAATGCTAGGTTTTGATTGAAACTTTGCTAGATTTAGGTGCTACTGTACGTTGGTCATCATGTAATATTTATTCTACTCAGGATTCTGTTGCCGCTGCATTGGCTGAACGTGGTGTACCAGTTTTTGCTTGGGCTAGACAAAGTGAAGATGATTTCTGGTGGTGTATCGATCAGTGCCTTACCACCGATTCATGGCGTCCAAATCTAATTCTTGATGATGGTGGTGATGCTACACATTTAATGTTGAAAAAATATCCGGCATCCATTAAATTGTTGAAAGGAATTGTTGAAGAATCATTGACCGGTGTACATCGTTTATATCAGCTATCGAAAACCGGTAAACTTTTAGTACCGGCCATCAATGTTAATGATTCGGTAACCAAGACCAAATTCGATAATCTCTATTCACCACGTGAATCCATAATTGAAGTGTAAGTTTTTTTTGTATTGAAAAATAACCAAAATTCAATTCTAATCCATTCATGCCATTACAAAAACAGATTGAAACGTACTACTGATACATTATTGGGTGGACATATTGCTCTTGTCTGTGGCTATGGAGAAGTTGGTAAAGGTTGTGCATCCGCATTAAAAGGTGCCGGTGTCATTGTTTTTGTGACCGAAATTGATCCAATCTGTGCGATACAAGCTTGGTAAATGATTCTAATAGTTGAAATTTGTTCAAAATTATTCTAATTTCATTATTACTGCTACTAGCATGGATGGTTTTCGTGTTGTAACAGTGAATGAAATGATTTCAGTTGCTGATATTGTCATTACTGCCACCGGTAATAAGAATATTATTATTCGCAAACATATGGATAAAATGAAAGATGGTGCCATACTCTGTAATATGGGACATTCCAATAGTGAAATTGATGTTGTAAGTTTTCATCATTATAAAATTATTCAAAAATGTTTATTGATGATTGTATTATATATCCAATAGAAAAGCATTCGAACATCGGATTTAATTTGGGAAAAAATCCGATCACAAGTGGACCATATAATTTGGCCAAATGGAAAACGGCTAATTCTACTTGGACAGGGTCGTATTGCAAATCTAAGCTGCTCACATATGCCATCATTTGTTGCATCAATCACCTGTACTACACAGGTAATGGCATTGATTGAATTGTATAAAGCACCATCTGGTCGTTATAAATCGGATGTTTATCTATTACCGAAAAAGATGGGTAAGATTTCCGTCAAAAAGATTCATAATAAACAATATAATATAATCATATATAATACGAATCTTTATTTTTTCAGATGAATACGTAGCTAGTCTACATTTGGCTTCATTCGATGCTCATCTTACTATTCTAACTGAAGAACAAGAAAAATATATGGGTATTTCTAAATCGGGTCCATTCAAACCGAATTATTATCGGTATGTGTATTATTAGATGGATTAGAAAAAAAAAATTTTAATTTTATTTGTTCCAATTTGTTTGTTCCAAAATAGGTATTGAAAATTATGGATTTTTTTCTGGCAAAAAACGCTTTTAATGATTGCGGACACATTGTGAAGCTGCCTGATTTTTTTTTCTTTCGTCAATTTCCTTGCACCAGTTGAATCAACAACAATGGCCATGATGTCATTTTTGATTGTTACCGTTATTGTATGCACACAAACAAACACTCACTATAAGCCTTTTATTTTGATTTGATAAATCTAAATCCTTCAATATTAGTTATTATCTTCAATTGATCAATGATCGAAAAAAATGATCATTTCAACATTCGACAACCAACTCACCAATAGGAATAGCCAAGGGGTTTTCCATTGACCAATAATCCAACAACGACTATATATTTTTTTTTTTTTTATTTATTTCCCAAGTTTACTATATGAAAATGATCGAATTTAAAAAGTGTACCTCATTTTAAAAAAATTTAAATAAAAAATCTTGGTTTTTCCCCTCATGCTCACAAGCATTTTATTTATTGTTATCACAAAAATTTCAAATGTGTTAACAAATCAATAGAAAAAAATTGATGAAAATTTCATTGTTTGTACTTTTTAAACACTGGTTTCTTGTTCTTCAACATCTGGATCCGATTCATCTAGATTAAAACCTTTTGATGAATGTTCCCATTTTTGGTTTGATTGCTGTCGTTGTTTGGTCGATGAATTTGTTTTCGCTGCCAATCTATGTCGATATCGTCGTTTTCGTTCATCATCATCCAATGATGATGAAGTTGTCATATTTGGTTCTCTTTTATTATTATAATTATCACTTTGGTCATCAGGATTTTCAATCAATTGATTAGCAAATTGAACCGTTTTATTGATAAATGATTTAGCTTGTTGTCCAGCATTCATATGATATGATCCTAATGATGACATCCATGAACTAAATGTAGATTTGGCCGTACTAAGCACCACCTTCGATGCATTATTGATATGTTCTTGCCGATTGCTAAGAAAGCTATTGAATAGCATAAAAATTAATTTAAAGAAAATGAAAAATAAAAATTACTTTGTAATCTTGAATCGTATATCATTCAAACGATTTGCCGTGAATGGGTGTTGTGGTTCGATTTCGTTCAGAAAAATTTCCTCAATCGATTTTCCGCTATCATTTTGACTGTTAAGCCAATGTTTATAGCTATAAGTTTGTTTCCATTCCGAAATGAATCCTGCATTGAATGCTCTGTATTCTTTATTCGATTCTATACAAACAATTTAATAAAACAATTATGAGAGAATAACATCATCATAAAGAATTTACCTTCCATGAAAGAACATCGTAACATATGTATAAGATAATTTTTAAAATGGTATCTACACCAAGCATCACTGCCCTTATAAAAATGTTGATTTTGTTCCAAATTTTCAACATATTCCTCATAATCTTCTGATTCTGGTTGATATCTTTTGCCTTCTTTGAAATGTTGTTTTTCATCATCATCATCTTGATCATCCATTATTGATTCATCAGGTGTCATTGCACGCATCAAAAAAGTTATAAAACGAAGATCTTCAACAGTTGGTGTTAATATTCGTTTTAAATGACTATCATCAATTAAAATTTCATTGTCCTGTGGAAAATGAAAATAATTTTAGAAAATTCTTTAAAAAAAAGTTTAAAATAATAGATATTCACCGCGACAAAAACATCGATATCATTTTCCCAACGTTGAAATATTGAATTTGAAGATCCGGCCAAACATGAACGAACATTCGGATTATTTAGACATTCAAAACATGAAATGGAACAATATGGCAAGCAATATGAATGACATTTAAATAGCTGTAATGGTAAACCATAATATTCAGCTGGTTTAATGAGAATTTCTTGATAATGTCTACTTGAATGTGTTTCGGAATATTGACTTCGAGAATCATCGTCATCATCATCGAAAAAATCCATATCCAAATCAACAACCATGTCCATAGAAGTAAAATCCATTTGGCTACCCCTTGGAGTATCCTGATCATACAACGATATAGTCGATATAACCGAGGATGACAGTGGTGGAGAATCAGTCAATTTCGTTAAATTCTGTTTATCATTATCACATTCGGCAATCTTTTGATTATCATCAGGATTAGATTTTGGCTCGGATTTTTTTGTTGCAATTAGATTAAAATCGTTTAAAGAATTTTGTGAAAATTTTGTTAAGCTCTTGATTCGTTGATTTGTTTTAATTTCAATTGGTAAATGTGATTGTGTCATTCCGTATTGTAAAAGATCGGGAAATAATGAACATAAAGTTAGAATCGATCCAGATAGATCACGAATAGGTGACATGATGAATAGAGTTTTCTTTTCTAACAATAAAAGTTTAAATAAAACAATAACTTGTTGGCCAAATTTTTGGAATAAATTTCGTAACGATAAACCATGATAGATTTCATTTGTTTTAATCAATGTTGGTTTTAGCTGCAAAGCCATTGAATCATAGAATTCATGAAGAATTTCAGTTTTACTGAAATCCAATTCTTGAAAATAATTTCTTGTTATGATACGAAGTTTTCGTTCGACCAATCCATAAAGCGGGGCAGTGAGAATAGCGACTACACTTTTTTGTACTGAACTTCGTGTCATATCGGGTGTTCGAACTCGTAAAATCTATATTTTAAATAGAAAAAAAAGATTAAAACAATGATTCATAACATATACACTCGAATTATACTTTGGTCATAATTTGTTGATAACAAGCAACACCAAACACTGTTCGTGTTGGATCAATGAGATCGGGTAAATGAAAATAAACCGTATCTCGTTCGAAATTATGTGCTCCATCCGGTATGGCTAGTGAAGGCAATGATTTCCAACATTCAGGCAATTGTATTGAATCTTGATTGTTGATAATTTTCATACGTAATTCTTTTGATTCATCATTATTATCTTCTTTATCACAGTTTGATTTATTATTAGAAATAGTGCAGTTGTGGTTCGGTAATGAAGGATAACAGTAATCAATCTAAAAAAAAAAAATTTGAATTAGGCTTGAATAAAGTTTTAAATTATTATTATATATATATATAATACATACCAGACATCCTTTTTTATGATGAAAACCGACGACCATAACGTATAAAATTATACAATCATGATGATGATTCAAGTGATTACCATCATCATCATCATCATCATTAATTGATGATTCAGGAATCTTTGATTGATTCATTATTATCAGTGTATGTAATTGGATTCAAAATAACTTCGTATTGTTTTTGTACATTGATATTCTTTTCGATGTGATACAAATATGTGTAGGTAGATTATGATGTTAATATTTTAGATTTCATCGGGTAAAATCTAATATTCTAATCTGAACAAATCAAATATATATGTGTTGTATGATTGATTTTGATTAACAAACAAACAAACAAAAAAAAGCCAACAACGCCAATGTTTATATAAATGTAAATAAAATGCAAACGCGCAATACACTCGGATTTCCATCCCATCCATCGATGTTAAAATAGTAGTTCTGGATCAGATTCTAATATTCAATGAAAATCAAAAATTTTTTCTATTGGTTTAAATTCAATATTTATTTATTCTAAATCATGAACATTTTTTAAAAAAAAATATTTTGTTTGGACCATAAATTACTGGATGAAAGAAAATTTAATCTCTCCATAAAGAAAAAATGTATCCAATGGATGGATGGGAAAATTATTTAGCCACAGCTTGTGTAGCTAATTTTTTATCCGAACGTTTTATGGTCATCGTTTCGACCATTGGATCACGTCGAAATTCTTTTTTCAATGATTCACGTACTTGTCGTGCTGCAATTGCACTATAACGAAGATATCTGAAAAATTATGCAATAGAAACAAAAAAAAAAAATTTAATAAAACATTGTATTCACAACAACAACAACAACAAATGAGAACAAAAATATTTCGCAAAATCAAAATGAATATCTATAATTAATGTAAAGGTCATGCATCCATTAAAATTATGGACAATCAAATATATATATATATTTTTTTTATTATTATTCAACAAGTGTGCTTGTTTGTTTCAGAAATGATGATAAATGGATGTATGTCATTATAAACTTACGTAATTCCTGCTGATCGCCAATAAGACATTTTTGTTTTTTTATTTGATTTGTAATCTTTTGGAAAATTTGGAAATGGATAGCTAATAAACAAATGTGTTTTTGTTTTTTTTTCTCTATTTTTAGGAATGTAGAAAATTAAAAAAAAAAAAAATGTTTTGTGAACTCAATTTGTGTGTAACACACGGAGAGATAGAGCGAACAATGTTTTCTTTTTTTAGGAGTGGAACTCAATGTGACTTTGTTATATATATATATATAAAAAAATGATGAAAAGTTGAGTGAACGTTTATTATGAATTTCGCTTTTCAACCTTGGTTCACATGCACACACACACGCTCACACATTGATTGGTAAATTGTATGCAAAAAAAAAACAGACAAATACATGCCACACACACATGTGTGTTTGTGTATATGTATGTTATTTGTACCGCGGTCAATTGATTTGTTATTTGAAAAATGATGATGATTATCATTATCAATAATAATGTTTGCTTTTGGTCATTTTCATTTTTATCACCATCATCATCATCATCATGTATATAAGATGAAAAGAAAATGCAACCTTCATAAAATATAATAATAATAATAATAACGTTACAATCGATCTTTTTGGAAAAAAAAACTTTTTTTTTGTTTTTGTTTTTTTTTGTTTGTATTTGTATTTGTTACTGCAGTAAATCTAGTCTTGTTTTTCTTCGAAACAAAAACAAACAAATAAAAATCTTGTAAGTTATTCTTTCAACTTGTTCATTTGGGTTTTACATAGAAAACAAAAATAAAATTATTCTTCGGAATTTTAATAATTTTTCTAGAATTTATCTGCCATTTCGATTTCATTTTTTTTGTTCTCATTAATTCTAACGTTTTCTCTTTTTTTTCAAATTTTTTTTGTTTTCATTTTCTCTTTGTCCATTGGATCGATCATCATATAAAAGTGATGCCATTTTCATTTTTAATCATTTTTTTTATCGTTTGAATGTCAATGCTTCATATGAGATCAATTCAATTATCATTCATCAACAATCCTATTGGATGATTTAGGAGAAAATTGAATTTCGATTTTTTTTTAATCTCAATGTTACCATAAAAATGAATACATTAAAATTGTTATCATCATCAAATCGAATGGTCATAATGGCCAATAATCGCTCAATACAATCAACAAAAAGGATTATGATCAATAATCTTTTATTAATTCGTCGTCATCATTTATCATTGCTGCCTTTGTCATCTTTTTCTATTTTTCATTCAAATAATAATAATTTCCTCTCAAATTATGGATCATTATTATCAAATCCTATTTATGATTATAATAAGAGAAAACATTGTGATTTTCATTCTCGACCTTTATCATCAACATTCACACCGATAAAATCTATTCGATTTAAAACAACAATGAGAAATGTGGCCGTAGAAGATGTTCATTCATCAATGAACATGGATGTATCGATGCCAATGATCAAAACAATCGATATGGTCAATTCATCTCCAATGATCAAACGTCCTGCCTATTATAGACAAGAGATGCTTAATGAATATCCATTCTTATTGCTGGCTTCAACCATATTACCGTCATCATTAAAAATGATTCAATTAATGTTCAAACTGAATCACAATCATTTTTCCACGATATAGCCGCAAAATGTTCGGATGAAAATTTCATGTCACAAATGAATCTATTATTAAATGATAATTGTTCTCGTCAACAATTATTAACCAAACTACGTCTACTTTGTAATTATAATCCAAATTTTTTAAGATTTCTCATCTATGATAATCGTGACAGTCTCTCTTTATTCTGTAATAATTTTGAACATCAAAAAGATTTACGAATTCTTGAAAATTTCTTTTGGTAAGCTATTTATTTGGTTTCATTTCTATTACTTATTACAATATTATTCTTTTTGTAGGGCATATTATCAAGTCTATAATCATAATCTCAATGGATTAATTGCTATGATGATGATGAACGTGATACATCATTCGAAAAATTGTTTTAATCATTGGTTTCCATCGGCAAGCGTTTCACTGGCATGGGATTCATTATTCGAGGATAAATTATTATTCGATATGGCCATATGTTTTGATCTGATTGGTTGCGCTATTGAATTACATGATTGGATCGTTATAAATGAAAGATCCAAAATTAATGAATATCATCATTTGAAGCAGAAATTCACCAATATTCTAGTGTTGACTGGCGATTATTGTTTTGTTAGAATGTTGGCCATTTCAGTTTTGTTCTACGATGTTAATCTATTGAATTGTTTAGTGAATGGGCAGCTTTGGCATGTTGCAGGTGAATTTAGTTCATTCGATGTAAAATATTCTTCCGGCAATTATTCAAATGACAATTACAGTGTGATATCAAATGATGTTGACAAGATCATTGAGCAATTTGAACATAGAATTTTAACAGCCGATTCGGAAAGGCCTTCATCATCCTTATGGGATGGATCATCATGGTCAATGCTTGGTGTGAATCGTTTACTCAGCTATTGTTATATGACCAGTGGATATCAACTTAGCCATTTTATAGCCAAAATGTTCCACAAATATGGACTTAATGATGATGCTCAAAAATTCGCCATGGAATTTGGTCATAATCTAGGCATTGCTATCAAGGTAATAGTTTATTTGGAAAAAAGATATCATTTCATGATAATTATTTTTATTCTTCATTTTAAATAGCTATTCAATTTATCGGACAATTCATTGAAATCATTGGATGTAAAAATGATAAATGATGTAAATAAATTCGATGATGTGCCGATCGATATCAAGAGACAATTATTCGAACATTATATTGATAAAACGAAAAATTTACTTGACGAACATATTATTCAAAGACGACGACAGCAACAACAACAACAACAAGAATCAACCCAGCTCAGTGATCGTTCGATGATATTTATTGATTTATTCAAACAATATCTTGATCAATTAAAGATATCATCGAATAAATGAAACTCATCATCATTGCAATTGTAAATTGATTGTTTATGTTTTCACTTGTCGAATCATATTTTTATTACATTGATAAAAATAATAATAATCTAAATTATTAATTCATAAAATTGAATGTAAAAGATTTTTTTTTTGTTCATAAAATGAGATAGATGATAATAATAATAAAAATAATGATGATAATGAGCGAACATGAATAAGAGATCAAATCGTAAAAACAAAAAGTGGACCGGTCAATGGAAATCAAGAAATGACTGTGTTTTTTTTATCTATAACCCAGCATTATGAATGTACAACATGGTTATTGAAGGTTTCGTTTGCAAAATTTATGTGCGTGTACTAAAGGGTTAAGATGATGATGATGGAGTGGTAGTTTCAAGTTTTCTATATTTCATTAGAGAAAAAAAACCAATCAATTCAATACAATTTCTAGGAATTTATGAATAAAAATTATTTACCCATTTGGTGTATTGGAATAAGTAGAATTTGTTTGTGGTAGAACGCCATCAAATTGTTCTTGCATTAATCGATGAAATTTACTGGAAAAGATACGATGTTTATTATCAGTTAATACTGATAATAATGATGTGACCAAACTAAATGTATATTCAGAATTTCGTGCAAATTTGGCAATCGATAATGCATAATCGAGACCGAATTCTTCACTACCATAGCATGGCTGTAATTCTTCAATCAATTCTTTCAAAAATTTTTCTTTTTCTTCGATTTCATTTAATTTATTATCAACAGATGATTTTGTGGAATCGTCTTTCTTTTCATTATCAATTGCATTGTTTATGCCATTCGCTTGATGATCAGCCGTTTTAGTCGTCGTCGTCGTTGTTGTTGTCTTCATGGATTGACCGGTTTCGTCCTTGGAATCATTATCATTGATATCAAAAGAAGTTTCTATAGCTGCCGCCGTAGTAATAGGGACAGAAGTTGTAATCGAATTAGATGCTGTCGTTAATGTAGTATGAGATAAATTCAATGAACTGGTATTGATCGTCGTATTTGTTGATAGTATACTAGAATTTGATGTTAAAACACTGACATCAATTCTACCAGATTCGGTTGGTCGATATATATAATCAAAAGTTAGAGGTTTTATTATTCGTGATCCCGGTTGATTATTATTATGGCTATTTAGATTTTTTGATATCGTTGTCATTGTATTTGGCGATAGATTATCAATGATTGAACAAAGAACTAGACCTTCATCATTGGTTTCTTCCAAATAAGAAAGATATGTTGGTCGACGACTAGATTGTAAACGTTCTCGGGCTTGAAGAGCCGCTTGTTGAACACTTTCAATCAATTCTGAAGCTGTATGACCATCAAAAAGTTCTTCATTTGGATCTCGTCGTGATTTGTTCGATGTGATTGTCGATGATTTTAAATGACCAACAAGAAAATTTGAATCATGTGAACCTAATGAATTCAATTAATAATCAGGTGAAATCATAAGAAAAAAATTTAAAGAAAAAAAAACTAACCGAAATTTTTATTACAATCACTGTTAAATGATGTATTTGATTGAAACATTGATCCATTGAAGCTAGTATATCCAAACGAAGATGGAGAAATCGAACGAAATTGTTGATAACCACCATTTCCAATAGTAATGGCAGCTGCATTATTTACATTAACAGGATGACCACCACCATTCGCTAATGATGATGATGATGATGATATTGATGAGATATTATTATTAAGATTATTGTTCGGTGATATCAAATTCGTATCTTTATTAATATTCGATACTTGGCTCGTCCAATTGTTTGGTGATATGAAATTATTGATCGCCATCGCTGGAGAGGCAATAGATGATGAATCAAAAAAGTTTGATTTGGAACCATTAGGACTTGATGTTGTTGTTTTTGAATGAAAACTTTGAAATGATGTATCTATGTCCAAATTACCGACATTAATGCTTAATAATCCAAATTGTTGATTCGAATTGTTTTGTGTTGATATATTGGATTGATTGGATGCCAAATTCAAGCCCATCATTACTTGATTTGATGGCATTAAACTTAGTTCTAATGGTGTTAATTTTGGATATTTTTTCGAATAATCAAGAACCGAATCTTTTTTGAATAATTTATTTTTTGTATAATGCCACAGTTTATTGGCCGCTTTATAATAAATTGTTTCTGGTCGATTATATTTAGTTGCATTATCGCACATTAATTTAACATCAGCTTTAAAATCACCCAATGTACGATATTCAACGGCAATTTTTGATTTGATTGTACCTAAATCCATTGGATGGGCAATTATCGCTGAATAACCGGGTGCTATTGAATCGGAAACTGGTTGAGCGAAAAAATTTTGTTGATCTTTTCGCTGTAATTGTTTCCATAGATATGTTAATAATTGTTTTAAATGCGATTTTTCATCTTTTTTAGCCGACGAAGATGTTGATGATTTAGTACTGATGTTCATTTGATTTATTGTGGATGTTGAAGAATTTAAATTTTTCATTGTAGTCATCGAATGTGATGATTGTTTCAACGATTCCATTGTCGACTGTTCAATGATAGGTTGATTTGGCGATTTGGATGATAATGATGATGATGATGATGATGAACATAAGGCAACGGATTGTTCAGGACTGATAATTTTCGGTATTTTATATTGACTTGATGATTTATTTGATTTTGATAATTTCAAACGTAATGCATTTCGAGCTTTGGTCGGATTAGAATTCGTTATTATTGTCGGAACTGTATCTGGTGTTTGAATATCACCATTTTGATTCAAATTTTGTTGGCTATTATCAATATTATTATTGCTTTTTATTATGTCAACCACTTGAAGATGAGTATGTGGTTGTTGTTGTTGTTGTTGTTGAGGTTGTTCCAAAATGGCAGATGCAAAAGTAGAACCATTATTAGTATTCATTATAGGATCTAATGAATGTTCCAAAAGATCAGAAGGCGGTGCTGTAGTATCCATATTGGTCGATAATCTGCATGGTAGTATTGGCTCTAATTGCTGTTGTTGTTGAACATCCGTTGATTCTTGACCAACGACAAATGAATCATTCATGGCCATTGGTATGATCGAATTTTCAACATGAACAATATTGCTATCAATATTAATGACATTTTGTTGTTGATGTTTTTTACAATGATGATGATGATGATGATGATGATGGTGATGTGAATGTTTTTTATGTTTTGATTTTTTTGATTTCTTTGATTTTTTCAATTTTTTTATATTTGATGGTTTCATTATCGATAATGATGATGATGATGATGATGCTAATGGTGGTGGATGATCAATAATGATGGCCTTTGTTGGTGATTCTTGATGATTTTGTTGATTTTCATAATCAACATGTTCATGGTTTGATTGAATAAAATCTATCGATTCATTTGGATTAGATAATTGTAAAGAAGAATTTAAAGGCGATAATGATGACGATGAAATTTGTGGTAATAATAATTGTTGACAAGAAGAATTTGAATCAATTGTTGTCGTTGATGATTGTTGTTGTTGTGTTTGTGTTGGTGATAATTGTAATTGAGTTGATTGACATTGACCAGATGATGAATGTACTTTCAATACAATTCTCAATGGTTTATTTGGTACTGGTGATGATTCTAATTTTCTATTCGTTGCTGATGTTGAATCAAGAGTATCACCACCATCATTATTATCGTGACCCGATTGTAATGGACTATGGATACTTTGATGATGATGATCAGATTCAACATTTGTTGTTGTTGAAGAATTTTTCAATGAATTATGATGATGATGGTGATGATGATGATGATGATGATGGTGATGATGTTTTTGTTTATTATTATTATTATTATTCACACATTCCAATTGTTGTTGTTCCAAATCATTATTATCATTATTAATGATTGATTGTTTATTAGAATTATTGCCTAAATCTTCACCATGACCATATGATAAATGAAGATCTGCATTTATTATTGATGAAGATGATGTTGATGGTGGTAGTGGTGGTGGTTGTATGGTCATCATTTCTATTGATGATGATCTTCGATGATGTGATAACGATGATGATGATTTTTTCGATGATTCTCGATCACGATCTTTATTCTTATGTTTTTTATGTTTCTTTTTTGAATTACTACCCATTTTTCTGTTGTGCTTTTTTTTTTTTGTTGTTATTTAAAATTGAAATTTTTTTTTCGTTTGTTTGTTTGTTTAAATAAAGTCTATAATTGTGAAAAAAATAAAATGTGTATCTGTACAATTTTTGATTGGCTAGCCTTATAATTTGTTAAATTCTTTTCATCATTTTTTCTCCGTTATGTGTGTGTGTAGAAATGACCAAAAAAAAAAAAATTCGAACATTTCTGTTTGATCAATTCATATTTTTCGTCGTACGAGTATTATATGTGTTATATATATATGTATCGTCGGAAACAATGGAAAAAATTTGGCGGCATTATTCATTCATTGAGAATTGTTGTTAGGTTGTGTCTGGTTAGCAATGTATTTTTTTTTTATAATGAATTGGATTCTTTTCTCTTGATCATTTTGTTGCTAATTTTTATTTTTCCAATTTCCAACGATGAATTTGAATGAAAACAATAAAAAAAAAAATTTTTCTTTTGAAAAATCAATTTTAAAATCAAGAATCAAATACATACCATATCATATAATTTTTGTTATTGTTGTTGTTGTTGTTGTACGATGGATATTGTGTCATCAATACACACAACTACACACACACCACAGACACACACACAAACACATGAGGTAGCATTTTGATCATCATCAAATTATAATTTAATTAATTTATACAATTTATGTGTGTATATGTGTGTGTGCGTGTGTGTAGAAAGGATTAGAATCATAAACATCAACATGATAAAAAAAAAAACAATAACAGCAACAGTGAAAGTAGCTCATCAATTGTCGAGTATTTTTTTTTTTTTTTTTTTTTATCAAAAACTCAAAAAACACACACACACACACAATTTCAAGATGAAGAGTCGTCATCATTCAATTGTGTTACAAATAGTGGTTTTTGTAGTAGTAGTAGTAGTAGTAGCAGCAGCAGCAGTAGATACTACACACTTACATACATTAGGATTTTTTATTTATCATTTATTTATTTGAAGCAAATAAATGGAGCCAAAAAAAAAAAAAATAACAAATAATGTGGCACCATCTTTGGGCGTCAATAATCAATCGGGATTTTATTCATTTTTTTTTAGTCCATAATGGCAACAAAATCCATCATCAATGGGTGGTGGTAGACAATTTTTTTTTGTTTTCATTTTGATTCAAAAGGTCATTTTATTGAGAATTCAATTTACATATATATACCTACCTCGAAGATTGGATTGTTTTTTTTTGTTTCAATTACCTTCCCACCTATGTAGATTAACAAAAAAAAAATTTGTTGTTTTGTTTCATTTTGTTGCACAAACACAACAGTTGTTGGTAGTGGACATTGAATTATTATTCAATGTAAATTAATTTTTCTTTCCGATTCAAAATGTTTAGCCAAATAAATGAAAATGAAAATTTTGACAGTAATAAATCAGTTAAATGGAATATTTATTTTCATCACATTGTTCTCTATGATGTTATCTCGATGGTCATCGTTTTGTTGTTGTTGTTGATGTGAATCTTTATCAAAATTTAAAAAAAAAAATTGGTCAAGGGATGGATGTGAAAAAAAAAGTTTCCCAAAATTAAATCAGAAAATGATTGGAATTTTTTTTTTCATTGGTCAATTCATATCATATTTTTTTTTCTTTTTTTTTCATTATCGATGAGATCATCATCATCATCATCATTGTTTGCATGGTTCATTTAGGCAGAAATAAAATCTTAAAAATAGCAGCAAACAATTTCAAACAAGGGCATTCCAGCATTCATTAGAATTTATTTGGATATTTTTCTTCTTAACTGGACAATGAATCAAAACGGAAAATGAAAATCATTTAGCCTTGTAGTCTTGATTTGAGTGAGTTTTTTCTTTTCTCACATTTTTTTATTTTTAATTTCTGTCATCATCATTGATACACAAAATGACAATCATCCTATGTGATCATCATGTTATGTTTCAAAATGATTTTTTTTTTATTCCATCTTGTTTTGTTTGGGTTCTTGATCTTGATGGTGGCCAAAAAAAAAAAAAAATTGTTGATTGACGGACACACTTATACACACACGCACACGCACATTATCATCATTGTGATTGTGAATGGTAAAAAAGACATTGATTTTTGATGATAAAAGTGATGAGACATTCAAATAAAGAAGACAATTTAACAAGGTTTTCAAACGATGGATTTGAATATATTTGTATTCAATTGAATTTGTGAAGGTTTCATTCGAATATTTTCCATTTCCAATTGGATCAATTTGATGAATTTTGAAATTTTTTTTCGATCCAAATCATCATCAGCATAATCGATAAATAAATACGGAGAAAAAAATCATTTGGGTAGTAGTTGAAAAATACCAAAGAAAATCATTTGTTTTGTACATTTTATAATGAATCGATTTTAAAATTTTTATATATGATGATTGATCATATCTACGTATATATTAAAATGAACATGACAACATATAGTCTGAATTTAATTTTTTTTTTTTGTAAAAAAATCGATATTGAATCAATATCGATTTTTGTTGTTGTTGTTGTTGTTTTTGTTATTTTTCAATGTTTTTCACACACACACCTGACAACAACAACAACAACAACATTATCATAATGATGGACCTTATTTTTTTTCATAATAAAGCCCTTGGATTCAGTATTTGATAACAGGCGCAGCGTGTTTTTTGTTTTGTTTTGTTCGTTGATACGCAAGCTTTAACCACGCATCCACAACAAACACAGATAGAAAAAAAAAATTTTTGGCGGAAAAAAAATTACAGACGTGTGTGTGTGTGTTTTTAAATGAAAACCAAAAGAGAAAGAGATCAAAAATTTTAACTGTAAAAAAACGAAAGAGAGAGAGAGAAGCCATTATAAATGGTAAAAAACGATAGATTGTTAGTCAGAACATCGATATATTTATAAAAACAAACGGTCGTTTTAGATATTTAGGAGAAAAAAAAGACGAAAATTTTCATTTTCGATTTTCAAAGTTTAATTTTTTTCAGTTTTTAATTATTGTTCCGGTTATTATTGCTGTTTGATTCTGATTTTTTCCTGATTTCTTCAAGTTATAAATTTATGTTTTGTGTGTTTTTTGTTTCATGATTTATTTTATTCTACCGGAAATTAAAGATATAGAAAAAAAAATTTTTAAAAATAAAAATGAATCAATCAATGAGAATAACGACCATTATGGTGATCATAATGATGATGATGGTGATAATTGAAATGCAAGATTCAATTGTCAATGCTAAACGATCATCGAATTCAACCAGAAAACGTTCATCATCATCATCATCATCATCATCATCATCAACAACCACTACAACAACTACTACTGCCATTTTAGATGAACAAATTTTAACCACGACCACCGATATGGATCCGGATATTAAGGAATTATTACGGACACGTACAATCGTATCGAATCATAAAGATGATGATAATTCAAATGATGATGATGATGATGGTGGCAATGAACATGATGAGAATGAAGATAGACAAGATTTACAATCATCATCTACAACAGCAACGACGACAACGACAACAACAACAACAACGACAATGAAACCGAAACCATCAAGAGCATCACCATTTTTAACGAATATCAAATTAAATAACCGTAATCAATCTTTTAATAATAGTCATAGTCAATCTTCATCAAAATGGGCTAATCAATCATTAGAATCGGCATTGATTTCGGGTAGAAATCAATCATCAATCGAATCAACAACAGCGACAACAACATCAATAAATGTACCTAGAAAATCTAAATTTAAATCAACAAATGATAATCAACAACAACAACAACAACAACGACAAAATAAACGTATTGGTCAAAATCATAAAAATCAACCACAATCCACAGAATTGGTTTCCAAAGAAAAAGTTTATAAAACACCACCAATGTTGAAACAAATTCATGATTATTTAATTGTTGTTCTACTCATATCGGTCATGTTTGCTATGGGTTGTTCAATCACCTGGGAACAGGTAGGTGTTTATCAATCAATGGTCTATTTCATTTTCATTGATAATAATGAATATCAGATTAGAATATCTGGATTAATAATAATTCAGATTTAAAAAATGCTGCTGTTGTTTTTTTCCATTTCAAAAAAAAATCAGGAAATTATTTTCATCCACAATGAAAATCGTGTCATTACTACATGGCAACGGCATTCATTCATTCACTATCGTTCACTATTTTTTGTTTCTGTTTTTATTGTTGTTGATTAATTATTAAAATTGATTCAATTTTCATTTAAAAACAAACAAACAAACAAATAAATAGGTCTGGGGACATGTACGAAAACCGATTGGTGTCATAATTGGAATGATATCACAATTTGTATTATTACCAGCATGTGCATATTTCCTGATTGTTGTGTTCCAGATTGATCCATTACATGCAACAGGATTATTGATATTGGCTTGTTCACCTGGCGGTGTTACATCCAATGTTTTTGCATATTTTTGTGAAGGTGATCTTTCTCTTAGGTATGATCATCATTTATTTGTTTATCGTCATTCAATCATCATGAATGATGACCACATCATATAGAAATGTGAAACAAATCTGATTATTTTATTTTTTTTTAGTGTGACAATGACTTCATTTTCAACCGTAGTTGCATTGGTTATGATGCCATTCAATGTATGGCTTTATGGTCGTAATCTTGAAACAGAAACATTAGTTATTCCATATGGTAAAATGACCATATCATTATTATCATTAACAACACCGGTTGCTATCGGTATGGTGGTGAATTGGAAATTACCGAAAATGGCACCAATTCTTACACAAATTGGTTCAATAGCTGGTTTCGGTATCATTATTGTTTGTCAAACATTGGAAGTATTTATTTTTCCAGATATATTTAATGATGTTCCAGCTGTTTTATATGCAGCTGAATTTTTATTACCAATATTGGGTCTAGCACTTGGATTCATTGCTGCAACATTATTTCGTTTACCATATGCTATAAGACGTACAATTGCAATCGAAGCTGGCATTCAAAATGTTGGCACTGCATTGACAATCATTACATTATCGTTTCCATTCGAGGTAAGAAAAAAAAAGAAGATGAGAAGTGAAATAAAAAAAAAATTTATCTATTAATGAATAACAAACAAACACACACACACACAATACGGAAGGCTCGTGGCAAGGTTTTTGTCTTGTCTTGCCAATATTACGTGTATGAATATGAAATTATGTGATTGACATTCATAGAGAAGAAAAAAAAACATCAAAATTGGATTCACAATGTCATCGGGCAATAATTTTGCAAATCATCGCCATCATCATCTAATTTTTTTTTCTATTCAATAATGGTCAAGTTCATTCCAACAGGTGATCATGATGATGATGATTCGGTCCTTGTTGTTGTTGTTGTCGTTTTTTGTTTGTTTGAATTCAATGAAAACAATTTCATTTTTTTGCTTATTTAATCATCATAAATTATTATTCAATGATAATGATAAGTGGATATAACAAGACAAACATTGAGCTAATCTTTTCTTTTATTCAATTTTTAAAATTTTTGATAATAATGTCATACTAATGTCAATGTTTCATTCTTTTTTTTTTTATTATCATCATTATCGTCATCATCATCATGGTCATTTTTTTTTCTTTCAATGAAAAAAAGCAATTACGAAAAGTTTGGCTATTTCCTTTTCTATATGCATTTTCAATGTTAGCCATTTGTTGTATAGTGGCCGTTATTTATCAACTACAGAAACGTTTTACACATAAAACAAAATCCTTGGATATTATGGATCATCCAAAATTACGAAAATTACAACAACAACAGCTTAAATTACAGCAACAACAGCAACAGATGCAATTACAATATCAGAATCAAATACAACAACAACAATTGGGACCATATTATCCATCGTCAACAGTATCAAATGTTGTCAATAACAATATTACCGGTTATCCTGGTGCATATGGTACGACTAAAGTTTGAAATTATTAATAATCATCAATTAATCAATCGATCAATCTAAAATCTAACCAAAACAATTTTGTTGACTTTCCAATTTTATTATTTATTTCCGCTTTATACAATGTATATTGTACACACACACGCACACATATATACAAATACAAAATTGATAATTACAAATCCAACCATATTACAATCATAATGCAATAAAAAAAAATGCAAGTGAAAAACATACTGAACAAACAAACAAGATTCGATGATAATGTTCAATAATGAGATCATCATCATCATCATCATCAGATTTATTTTTTAAAAATGTTCCATTTTACCGACAAGGTCATTCATTTATTCATTCATTCGATCGATGGATCGATACTTCTGTCATTAAATGATGATGAAGGACGGAAGAATTTAAATTGAATAAGATTATTGATCATTCGTAATAATATTATCAAATTATTTCAAATGGGAAATTTTTTTTAATCTTCTTTAAATTAACATTTTAAAAAAACGGAAGAAAAAAAATTGGCCATGATCGAATGGAATCAGTGATGGTTTTTACCATCACATCGATTTTTAACATTTATTTTTATCACCATCATCATCATCATCATCATGATCGTCGTCAAGATATCGGACATTGAAAATGAAAAAAAAGGAAATGGCCAGAACCTTGAATTTTATATGTTTCCAAGTATTTTTTTTTTTTCTTTATATTTATATCCATCACCATGTTCCTTGTAAACCTTGAAACATGATTGTGTGTGTGTGTGTGTGTGCATGCATTTCTTTCTTAAATAGAAATTTAAATTTTGTTTTTTTTTTTTTTTCACAGGTAGAAAAAAAAACTAATGAGAAGTGAATGAAAAACAAAAAAAAAATTTGAAATTACAAAACCAATAGATTCATATATTGTTGACATGGAAACAAAATACGATAATTTTCGTGACAATTTCATAATCACATGGAATGATTTTGTTTTTTTTTTTTTTTTTTTTTGTTAAACCAATAATCAACCTGATAAATGCGACAAAAAAATGGTAACATTGAAATTGATTGACAATTCGATTTCGTAAATTATGACACACACATGCATGTGACATGAGATTATTATTTATATAATCAAATCATTTGCTAAAATTGTTTCGTATACATTTGAACTAAACATGCAAAACAAAAAAAAAATGTTCAAATGATAAAGTAAAAATTTTCACAGGCAATTTTTGATTTGTTTGTTTTTTTTTCCACTGTTTGAACAGATGAATCAAAATGAAATTTTTTTTTTTGTCAGCCCCCGCCATCAGCAATTTGAATCATTCATCATTTATTTATTTAAAATATGTTTTTTGTATTGTTGAAAAATATAAAATGAAAAACATAACGAAAAAGAAAAAAAATCTGGATAAACATTTTTTTTTTCATCATAGAAAAATTTGAAAAAAAACTCAACATAAACAAATTATTATTATTACTAACAATTAATTTTTTGCCACAATCCTTGATTGTTCACCATCATCGACTATTTATTGTCCACTAATGTCAACATTATTATTATTATTATTACCACCATTATCATTCATATTTTGATCAATATTTGATAAAAATTTTGGTGGCCTTATATAGTTGCCATATTTTCTTCCAGGCCTAATTCTTGGCACATTCATTTGTTCATCCGATTCTGTTGATTGTTGTTGTCGTTGTTGTTGTTGTTGTTGCTGCTGCTGCTGTGATAATGGCATTGATAGACCAGAAGATGATGGTGTTGTTGATGATTGCTGTACTATAACCAATGATTTATTATTGATTCGAAGATTTTTTTTCATTTGTCCATTAACACCGCTTTGATCACCACTGTCGATATCTTGTTCACTATTATAAGGAATTTTTTTCATGAATGCTTGATCAATTTGTTCAGCTATGGACAATATTAGATCATTGAATTCTTCTGGTTTATCAGCATAAACATGGTGGCCAGCACCTTGTATCACATGTACTTCTACACGTTCAATATTGAGTCGTGATTTACGTTGAAGACCATCTAAATCGATTAAATCATCATCTCCATCGCTATTCTCATCGGATGAAGTCAAAAGTATACGAGGATGATTACCAACACCACCACTAACGGATTTGGTTGCCAAAATATATTTGGCTTGTAAACCTGTTTGACGATCAATCCATGAACGAGATCCATAGATGAATGTCAATGTTATACGGGGATCGAGATCCTGAATACGATCCAAGATGGGTAATCGTGCCCATCCAGTTGACGAACAAAGTTTTTTAAAGGCAATCTCACCACTTGGTCTTGATTGAGCATTACAATGGTAGATGTAATTAAGAAAAACACATGGTTTTTCTTTCTCCTTGTTTTTTGATGATTTAATGGGCTTGCTACTTTCATCTAATTGACCATCGATTGAATCCAATTCATCAGATGAAAGTTCATCACTACTTTCCAATGGTGGAGGATTTTCGGCTTGTTTAGCTGCAGAAAATCGTTTCCAAGGTTGATCTATACCCTTGGTAAGACGTTCAAATTTATATTTGATATCTGCTCTTGCTGAATTTAACACAAATGGTCCCCATGGACCGATTGCTCGTAAAAGTGATAATGGATTCAAGATATCCAAAAACATACGACCAATTAATTTAGCCCACCAAGGTAATTGCCGTGTAGTGATGTGTCCCGAAGCGGCTAAATGACGAGATTGAGTTTCGGGTGGTATACCCCATGCATCGGCTAATATCACATGAGCAACATGACTAGGATGTTTCAGTGCATAAGCCATGGCGATATAAGCTCCAAACGAATGTCCTAACAGAATAAATTTGTTGGACAATGGTTCACCAATGGATTGACGCCATTTTTCCAAACATTCTACATAATAGTTTTCCATCTGTTCTGCTTCGGCTTTGATCCGTTGCGTTTCAGTCAGATTACGAGGAAACCGAGGCATTGGAAACCGTGGACGTGAACTTTTAGCAAATCCCAATAAATCGAATGCAAATATTGGACGATTACCACGTCTGGCTAATTCATCTATATTCAAAGCCCATAATCCAATACCGGCAGCAAATCCATGAATCATGACTAATGGTAATCCATACATTTTTGGCGGTAAATAATGTTGATTTTTAAGGCCTACTTTTGGCAAAAGATCTGGTGGTTGTACTTCTCTATTCTCATCATCACTGCTTGTCATAACCATTGAATCTGGTTCAATTTCTAATGTCCATATTCGAACATGATCGAGATCCCAACGACTACCGATATCAACATAATATGTTTGATAATTGCATTTAAGATCTATATATTTGTTTGAGAGAAAAATGAATTAATTTTAGTTAATTAAACAAGAAAAAAAATAATCTCACAAGAAAGAACTTTATCTTCCGCTTCATTTAGTTCTTCGGGAGACGTTGGACACCAACGAAATAATTTTCGAACACGCCGTTTCATTTTCCAAGTTAATGAAAGTACTGTATTCACTTGAGTCCAATCAAGTATTGTTTGTATAATTGGTTTAATTAGCACATTAACCACCGTAGGCGTGGGAAGATTTAATGCATCAAATAAATCATACCGATTATGAATATGATGTTGATGATTATGACAATGCCCGTTATGATTATGACAACGTGATGATTGTGAATGATGTCGCCGTAATGATGTTGAACCGGATGATTGTTGTCGATGTGATGATGAAGATGGATATACCAACGAAATAGAACGTTGTCGTCGTTCTTGATCTAATCGATTACAACACGGACATGTTGATGGATCCGATGTTGTTGGCGGTAATTTACTCGCCGATTTAAAAAAGCTCACTAATTGTCCCGTGTTTGATGGTGCTGTGATCGTTCCAGATGAACCACGGAACGATGAACGTGATTGTATTGAATATCGATTCGGTGACGATTTTATATCTAGATTATCGCCACAAGATATTGAACGTTTTATTGAATATAACTCGTCTGGACAATGTTTAGAATTTTGTAATAATTGTTGATGCTGTTGCCAGATACGACGAGAATTTAGATAGGCAAGTAATGATGATGCAAAATGTCCAAGGCCTAAATAATCACAGGCAAATGCCAAAATCATTGCATAAAATTGTAATAATGAAAAAAATAAATTAGTAATAATATGGAATAGTAGACGAAAATATTCTGTAAAGGAATAAAATGGATATAGAATCCATTGTATGAACAATGCTGTTGTCCGTTGTACACTAATAATGGCCAATGTAGCCGTCCAACGGAATGACCAAGATTCAGTGGATGTGAAATGAACAAAATCTGGATGTTCATAATAATAATCCTGTGGATGATGGAATGAATGACGATGATGTATGAACGATGAACGACGATTTAAAGATATTTTATTATTTCCGATGCCCGATTGTTGCTGTTGTAATTGTTGTCGACGATATGAATCATAATATGTTTCATTTGGATTGAATTGTTGACTATCACGATATTCATCATCAGCATCATTTTCATCATAATCTTGATGTCGTTGACGATTGATGAAATTTAGACGAGACACACTCGATGGTGATGAATGTGATCGTCGTACATTTGCTTTTAGATCATATGGAAAAGACATTTTGTTTGTTCGTTTCATTTATATTCATTAAAATTGATTTTCATCCAACGAAAATTGAATTTATTTGTTTATTTGCATGCTCAGGATACACTATTTGATCATCTGATGGATTTCTTTACTGTTCTCTTTTCTGTTTGAATTTCAACAAAAATTATATTCACATAAATGTCAACATAAATGAAAAACAATAACAAACAAACAGCCGGTCAAGGGTTTTTATATATCGTTTGAATGAATTATGGTGACAAACAACAAAAAACAGGCGAGACAGTTAATTGATTATTGATTGATTGATTGATAACCATTAATAATTGATCGATGTTTTTATCGTTAAATCAATTGATCGTATGATTGCATGTGTTTTGAATGGTTGCCAAGAAAAAAAAATTCGAAACCGAATGTGACTTGATAAAAAAAAGGGCCGAAAACTACATGTGAAAAAAAATTCAGTCAATCATCATCATCATCATCATCATCCTTATTTAAGAGACATACGAACGGAACAAAGCAGAAAAACTTTCTTGTACATTAAAAATCAATCAATCAAGGCTAAAAGAAAAAAAATTAAGATGCAAAAAGATGAGATAATTTTTGAGAGTCGTTATTGGTTAAATGATGAACACTAATAATAATTTTTTTTCTTCATTTCATCAATGTTTACATGATTTTGATATTTTGATGAAAACAGAAAATCACAAACTTTGATCATATGGAACAATACCCAAAAATTGAAAAAATGATCATGATGATGATGATGATTTAAATAAATAAACAAAAACAAAAACAGAGACTATGCTCTTTCTCGCTTTCGCTATTCTTCACAACAATTGCGTCATTATATCGTTAAAAATTTTCATTTTCATGATTGATGAATATTCACATGTCATGACTATAATTGTAGGGTGGTAGTAGTAGCATTAGTTTGATGATATTTAATGATGACCGGTCAACAATAGAAGCTTTTAAATTTTTTGTTGTTGTTGTTGTTTTTGGTTGTTGATGATGATGAATTGATTTATGTGTATACACAATAATGTTTGGCCAGCCAGTCATGAAAAACTTGTTGATTGATGGGATGGGTAAAACTTTTTTGTTTATTCATTGCTGTTGTTGTTCTGTGTGTGTATTTTTCCATTCAATTTGTTTTTTTGCCAAATCTCACAATAGTATGAATATCAATATATTGATGATGATAAATAAATTTTCATCATTTATCCATTCAATAAACATTCCATTTGCTTTTTGAATTTTTGTTTCACTCTTTTTTTCTGTTTATTTCGTTCATCATCGTCAACTGTGGACAACATTATGTTCTCTCTTGTTTTTTCAAGTAAAAGACAAAAACTTTTTCATCATCCATTGAGGTGGTCCATGCAAACAGACAAAGTTGCATCATTGAAAGAAAATAATAATGTAATAATAATAATTATAATTATTATAATAATAATAATCTTGCGAAATCATTTTTTTTCTCTGTTTTTGAACATGCAAGTTTTTTTTCAATAATCTGCATCATAATTTCGTAATATCTTCTTCTTCGTCATCGCCATTATCATCATTGTCAATATATAATCGACATAATCATCCATCCACATACTACATAGTACAATTGTAATTTGTAGAAATGGCAACAAAAAAAATAACAGCAACAGAAAGAGAAGGGCAAAAAAAATTGTTCTAATTTTGTATGTACTCTCTCTCTCTCTCTCTCTGTCGATTTATCGTTTCATTTTTTTTTTTTTTTTTTGATGCTGCTTCGTTTCTGATTAATTGATATGATGATCATATTGATCAAAACAAAAACAACAGCAAAAAAAAAATCACTAACGTACAACGAACGCAACACAGCATCACCGACCGATAATAAAATTCTTATTAATTAATAATAAAATCAAACAATTAACACTTACCAATGATTCGGAAAAAAATTGTTTTTATTTATAGAAAATTCTTTGGTTTTTTCCCAGTGTCATGAATCTGTAAACAAAAAATAGAAAAAAATGAAATTTTTTAAAATTATATTCAAAAAATGGAATCAATCATAGTTAAAATTTCATCATTAATAATAGCAGTAGTTGAAGGAGCGGTGGTGATAGTAGTAGTAGTAGTAGTTATAAAATATTGATGATGATCAATCAATCGATCATCATTCATATTTTTTTCCTTACTGGGTACAGGTGTATATAATGATCGTTAGTCATCAATAATTATTATCATCATCATGATTGAATCGTTCTTTTTTTTTGATGAAATGTACAGTTTTTTTTCCTTTGAATCACTTTTGATGGCGTAAGATAATATATCGAAATTTTTGTTTCTTTCTCCACCTTTTGTATTCTTATGTGACAGAATTAATCATCAAAAATGACTATGTATGTTATAAATGGATTCGAATGAAAGATGAAACAAAAAAAAAATCAACACGATATTACGAAATAAAACAAACCTTGAAACTATGACGATGACAACAACAACAACACCGGCAACATCAATCGAATACGAAAAAAAACAGTTATGTTAGATATATTGTCAATAAACAAGGTCGATCATTTGGTAATAATAACAACAACAAATAGGAAAAACAAAATCATCTAGTTTTTGATAGATTAATTCACGGTAATCAAATGATTGAAGAAAAAAAAATGCACATGGAAAGTTAACAAAAAAATCAAAGAGATGAACAAACAAAATTATCACTACACAAAAAAAAATCATTGAGGAAGTAAAAAGTTTCAATCGATCAGATTGATCTAATTTTTTCATGAACGGATGTTTAGATGGAACAATTGAACGAAAACAATGATTTCATTGTATCGATGATGATGATAAATGGTGGTGATGATTAAAAAACAAACGGAAAAAATCAAATCCACTCAATACGTCCTCATAGTGAGAGGGAAAAAAATCTTTCCAATGCCAATCGATATCTGAAAATTGTCAGGCAATTTTTCATCATATGCAATAACCAATTTTTTTAATCAAATGAGGAAATATGATCATAAATAAAATTTTACAATTTTTGAAATCAATTTCTGATTCATACATCCTATTTTTCAAAAAAAAATATCGAATAAAAAAAATTTTAATCAATTCAAAGTGCTCACCATTGTTTTGTTGTTGTTTGCATAATAAAAAGAATATATATATAATAATTTTAGAATATAAACAAATTGAACGAATATATATGAATGAGTCAACAAAGTATTCGAGTAATGGCGCGCAAATTGTTATGTGTTTACGACCTTGACATGATCTATAGAGCGGTCAAAGGTCTCTCAGTTTTTGTTTCTGAACGAGTTTGTTTATGGGTATGAATGCACTGAGGGAGCAGAAATTTCCCACGGAATGATGACAAAATTCTATGGAAATAGTTTCCAAAAAGAATCAATGATTCGAAAAAAAAAAATCTAAAAGTTCAACCAATCAGAAAACAGTTTTAAACGTTCGATAAAATCTGATTGGATATACCATGATCATGTAGAATGTATTGAAGTGGTAAACGTTCGAATTTTTTTTTCCTGTCATTCGATCTCAAACAGTTCGTAGTGAAAGTAATAAATTACAAAATGATTTCCGAAAATTCAAAATCAAAATCAAATTTTTTTCAAAATGTTGGCCGTAAAACAATGTTTGAATCATCGACACCATCAATGACGAATAATTGTTTCTTCATGCCGTTTCAACAAGCAAAGTTTGGTGAAAAAATTCACATGATTCGAATGCCGCCTCCAGAAATTATTAGTGAAAAAACTGAACAATCAAAATGTAATCAATCTCAAGATTGCAATTATTTCGATATTGGCATAGATTTGGCTAATCTTACATTATATAGTCAAAAGAAAAATGATGATAATCTAATGGAAAAAAACCAACAATGTGAGTATTTTTTGATTTTTTTTGACTGATTCCGATTTTTGAATCACATTTGTTTAATTTAATGTTTTGTTTAATTAACCATATTTTTCGTTTTAGTATCATCAATTTCGATTACTCCTGATGAACTCTTGAAGCAAGTCGAACAGTTTGAGGAAAAAAAGAATCGAGAAATAACAGAACTTGAAAACGAAATTAAAAAATCAAAATCGATGATAGAGAAATTAAGTCAAGAAAATGAGCAACTTAAAATGCAAACTGGACGAAATTCGGTTTCAAAGCTATCCCAGACGATTCCTATGGAAATGATAGAAAATTTAAACACTCGTTGCGCTAATTATGAAATGAATTTGGATTCAATCCTGAGAGAATTTGAGGAAATGAGACAAGAAACAAGTAAATTGGCGAAAACTTTGAAATTTACTATTGAACAGCGAAATGAACGAGAGCTTCAAATTGAACAATATAAAATTTCATTACAAAAAATGCAATCTGAATATTTTGATGAGTTGGAAACTTTGAATTCAAAATTAGATGAACAACAACAATCATTTAGAGCCAAAGAAGCCGAATATGAACGAAAAGTTGAACAAAGCAATAATGAATCAATGCGGATGATCAAAAAAGTTTGTGGAGAATATGAAGAAAAAATTAGCAGCTTGACAATATCAATACAACAAGGAATTGAAAAACTTGCCAAACTGAATAATGAATTTGTTCAACTCAAAGCAAATAAAATAAGATCAAATAAGGAATTAGAAGAACTGATCAAATCAAATGATGAATTGAAATCCAAAATCGAAAATATGGAGAAAATCTCGGAAGAAAATCAAAAACTTCAGTTGGATTTGAATGCAAAGAATTTAGAGGTGAAGAAAAATGAAGATTCTATCATTGTATTGAGAGGTCGACTCGAAGAAAAAGAACACAAATGTTTAAATCATGTTGAACAAATGGAAAAAATTACAAATGAATCATTTAATCTTTGTGAAGATGCTCGAAAGCTTTATTTTTTGGTCAAAAAACAAAAATCGTCGCTTAAACAAATTGAAGAAATCAAGGCAAAACTTGTAAGCAATCTTGAAGAACAACAAAAACAATTGTTACAGAATCAACAAGAGTCAGAACGATTGAAACAGGCAAACGAATCGCTATTGATGCAAGTAAAATCTGCAGATGCAGTAAATGCAATGTGTGAAACTATGCAAAATCGATTACAGAAAATGTTGGATACAAAAGATGAAGAATTCAAGAAAAAACTTGCTGAAAAAGATGAAATTATTATAGAACAACAAAATAAAATTCACCAATACATGGAAAATATCAAGTTGGCTCAGATGGAAAAAGAAAAAGTTCTTCGATCATTTCACGAAAAGGTATTGGATTCTTTAAAACAATCGTCGTCGATTTCGTATTCGGCCGTCTCACCAATCACTAGTGATAATAGTTATAAAACTTTCAATAAAACCTCACAATCAAATGACGAAAATCAAAATACTACCGCATTCGATAATCAACAATGTCAAGAAAACCATGAAAAAACTTTGGATGCAGTTATCAATACGAATGATCAACAAGTGGGAAATACTGGGCCAACAACTAAGGATTTTCGATTGCCACAATCATCATCCTCTTCAATCCTAAAGTCACAAAAGTCCAACACTGTTCTTGCACATTCTAATGTTGATATCAGCAATAGCATTGCCGCCACTTCGATCAACAAGGCAGGACAAAAATCCAAACCCAGTTCGACTATCGCTCCCATTTTAGCTCAATTGGCCAATGATGATGCTGACGAAGCATTAATTGTTCCCGATACGTTGAATGAATCATTTAAAAACGATTATAAAGAAGCTAAATCAACAGAATCTACAGCGATTGTAGGAATACTGAAGCGAAAAACTCCAAGTTGTATTGACTCAAAAAATACAACCGGAAATAATCCGCCAACTGATAATAAAAATTTACCTTCTAAAAAGATTAGATTTGCTTCTGATGTAGTTGATAATGAAAAGCCACGGGCTACAAGAGCATCAAAGTTACCAATTTATAAACCAGTAAAAGGATCTATTTACGATAGTTCATCATCTAAGCGAAACTTGAATGAAAAAACAAATGCTAGCCGATCAAAAAAGTTGAAAAACACAACTTCGAAATATATACAATTGCCTGATGATAGCGATTCAGAAGGTTCTTTAGCCTGGATTGATGATGTTTTTGCTTTTCCATGAAAACATATCAAAAAATTAATTGATTCCATTAATTCTTCATAATTCGGCACATTAAAGGCAATCATTCATCATTACATGTGTGTGAGTATATTTTTGTAGTCATCTTATCAAATTGTACACATTATATTTATCTTTTTTTTTACATTTCCAGTAAACTGGTGAACTCGTGAATGGGATTTTTTCCCTGCAATAACGTCGAACAATCAAGACAAGTCAGAAATCAAATTAATCTTTCAATTGATAATATCATTTATGAATAATCATTTTTTTTTTTCATTCTTATTGTTGTTACATATAATAATAATCTCTTTATATATGGATATAAAAACAAGATTAATTACATGACAAAATAAAACTTTCTAATCTGAATAATAAAACAAAAAACCGTGAAGTAAAATTCTGATTGGAATCAATCAGTTTTGAATTTTAAATTTTTTTTTTTGTTATTTTATTTTTTATTAAAATAATAATTTGATTTTTTTTGTTTGTTTCGGAAAGAGTGATCTGTGTATTTTCATTTTTAAATATTGTTGTTTTCAAAATGTATCTGAAATGTATGTGCTAAATTCATTTTTAGATTCTAGTTATCATTTTTTTTTTTTTTAAATAATTATATAAATCCGATTCCATACAATTACAAATTATTGTACCGATTATGATTGCGGTGGCTTTTCTTTCAAATAGATTTCCTATATAAATGTATATGCCAATCTAATGCTTGATCATTGTTGTTTAGCAGCCAATTTCTTTTTCAAACTTTCGGGCATTTCTGGTGGTGGTGGTCGTGGCAATCGAAGCCATACTTTGACAGCATCATAGATGAACCATTGTAATGCAGTCAATGTACCAATCATGATAATACGAGGCGTCAATCCTTTCCATACACCTAAATTTGTTTTTTTTTAAATAATAACAAATGATTAATTAATGCTGATGGTCAATTTAGAATTACATTATAGAAAACTTACCCATGAAACCAAGTTTTTTCAATACATCACCAGCAGAACTACCACGATCTTGATTCAATTTCGATACAACAGTATCGGCTGGATGGGAAACAACAGCACAGAAAACACCAGCAATATAACCGGCAGCAAATGTGACGGTCAATTGTTCAACTTTGTTACATTCGGCACGTGGTTTTGGAACGACGTGTTTATATAATAATTCAACAGTACGTTCAAAGCAAGCGAATTTCATCATCGTGTATGGAATCTGTCGCATCCACAATGGTACAAGGCCTTTGTAAAAACCTGAAATACCTTCGGTTCGCATGATCAATGGAGCAATATCACGAAGTAATGGTGATGCTCCAGCCATTGTCTGTGTACGGACTTTACATGCCTCTAATGGACATAAAGCAATATCAGCGAAAAATTCGGCTGATGCAGAAGCAGCCAAATACAATGATGTACGATACGAGTAAGACAATTCTTCACCCAATGCATTACCATAAAGGATTTTGAATAATTCATAAAAACCAAATTTTCCTAAACCTTGTAACGAATAACCGATACAGGTTGGTGCCCAACCACGTACTAAGCCACGCATTCCATCTTCAGCATAGGTCACCTTGAAACCATGTCCAATGTTTTTGAATTTTTCGGGATTCGTTTGAATACGACATTTGACCAAATCCAATGGTGTTACAGCTGTATGTGTGATACCACAGCTAAGAATACCACCAAAACCACACAACGCATAATATTTCATTGAACCAAATTCTACTTCACTCTCGGCTATAATAATAATGAGATAATTTAAGTAAAAAATTAAAATTTGATTATAAAAAAAATACCAGAACTAGCCATAGTGAATTGTCTGGCCGGTACAATCGATGTTGATGGTAATGATGATGATGGTGATGATGATGATGATTGACATTGAGCATTTCGCATGAATGGATAGAATATTGTTGATTTATTGGCCACATTATCGAACATGCCCAAATATCGGGCACCATTATTATTATTATTATTATTAGTATTGTCCATTATTTTATTGATTATGATGAAGAAAATTTTTTTCAATTTTAATCAGGAATTCTACACAAATTGAAATTTAAGAAGGAGAAAAAAAAAGAATTAGAATTCAGAAAAATTTATTCATTCGATTCTTATGCTTACCGTCAAAACAAACAAACAAACAAAAAAAAAACAAGATTATTGTAAGAATCGAGAATTTTTTTAAAAAAGAAAAAACAAAAGATTCTAATCCAAACACACTAAGAGAAAAAAAACAATGCTCAATTTTTTTCCAATAAAAAAAAAAGGAAACCGGCAACAGACAAATGAATCTTGAAATGAAGAAAACGATAGGACACGCTGCCTTTTCTTCTCCTCTGTGTGATCTGTGTGTGATGTGTGTGTGTGTTTCAGTATATGACTTTTATTTTGCCCCTGAAATAAATGAACATATACGCCACGTAGTGGCAATCAAAACTATTATAATAACATTCAAACTCATATACCCATGTAACGTATATACTATACTATACTTTTATGATGTACTTCATCAGCTCTACATGTATATACAGAGATATAGACAAACTCTCATCATCATCATCATCATTTTGTTCGGTTTGACCTTGCGTTGTAATGATGATGATGAGAAAAAAAAAATTAAATAAAAAACAAACAGAAAAAAAATCAACCTAAAAAATGTCTATCCATAAATTTTGTATGTCTTTTTTTTCGAATATTTAAAAATTCATTTGGTATTTTGAATACAAATGATCAATTTTTAATTTAAATTTTTTTTTCTTCTAAAAAAAACCATTTCAAGAATTCAATGAAAAAATGTATAGGAATCTTTCGTTGTTCATTTGGCCGAGATGACGATGATGATGATGATGAACCAAAAAATTTTCTATATTTAACCGAATGATAATGATAATAACCAATTCATTTCCGATTATTGTCGGTTTTTTTTCAATGTTTTAGCAAGAACAAATTGTAGAAATCTACAACCTGATGATTACAATTACCACACACACACACACACACATGTAGCTAGACGATATTTTTTCCTTTGTACAATTTTTGAATTAAAAACATATGGCATGTGTTCGTCTGGTCATCAAATCAATTTATGAAATCATAAGATGCTAGTATGGCCATATAAGTCCTTGAGACGGTTTCATAGCATTAAATGGTACTATGATACTTTTTTGTTCCAATAACAATTTTGACCATTGTTTTTTACGACCTAAATTCCACACAAATCACATGTCTGGCCTGTTTATCCAATCATCATCAAATGGCTATTGTTCTTAAATGGGACAACATAAAAAATGTCCAGACAATTCTATAGAGAAATTTGTCCATGTTTTTATAATTGATTTTCGTTTGGAAAAAAAAACTTTTCAAAACAACGAAAATGATATAAATACATCCGTTCGGTAACCATGGTGTGATGTGAAAGCAAAAAAAAAATTTCAAAATTAAGCATATCGAATAGGGGTAAACTAATTGATTACGATTGATCATCATCATTGGTGGTCGTAACTATATTCTGGAGATTTGAATTTTTAATGATAGAAAAAAAAACCAATTTTTGTGATTATGCGCCATCAACAAATATATCTTGGTGGTCACACACACGACGATGATCATGATCGTTAATATGTTTGGTGGTCATCTTCGGTGAGAGAGACAAACACATTTATTATGATTATTGGAATTTTGAAAATCAACAACAAATTTCGTGTCTTTTGTTTCAAACAAACAAATCAAAAAAAAAAATCCATCTAAATGTTAAACGATTTCAACATCATCATCATCATCATCATCATCAAATTAGAAAAATGCGGCGAGTACAATGTACATGCGCAAATAGAAAAAACAAAGAATCATGCATCCAACGAGTGTGTGTGTTTTTATAATGTCCTTGGTTCTTTTTTTTCCGAACACACACACACACTGTGCTGTGGTAAGACATTTAGACAGACACAGACAGAATTCATATGTTTTGTGTGATATTTCGGTTCAGTTTTTTTTTTGCAATATTCAGATTTCTTTTCTTTTCTTCTTTCTTTTCTCGTTGGATATATTACAACAAATTCTGAAAGGCAAAAATTCCTTGATTTGTGTGTTTTTTTTTCTAGTTTGTTGTCTGCATTTATTGATCTTTATTTATTCATTTTTTTTCTCCAGGGTAAGTGATTAATTTTTCTCTTTTTTATTCATTCATTTCGAAATTCGAATTTATTGTTTTTCTTGATTTTTTTTTTGAAATTTCAAATAAATCAATGAATCATTTTATCGATATTTAATCATTTCCGAACATCTTGAAATGATTTCCGTTCCCAGACCATGATATCTGATAATGATCATTATCGAATTGGTCACCATCATCATCGTTACAGATTGAATATAATAGTGAGATAATTATCTAGAAACAAATGTGGGTGGTTTTTTTATGGCTTTGATGCTAACCAATCAACCGAACAACGAATTTAGAGAGAAAAAAAAACCAAAATCACTCTTTCATACAATACAATTTCGTATAGATAGGACCTGCCTATTCTAATGTTTTAGGGTGACCAAGACAACACACTTTACTACCATATATATACTTCATTTTGCCTACATTTTTATGAACCAACAATAAAAAAAATCCAGAACAGACACATATAACCAAATTTGAATATAGACAAACGTTTCACATAAACATACACATTTTACTTGCACGAACAACTTGTTCAATCAAAATCACACACACACACAGAAAGAGAGAAAGCCAAAGATCTGAAACATCCGGACCATCTTGGATTCTGGTATATAAGGCTGAATATCATTGATCATTATAATCTTTGTCACAGCAACATCTAATTTTTTTTCTTGTGTGTTTGATTGTTTTCATTTTCATTTCGACATTTTGTCGATGAAAAAAATTTTGATTCCATAATGATTTGATTTTGATTTTTTGATTCTGATTGTTTTTTTTAATAAAGTGATAAAAAATGCTCGGTCGAATCATATCATCATCATCATCATTGCGTTTGATGACGTCGAATATAAAAACGACAAATATTCATCCAATGTTTTCATCATTATCAACAACAACCAGTAATAATAATAATAATAATATCCATAATGGACAACAGCAACGAAATTTTCATCAAACATCTTTTCATTATGCTCAAGTAAGTGATGGAACTATTTTTCTTCATTCAAATTAAATTAAAAATTAATTAATTAATTAATTTACAGTTAACCGTACGTGATGCATTGAATAGCGCCTTAGATGAAGAACTTGAACGTGATGAAACCGTATTTATTATGGGTGAAGAAGTAGCTCAATATGATGGTGCATATAAAGTGACCAAAGGTCTTTGGCGTAAATATGGTGATAAACGTGTTATTGATACGCCAATCACTGAAATGGGTTTTGCCGGTATGGCTGTTGGTGCTGCATTTGTAAGTAAATTCTTTTTTTTTTTTTTGAATCGTTCGATTCTTTGACCTTGTATAAAAGTGGCCATTGTCTCGAATGTTTACTATGTTCACTCTTACTATAGAGTGTATGTATATAGAGCAAAAAAAATAATAATCTTTTTTTTGTTTTTATTTTCCATTTTAAACATTTCTTATACGGTCATTGCCTGTCTGACCTTGACGATTATTATTCGTAAACGTAAATATAAATATAAAATATATAGTATGGCCTTCGTCCAATTTGTGAATTTATGACCTTCAACTTTGCCATGCAAGCAATTGACCATATTATAAATTCAGCTGCCAAAACATATTATATGTCGGCTGGTCGTATAGCTGTACCGATTGTATTTCGTGGACCGAATGGTGCGGCAGCCGGTGTTGCTGCACAACATTCACAATGTTTTGCCGCATGGTATTCACATTGTCCTGGTCTTAAAGTGTTGGCACCATATACTGCTGAAGATGCTAAAGGATTATTAAAAACTGCCATTCGTGATCCAGATCCGGTTGTATTTCTTGAGAATGAAATCCTTTATGGTACATCATTCGATGTGAATGATGATGTTTTATCAAAAGATTTTTTACTGCCCATTGGTAAAGCTAAAATTGAACGTCCTGGTGATCGTATTACGGTATGTAGTTATTCAAAAGGTGTTGAAACATCACTAGAAGCAGCCAAAATTCTTTCAACAATGGGAATTGAATTAGAAGTAATCAATCTACGTACAATAAGACCATTAGATTTTGAAACCATATCAAAATCTATAATGAAAACAAATCATTTATTAACCGTTGAACAAGGTTGGCCACAATCAGGTGTTGGTGCCGAAATCTGTGCACAAGTGATTGAAAGTAAGTGATCCATTGATAATTGATGAATAATAATAATTTTTTTTCTAAAAATTTAAATTTAATTAATTTATTAATTAGGTCCTGTTTTTGATTATCTTGATGCACCAGTTATACGTGTAACTGGTGCCGATGTTCCAATGCCATATGCACGTTCATTAGAAGCTAATGCATTGCCACAACCAGATGATATTGTTATGTCGGTGAAAAGAATGCTCAACATTGTTGATTAATTAATTAATTAATAATCGATTATTTGTTCAAATTGAAACAATCATACTGTTGAGCTTTAGTCATGAAACAAAAAATTCATAATAATAATAACAAATAACAACAGCAACCAAATTTTTACTCTTTTGATTTATTGATTGATTTTTTGGATTATTCATCCAGGTATGTGCATTTTTTTTAATTTTCATTTTTTTCATTCATTCATTTATTTGCTTTTTGAATCATGTATTTTTTTCAGTGATATATAAAATTTATCTTCTTCATCTGTCATCATCATTATCATTATCATTATTATTGTTTTAAAGATTTTTTTTAAATTCAAAATCTATTTATCTTTTTTCAATCTAGTACATTTATATATTTATATACTCAATAATACTAAATGATAATAATAATAGCAAACATCCATAGACTTTTGAATAGCGTTGCTCTTCACTTTTTTTTTCTTCAATTTTAAATGATAAAAAAAAATTCAGATCCTAATTTTTTTTCCCAGTATACAAGAATTTACAAAGAAATGAAAACAATGGAAAACAAAAATTCTTTATTCTTACACTTTTTTTCTATTTTTACACTCACTCACACACACACACCCACACACTTGTAAAGCATAATTTTCTGCCTCTTTGATTTCAGTTTCAGTTTCAATTTCTGTTTCAATTTCATTTTCATTTTTTTTTTGTTTTGTTTTGAAATTCTAATCACCCACCTACACATGTGCAACTATGTGTTTGTATATTTATTTCTTTTAATTTGATGATTGAATATATAAAAAAAAAAAATTTTTTGAAAAAAACCCTTTCACAACATTATGGGAGGTCGGTTGGGCGTTGTGGGGGGGGGGTTGATGGTAGTGGTGTTGGTGTTGGTGTTGGTAGTGTTGTATTATTATTATCATCACATTATTATTGATTTTAGAGATTGGGACTGGGTGGAAATGACGAAAGATGTAAAGTGTTATGTCTGTGTGTGTGTATGCTATGTGTTTTTCATTTTTGTTTTGTTCGTTTGTTCGTTCATTCTCATTTGTGTATCAACTATTTTCTTTCTGTTTTAATCATTCTTCCTGGTGTAAATGAGTACAATTTTTTTCCCGGATAACAAAGATAAAAAAAAATAGTGTTTGTATCTGTCGTTGGTATATTCAACAATGGAGATTATCACTATGAAAAAAAAAAATTTCAATTCTTAAATAATGTCGATATGTCGCTTATATATCAATTATTATATTGCTCAGAAGATTACCACCAAAAAAAAAAACGTTCATACGCTCAAAGCGACGTGGTTGAGTTTAACTAAAAAAAAAAAAATACTCAGAGATCCTAAATATGCATACAAAAAAAAAACATTACGGAATACCTCTATCGAGCATGGATTTTATAAATCATCAAAAATTATTCTTACCGGGTATGTGTTGTTTTTGTTTTTGTTTTTTTTGCAAATAAATCAAATCAAGACTGAGTTTTTTTATCTTTTTTCAACAGAATATTCTTGATTGATGCACGATTTATTTCGTATGGATAACAAAGATTAATGGTGTTGCACCCTATACATTGGTTGTTGGTCATTATCGAGAAAAAAAAAGTAGAAAAAGAAGGAAGAAAAAACGACAGAATAAATGAATTATCCAAGGAATGAGAATTGTTACGATTCAAATCGTAAATTGAACTTCATCATCACCATTGGACAGAATTTGTAAGATTAAATTTTAAAGAATTATGAAAAAAAAATTCAATTAACTGACATACTTCCTATGTATCTGTATAAAAACTAGGTCATCATCATCGTAATGCTGGTAATAATTTTTGTCCAAATAATTGAATGGCTTGCCATCCGAAGAATTGATTATTTGTTTGGCACATCAATTGAATCATGATGAATGAATAAATTAATGGATGGATGATATTTTTTTTCAATTTTTTTCTGCAAAAAAAAATTCGATTCAACTAGATTCAACGATATGGCTCGTTGATCAACCATTGTCAACAATATATATGTGTATTTGATGTCAAAATTGAATTTGCAGAAAAAAAAGAAAACAAAACAAAACGAAAAATTTTTTTTTGTTTTGTTTTGTTCACCTAGGATAAAATTGTCACAAATGCTCATATATATATTATTTATGGGTGAAATTTTTTTTATTTCAATTTAAACAACAACAACAACAACAACAACGGCAACAACTACGAAACAGCAACGAAACAAATTTCTGGTAAGTATTCTCTATGTATTTCAATGGGAGAAGACAAAAAAAATGGAATATTCACAAACAAACAAACAAACAATTTGAATGTGAAAAACGCAAACATTGAAACATCTGTTCATTATCATCATTGATGATGATAATGGGGATGAATGACAAAAAAAAAAATTTTTTCGTTTGAATTTCAATTAACCTAAATTCTTCTCTCTCTCTCTCTTTTTGTCTATTTTCTAGCATTCCTATATTGGTTCATGATATTTTGATGATTTGTATGAATTTTGTCTTTCACGTTCATTTGAATTTTGGATTTTAAACATTGTGCATTGATGTCATCATCATCATCATCATCATCAATTGCCTCTGATTGATTTATCGATAATAATATTGTTCCATCATCTCATAATTGTTTGAAGACCAAAAAAAAATTTCAATTTATCAATCATCATCATTATCATCATCAGTATCAATGGCGAAGAATTTCAATCGTTTAAAGAAACCAACGCTAATTATCAAGAATCATAATCTATTCACTTTATTGATAAGAAATTTTGGTTGGTTATCATTCATGATTATCATGGTATTCATTTGGAAACAATCATTGAATCCATTTTCGTACAGCAACAACAACAACAACAATCATCCGATTATTGGCAGTGGTAGCAGTAATGGCAATAGTAATTCAAAATTATCGGTTGATGCATTCTTTTTTGATAAATTTGAACGTTTGAAACGTATTACATTACCATCGGCATTTGTTGGTCTTAGTAGCCTATTACCTGGACTTTCATCCGGTATTCGTGTATGCATTAATTTTAATTCACAATATCCACAAGGATATCAACAGGTGAGTGTGAAAAATTATTTTATCATTAGAATAGCAAAAAAAAAACAATGAATTTTCAAAATAATTTGAATCAATTCAATTGAAATCGATTCAAATTATAGATATCATTATCATCATCAATTTCAAATGAACAATACATTTGTATGTGGAGAATTTTTTCATGATCAAAAATTTGAAAATTTTTTCATTTTTTTTTCATCAAAAAATCTCCAAATATTAATATTTTGATAAATTGTTTGTTTTAAAATTTTTTTTTGTTTTGTTTTCCCATAGAACACTTGCTTCCTGTGCGATGTTTATCGTTTCAATTCGATTGTAAGTTTAATTTTTTTTATGAATTTTTAATTCATTTACATTCATTGTTTTCAATAATTAACCACAATCAGGCATATCAATGCACTGGACAGGTATGTATTGTAATTTCTTATATTTGATTTTGAATTAATTCAATTTTATCCAATCATATGCTATTAGACTCAGATTCCTGGTAACATTAATTTTACTCAAGCTAATTGTATTATGAATTCCTGTCAGCCAATGATGTATGGTGGATCAATGATGGCAAATCGTTATCAATTACCGACAAATATTGGCGTAACATTACCACAAACTAAATTCGGTCTATATCAAACTGCATCATTGCAACAACAACAACAACAACAACAACCGCAGCAGTAATTTAAACCGATACAATAATAATAAATCTAAACTAAATATATATAAATTGAAATAAAAAAAAAATTTTTCGGATAACAAAGATAAAAAAACAAAATTCTTAGTTTTCAATTTTTAATTGATTCAGTTTGTTCATTATAATGAAAATGAAACCAATAGTAGCAGGAAGCGTTTTTTTTATGTTTTGCAATTTTAGCGCCAAATTTTCATATAAAGATTTTAAAATTTAAAAAAATGGAAATTTTTTAATCCTTTTTTTCCGATAAAGGTGCAGCATCATCCACTACCTCAAAATTGCTACTACTCTATGTTGCTACTCTCTCTCTCTCAGTGATCAATGCTTCCAATTGTTTTGATAAATTTTGTTTTTGGTTTTTTTTCAACTATTTTCTATGCATCTATCTTTATTTTAACGATTCATGAAAGTTTGGAAATTCCAAAATCTAATAAACATACATATACAACACATACACAGAAACTTTTATTGCAGTATAATCCTGTATATGATTCTAGCAGTATTTATGTATCCAAAATAAAAGTAGCGGATAATAAATATGATGATAAGAAAAAATAGTATCTTAAATAACTCATTGTATAGTAGTGGGTAGTAGTCATTGTCAATGTTAATAATAAATAAGTTTTTCTTCTGTGTGTGTGTGTGTGTGTGTGTGTGTGTTGTGTGAGTCATTCTCATTCGTATATATCAGATTAAACGAAATTCTGGGCGTCTATCATTTATCAATGCCACTGCCAATATTTAACGAATATATAGCTTAAAATGATTAATCCACTATATACACATTAGTTGGTTCAAATACCACCCATTAGGCAGAAAAATAAAAATTCCCAATGTATCGTTCATCATCATCATTTATTTAAACTTTCAACAACTGATGAAAGTTAACCATTAATAAAAGTAGAAAAAAAATCAAAAAAAAAAGTTTTGCTTACAACACCCTTGAACAACCACCATCAACACCACCACCACCACCACTACAGTCATATACGATCAAGCAAACGATTTAGGCGAGTAATAAATCCGTATCCACACTCTCATACACACACACACACACAAACACATAAACACACACACAAACACACATCGTGCATCAGAAATCAGAAAAACATCTAAAAAGACAAAATTGAAAAAAATTTTTCATCAACAACAACAGTAGCTTCTGCTTTCTTTCAAGCGAAAAAAAAATCAAAAATTTTTTTTTTACTTCAGGCTAAATGAAAATATTAAAAAAAAATCATGTTGAAAGTGTGAACCAGATCATCATCATCATCACCAGATCATCCTGCAATATTTTTGGATTTTAAAAATCCGAATCGAATGATTTTCACTTTATGGAACGAACATTTTGGGTAAGTTATCGAATTTTTGTTTTTTTGCTTTCATTATTATTCCATTCCATTTGTTTTTCATCAGAGCGAGAGACAGAAATCTGTCCATTTATTGTACTTGAGACAATTTATCATTGCGAAATAGTTTTTTTTTTGTACAAAAATATAACCGTAATAAACATATGATGATGATGATGATGATGATGATAAATGGTTGCAATCGATATTCGCAACCATCATCATCATCATCATTACATCTCTTTGTCATTTGCTGTTAACGGAAATTCAAATTTCCATTTTTTTTTCTACATATATAAAAAAAACAAAAATTTCTGTAGACATTGAACTTTGTGCATAGGAAGGGCAACAACAACAACAATCCTTTGATCTTAATCTCTCTCTCTCTCTCTCTCTCTCTCTCTCTCTCTCTTGTTCTCTCATACACAAATATATATATACAATGACCGGTTGTTTTTATTATTCATATCATCATCATTGAAACCTAAATATATTCAATGGAAAAACAGCAAAAAAAAAAATCTATCTATTCTTGTTTCTCTCATCCAAACAACAACAACAACAAAAAAATGTTGATCAACTTTCACAACGGGAAAAAACAAAAAAAAATCAAATTGTTTTTTCCCCTCATCAATATTATTTTATAATTTCCGGTTTTTTTTTTGAAAAATTCCGTTCCGTTTTTGATTTTGTTTTCTTTTTTTTCTTTCTTTCTTTCTTGTCTTCTTCTACTTCTTCTTCTTGTTTGGGCAAACAAAAACAAATTGACTGTGTGTGTGTGTGTCTGTCTGTATTTTCTTGTTTTTTTGAGGGGTAAATTGATGATTGGGAACGAATACGGTAATTTTTTGTTGTTGTTTTTTTGCCAGTATAATTTCATGTTAGACGCGACTATAGCGCCTGTTTTAAATGAAAAGTCAGTTTTAGAAAATGAAAAAAACGATCAAATCAAAAAAAAAAGTTTTCTATTTTCAAAGTTATATAATTCACATCATATCAGGCGTTGTCGTCTTTGGTTTGTTCAGTCACACAGACAAACACACGCATTTACCGGTTAGTATTTTTTTTTTTTTCGTTTGTTTTGATGTCGTCGTTGACTGATTTTATTGCGAATGCGGCAAATCAAAAAAAAAACCGCAGTGTCTTCTGTTCATCATAAATAGCTAGTTCATGTGGTGTGTGTATTATATAATATACGTCGTTATATAATGTATATCCGTATATATTCAATCCAATATATTTGTGCTTGGTTCGTCAATCGGTCGATGGTTTTTTTTTTTAGTGTATCTCTGTGTGTGTGTTATAAAAATGATATCCAAATTTAGCTCATTTCAATGATATTCAGGATTCTGCTCAATTCCATTTTCAATTTTTGTGAGATTTATTATTGTTGTTGTTGTTGTTGTCGTCGTCATCATCGTTTTTTCACTTTGTGTTTTTGTGTGTACGTTTTTTTTTCCATTTGATATATTCTTTTCTTTTCAAATCATTGATTGATTGATTGATTTTTTTTGTTGTTGACGAAATTCTACATTGATAATCTACATTGATATCGATTGATGGTAAGATTGAAATTTTATGCCTATGATTTCATATCGGTTGTTTTTTTTCTCTTTCATTATCATATCATATCATTTCTAATCTCCGTGTATATAATAATAATGATGATGAATGAATGAATGAATGATAATAATCTCGTATCATTCAAATTCATTCATTTGAACTGATAAATTTTTTTTTTTTTTTTTGCTTTTCTATTTCTCATCGTCAAGATTTTTTTTCTTCTAATACTTTTTTTTCCTGATAACTAAATTCGCATGAAATCTGATCCGATTGATTTTTTTTTGCAAATCTGATCCGGTCCGTTTGTTCTAATTTCACACACCGCATACACACACACACTTACATGCATATCAATATTTTAATCAATTTTATCAATAACCGATTTTCATTTCCATTCAATTCACCTGGTCAATAAATAAATTCATCAAAAATTCAGCCAAAAAAAAAAAATCCATGCCATAATCAAATGTGGCTGTGCGAAAGAATGAATGAATGAATGAAACTTGTATCAAACAAAAAAACAAGACAAATGATTTTGCAATCGATTGATTTGATTTGATTTTTTTTCAAATTTTATTTTTCTTATCTTTTTCTTTTTTTGTTTTGTTTTGTTTTGTTGTTTTTTTTCTGTCCAAATAAAGTAGTTTTTTTTGTTGTGTGCATTTGTGTGTGTGTGTGTTGTATTTTTATCAGTGTAGACCGATTTTTATTTTATTTCATTTCATGTTGTTGTCGTCGTTGTCATCATTATTTTGTGGAGAAAAAAAACCACTTTATCCCCAAAGATGTTTATAAGTGACTTGAATATTTTAAACATTTATATTCATGTACCTGTTCGGTATTTATTTTTTTCCGGTTCTTTTTTTTCTTTCGATATCAGTTTGATCTCTATCTCCTGTATTTGTGTTTGTGTGTGTGTTTTCTGTTTATGCGTTTCGCTTACGGCTATCCAATTTCATTGCTAGATTTGAATAGATGAGCCAAGTGTCTGAGAATGACATTGGATGAACAAAAAACAAAAAAAAAAAAAAATTTGATTCGTTAATTATATATCCATCTGCCTGTATATATACATCATTAAGTTGTTGTTGTTGTTGTTGTCGTCGTAGTTTTTTTTTTTTTTTTGGTTTAGAAATAAATTTCCAAACAATTGATTGATGATTTCATCTATCGATTGTTTGGAATAATTTTTTTTTTTTTTTTGGTTTTCGTTTATCCAAAAAAAAAAATTTCAGCTTTTCGTTGTTTTAAAATTTTTATTTCATTTCAAATGTTAATGATCATTATTATTGATGATGTTTGAATGTTTTGATTTTTTTCTGTATCAATAAGAGAAACTTGATTTTGGAACCAAAAAAAAAAATTCAACAGCTAAACCTTAATTATTTAATTGTTGAATAAAAATTAGGATGTGAATCTTTATTATGATGATGATGATGACCACATTACATTTTTTTCTTTATATATATCGACCTGATTATCATATAAGTAATGGATAGATGAAAGCAAGCTGATGTGCTCGAATTTCAAAATGATTATGTTGATGATGATGAACGGTTGAAATTAGATTGCCACATTATATCATTAATAATGATTGTAAATAGTTGTTTTGAAGAAAGTTTTGACGATGATGATCCATCTATCCAGGTATTTTGGCAGATTTTCGTATATATTTTATTTATATAAAAATTATGATGATGATGATGATGATTGGCCCAATTTGTTGCCAATTTTAAGTGTGAGCGTGTGTGTGTGTGTGTCTGTATATTTTTTATTTTCATTTTTTTCCCCTACTTATAAAATATTGGCTGCATTCATTCTGATCTGATAATTTTATTTTTATTTTTCTTATAAAATCAAAACAAAAAACACCAATCTTGAATTGATTCAAAATTTTGATTTTGAATGTAAAAAAAAAAATAAAAAAATCACACCAATTCTTTAAACAAAGAGAAATTGATCTCTGAACTAAAAAAAAAAATTAGATCGATCTGATTGCAAGATTTGATATGATGATAATGGTGGTGGTGGTGGTGGATAAAAATGGTGTCTGTGTGTATGATTTTGAATATCAAATACTTTCACACATTGTTCACCTGGTATTTCTTGTGT